TGGGTACTACGGTGCAGAAACGAATGCCATGATTTTCGGAATACTCCGCCGTTGCACCAAATTGGAATATGTAACGCTTCCATGGACTGCGTTGAGATACGGGAGTACGGAAGACTGGTCACGGCTACTCGGCCGAAATGAGAACTTCCATAGTATCTCATCGTTGGAGCTCCTCGCTGTTGATCTCAAGCAGTCACAGATAGACAACGCTAAAAACCAAATTGACAATAAGCCACTGAGTTCTCCTAGAGTCGACTTCAGTGCGCTCAAGCGATTGAAAATATTCGGACAATCGAACTTCATGCCGCTGACCGATGACGACCTGATCGCCATTTCCCACACTGCGGTCAACCTACGAGAGTTGCATATTACGGGTACCGCCTCAGTCACGATCGACGGCATCGGGGCTATCGCCAACTCCTCGGATGAAACGTTGGAAATACTAGAGCACTCACCACTGACGGCTGATGGCTTCGAGCATCCGGATCCGACTTCTTTGCGTGGTCAAAAGCAGCACCTCTGCCCAAAGATCCTCGAATGCCCTCGCTTAAGGAACCTATCACTTTCCCTGCCTTCGATCTGCGAGGACCTCTTCGCTGATACCTCCATCAACTGGAGCGGCGAAATGCAAATTCGGACCAGCACTGTGTGTGGTCGTCATCCGGTATCGCTGAAAACCTCAAAAAAGTCACAAACCATATTTTGGCGCATTCTCGAACAGGCTCGCTCTCTTATGAGCCTGCGTGAAAAAGAGGGCGTAGAATTGGACGTTGAAATCTTCATCAACAACTGGATCTTCGAGCCTCGTTGCTATCGCGTACATGGTGATCTGAACGTCGCTGAGGTCGTTTCTGATGGGAATTGGCCACAAGACGCAATTTGGTCGAGCAAAGGCCCGTACGGGCGAACTGGGCTTTATGGGAAAGATGAAGGACCGTATCAAGTCGTGTCGGAAGATGTTTTCAAGCAAGGACTGAGCAAGCACTATGTCTCTTTCTAGTACCATCACTAGACTTCTCTATAGGCGACTGCGAAGAATGAAGCATATTTCAAAGTTCAACTTGTCCATTCCATGATCCCTTCAACCTCCATCCCCAACCGTGACAAACCGACACCACCTTCTCACCACCGTCTCAACTTCCACTGTTTTTCCAGCCCACATCCTGTCCTCCCCTCCAAATCGCACGCTCCCACTCAGAAGCGGCACTTGCTCCTTCCACGGATTGCCTACACTGTCAACACCCTCGTACTCAACTTCCCCACTCAATGCTGTCGACTCCGCCAGCACCAGTCTCTGCCCGTTAAGCTTCGCTGTCTCAACAGCCGCTCCAAGAGAGCGGGACAAGCCCTGTGCAGAGTGCTCGGCAGTTGAGCGGTGAAGAGTGGCGAAGCCCCAGACTGCCAGCATAGGATACTGGGACCCTGGCTTGGTAAAAGTGGAAGCAGTTGATGGAGACCCGATGCTTGAAATGCATGTTGCCAAATATGCTCGTAGATGAGGCAATGTAGGCGTGAATGCTAGATTGACAGATCTGGACATGGCTATGAGATGGATTGTTGGGACTAAGAGAGGGTGTAGAGCCGCATGGCTTGCGTCAAATGAAGGCTCATTGCTTGAATCTGTCGAGGGATCTCGTGGATGAGTGTAGTTGATACAAGCTTGTATTCCCTGGAGGAAAGCTTCGCGACTGGAGCAGATGATGAGAGTCGTCGGCGACGTGTGATGGCGTAGGATGAAATTGACGAAGTCTGTGCATAGCAGTGGCGCTAAAGCTATGGGGGTATGTGCAAAAGGCATCTTGAGGTTCTCTGCACGATCTTATGACCTATTACAGAGAGAAAGTATTGATTGAGGAAAAGACGCAATGTTTGTGTGATTTTGTCATGATGCTGGCTAGGTATGCCAGGTATTGAGGCAATTTGATCATCTGATACACTGCTCTTATGCTTGCTTACGACAGACATATACTTGTGATCTTTGAGCTCTGAATATTGGGCATCTTACCTTTCCAATATCAGCCAATGAGAGTCACTACTGACATTACTACCACCCGAAGGCTGCGAAGTCAGCAAACTAGCCCAAAGCGGCTTAGCTCAACTTCGCTAACCCGAAGGGGCTTAGTAATCTTGGCACGTCTGAGGGACTGAGGCATTGGATGTCGAAACATCAGATTCTGAAGGAGCGAAGCACTGGGGGAGATTTTCCCCAACAAGGCAGGCATGGAATCGATCTCAAGAGTATCATCGATGCTAGATACAGGTTTGGATCATGTACTCAATCATTCCAGCAGGGCTGATTCTGATTTCAGCACGTGAATTGACATTGGAGGCAGCACAGTCTGCTGGTTCTGCAAGGATTGTCAATTCTCGCCCCTCGAACAGGGATTTACCATTTGCTCAGACAAAGAAGCTGCTGGATAGCCGCAATGATAGAGAAATCTTGGAAGGCCTGCGGAAGGTCATCAGCGTATGATCTTTCGCCACCATTAGACGGGGACATGCTCTGATACTGGAAGTACAGATGATGTACCGTTCCAAACCCTGTCTTCCTTTCTTTTCGGCAGTAGTCAAAAATGTTGCCAGTCCAAACATTGAGATCAAAAAGCTCGTGTATATTTATCTCCTGCATTATGCAGAGTCAGAGCCGGACCTTGCATTGCTCTCCATTAATACGATACAGAAATCTCTAAGTGACCAGAGCCCCCAAGTCCGTGCAATGGCACTACGAGTCATGTCAGGCATCAAGGTGCCTGTCATCAGCCAGATAGTCTCTCTCGGAATTAAGAAAGGATGTGCGGACATGAGTCCTATTGTCCGGAAGGCCGCTGCTCTGGCAATACCAAAGTGCTATAGATTGGATCCCAATACTCTACCCCAGCTCCTCGATTACATATCAGTTCTGCTTGGAGACAAGCAATACTATGTGGTAGGACCTGCAGTCATTGCATTCCTGGAGGTTTGCCCGGACCGCATAGATCTCATTCACAAGCATTACAGAGGACTTGTCAGGAAGCTGGTTGACATGGACGAGTGGGGCCAACTTGCTACTTTGAGCCTTTTGACAGTCTATGCACGCAAGTGCTTTCCTGTGCGGACTAAGAAAGTGAAGAAGAATAAGAGCAAAGGGTTCTATGAGGACGAGGGCAGTGAGCATGAGGAAGACAACTCCGGAGAAGAAGTCCAAGTGCTGGACCTTGATCTAGAGCTTTTCCTCAAAGCCTGTAAGCCTCTATTGTCGAGTCGGAACTCTGCAGTCATTGTATCGACCGCCCGCTGCTCCCTCCATCTCGGTACCTCTGAGTATATCGACGCTGCGATTGGACCCCTGGTGGCCTTGTTGAGAAGCCCACAAGATATTCAGCATGTCGCAATGAACAACATCGTTGCCGTCTGCCTAGTCCGCCCTGAGTCATTTGTCAGATACGTGGGCCATTTCCTAGTGCGAGCCACAGATCCTCCCAATGTCTCACGCCTGAAGTTCGAAATTTTGACATTGATATTTCCGCACTGCGAGCCACACATTAGAGAGATGATTTGGAGCGAGTTGGAGCATTTCACCCGAGCTGCAGATGCTGCGTTAGTACAGGAGAGCGTGCGGGCTATTGGACGATGTGCCCAAAATGAGAGCACGGCTTCGACACGATGCTTACGACTTCTGCTAAACCAGCTTTCAAGCCAAGATGGAAACCTTGTGGCTGAGTCACTGACAGTAATCCGTCATCTGATCCAGCAAGATCCACAAGCGCACGTGCAAACCGTGATTAGGTTGGCGAAGAATTTGGATACTACGACAAACCCAGAAGCCAGAGCAAGCATTATATGGCTCGTCAGCGAGTTTTCAGGTTTGCCAGAAGAAGAAAACATCGCCCCCGACGTCCTCCGCATTCTTGTCAAAGGGTTCGCCGACGAATCCGAGGCAGCTAAATTGCAAATTGTTCTCCTAGCTGCCAAAGTCTATTTGCACTATCTCATCCGCACCACTCCAGCACAAACAGAAGAAGCACCAGGCATTCCATCAGCCCAAGTTGTCGAGTGTGCTTCACTTCATATTTCAGCCGCGGCTGAGGAGAATGGCTGGCAAGATCCTCACCCGCCGCCCTCAACCGACCAGCCGGGAGTAGAATCAGATCAAGACTCTCCTCATCCCATACCTCTTCTGTGGACCTACGTCCTGCATCTAACGCGCTATGATGTCTCCTACGACCTCCGAGATCGCACTCGTCTCTATCGTGCTCTCCTATCCAATCCTCAATCCACTCAACTAGCCTCCCTACTCCTGCTCGCCCCCAAGCCTGTTCCTCACACACCCTCTCCATCCGAAAATCGAAAAGGTCTGCTGATTGGCTCAAGTAGTCTTGTCATTGGTGTCGAAGCAGCTGGTGCAGACGGTATGATGGGATATGAGAGCTTGCCTGAGTGGGTTAAGGAAGGGGAGGAGCCGGATGCTAAGCTGAGGGATGAGGGTCTGGCAAAGGAGGTCTATGGGGAGAAGAAGGATGTGCCGGCGGCGAGGGAGTTGGATAAAGCGGTTGAGAAGAAAGGGTTGGGGAAGATCGGGGTTGGAGGGGCGAAGAATAAGACGTTTGATGATTGGCTAGATGAAGAAGAGGACAGTGAAGAGGGGAGTACGGAAGAGGAGACGGAGAGTGGGAGCGAGGAAGAGAGTAGTGAGGAGGAAGAGAGTGAGAGTGAGGGAGATGAGGAAGTGGATAGATTGGTCAAGCAATAGCACTGCCATCCTAGAGAGTTCTACTATGTCGCTGTCAGTCTTTGGAAGGCTAATTACACAATTTGAGCAAGTGGTTTGCTCTCTCGAATTGACTTGTTGACTTTTTGGTACAGAGGCGCAGGGCTCACTTCAGTTGCACTTGTAACTACTTCGAATGACAACATCGTGCCTTCCATCTTCTAACAACCCGCATACTCCACTTCCAAGATTCAGTATCTTCGCATCTACGTCCCGCAAACACATAAGTGCCGCTCACATAAGAGCAGCTATGATGTCGGCAAAGTCTGGCAATTCCACAGAACACGTAAATAAGAAGCCTCGCATCGACCGGTAAGTCGCTTTGCGGACACCCAAACTAGAGGAATCTAAATCAGCTGACTATTTTCAGCGACTCCTTCGACACCATGGTCGTGGTGAAGGTTGGCCGGGATGAGACGGTCTTCAGGATGCACAAGACCATCATCTGCAACGTCTCTCCCTTTTTCAAGGCAGCCTTCGAGGGCAACTTTGTGGAGGCTCAGGAGCAGGTCCTCGAGCTCCTTGACGAGAGTATCACCATGTTCAGGCATTTCCAGTTATGGGTGTACACAGATAGCATCATCACGAAAGGCGAGACAGCAACAGACATGACATGGGTCTCACTAGCTTGTCTTTACATCTTTGGAGAGATGTGCGGCATCCCGGATTTGCAGAATATGGCTATCGATGTCCTTATCGACAAGCATCAAATCTTCAGTCAGATACCCATCTCAATCATCCGCAAGGTCTACGATGACACACCTGCTACAGCGCCCCTGAGGAGACTACTAGTCGACTTAATGGCATGCAAGTTTCCCTTACTACCCGGCAGGCTCGCCGAGTGGATCAGAGAGCAGATTCCAAAAGACTTCCTTTTCGATCTAGCAGTTGCGCTACACGCGTTGAGAATTGGCATGAAAGTGGAGATCAAGGACTTCAAGGCTTGTCGCTCCGATTACCATGTCAAGTCACCAGTCTCGCCTCCAGCGCCAACCTCCGGAGGTGCAGCAAGCAAGCCGCTGTAGCACTGTCACTATCGTTCAGTGAGCTTACCGCCTTTCAACATCTTACATGATGTCTGACTTGCATTCTTAGCTCAGGAAAAGTCGACGTCGATGGAGACTTGCAAGGAGGGAGAATAAGGCGAGGGAGGAGGATCTGGAACGGCTCATGGGCGAGATAGCTAGAAGATTATATGGCACTATGCGGCGTGTTCTCTCATCATGTCATATCTGAAGATACCAGCACTGATCGTAGCAAAGTTTCATGCTCTGCAATTTCTACTCGGTAGTACTCATCAGTGCAATTCAACCATGCTCATTTCCATTCCTTCGTGATGTCGAATGACCATTCAAACTTCAAGTATTCATGACCATCGTCGTCTGCGAACTTCGACGCAGCCTCGTAATGGCCTCTGGCCAGCATGCCTGTCGGCGCCTCATCTGGCTCAACTGAAAATAGACCTGTCAGATGGAATGCACCAGATGATTGGTGCAGAGACGTACACTTTTTCTCATATACAGGCTTATCCTGCGTATTCGGCGCGAATGAGCCCTATCAATCAACCTGGTTAGCTTTCCATCCCTTTCCTACAGAAAATAAAAACACGCTCACAATCATCTCCTCATTCTTCGCAACCCTGATCCCTTTCCTCTTCGTAACCTGCAAATACTTCAATCCGCTCAGCACATCATGCTGCACAACGAAGTTTGCCTTCATGCGGAACTTGGCTCCTTCCTTGATGGTGAAAGGTTTCGATTTGAGCGCTTCGACGGAACCTGGGGCGGTCAGATCGATGGTGATGTCGGAGCGGCCTTCGACTTCGAGGGCGAGGGATTTGATGACGCAGCGACGCTGGTCTTTGGGGTCGACGTGGATGGCTGGGGATGAGGAGATGCCGAGGGAGGCTTTCCAGCGGTTGAGGGATTCGTCATTTTGGTCTGGGTGGGTCGATGTCAGGAGAAAGCTTCAAGGGACAGGGAAGACAAAGGGAACTTCAGCGGGACGTGTCGGGAATATTGCGAAGAGATGGGAGATGCTTGCAAGAGAAGAGAAGTGGGGTATGTTTGGGAGAGTATTCCCATATCGATGCGGCGAAGAAATTCTCGACATCATAGTGGGATAGTTGGCATCTCTTCAAGGGCATGAGATTATCCAACAGGATATACAGATCTTGTACAGACTTGATTCTTCTTAGGGAAGGCATTATGAATAACAGATTTGAAGGCAAAGGTGAGAGTGGATGGAAGGTCTGTCGTCGAAAATTAGCGATATGCACTTACCGAGCTTTGCATATTCTTCGACGGTCTTTTTCTCTCCGACCTTGAATCCTTCGGTGGTGGAGGCCTGGAGATCATCCTCGCCTTGGCTGGCCATGTTTATTGTAAAGACTGGAGATGTCAAGGGAGGGGTTGATGTTGTTGTTGTTTGTTGTTGTTGTTGTTGTTGTTGTTGTTGTTGAAGCTAGCTCGATTATTCGACAGCGCAGGCTGGCATATTGAAAGGTTCAGGAAGATTGGTGGGGTTTCGCTTCACTGATCCAATCATCGGACACGTACTCTATTCCGCTCTCCGCATATGTTGAAACACCATCATCAATGACCTCGACAGCAACATATTTTGTACTACATCCACTAAATATCCTCGGTTGAATCTCATCAATCTCCTGCTCACACACCCGTGACGTCGTTGTTTTTGCGACAGTGAAAGTCTAGCCAGCCACGAATTTGCTTCCAGCCACCCATTCCAACGCGGCCTCCTCCCCCAGATTTTCCCCCTAGGCTAGCCCGGAGCGAACTTGGCCTGAACGCAGAACAACACCTCACCCGCCCTTCACATTCTTCATCTCACAATTCATATACAGCATCACTGCGACAGCATCATATCGAGCGCGCCATTCCGTGTACAAGGAGCCACGCGATCAGTCAATTGGTAGAGCCCAGATTTCTTTCGACGCGCTTGGCACCCGCCCGAAAGCTTACCCTCGACGTCAGTACATCATCAACAACACTGATTGAAATTTTGGAGGTATAATCGCAATGTCGAATGTACAGATCAATGGAACCTCTGAGCGGGTACTGCCAAGCAAGCGCAATCCTCTTCTTGCGCCTGAAAAGACACAACCTCGTACGATCCTACCCAAAGTCCAATTCCGTCTTCATTGCTAATCCGCTCCAAAATAGACAGCGAACTCATCGCGAAGCGCAGGCTAGGACAGACGAATCTAGCTGTAAAACCTGGACAAGTCGGAACCTCCAATGCTACAAAGCCGGAAAACCTTGGACCTTTTGACTATGCACACCTCCGCGCTCCCCTACCACGTAGTCTGAAGGGATCCGAGATATTCGCACCTCATCAAAATCAGCCGACGCCCGAGGTTTACTTCCTCATGGTACGTGTGTCTGGACTGTCGTTGCGCCCGGAAGCCAACCGCTGACGATGTCATCGTGCCTCTAGAGACGTAGCACTGATGGCTATGTGAGTGCGACTGGAATGTTCAAGGCTGCCTTCCCATGGGCAAAGCATGCGGAGGAGAATGCAGAACGCGACTACGTCAAGAGCCTGCCATCGACGGCACAGGACGAGGTTGCAGGCAATGTTTGGGTCTCTGAATTATACGGTGCGTTGCTCCGATAGACCTTGCGTGATGAGCGACTGACAGCATTTCAGCAATCGAGCTTGCACAAGATTACGGGATAGTACCATGGATCCATGCTCTCCTAGACGAAGCCCCAATCTCTCAAGGCACAGACGACCCAGCAACGAAGGCCATCTCTCCCCCACCGAAATTCACGTTTACGGCAAATGACAGGACTCTCCTACCCCCTCCCAACGGAACAACTGCTCGCGCCTCAACACCAAAAGCAAGAGGTAGACCCAGAGGGACTTCTCCTGCGAAGAACGCAAGTCCCGGCAAACCATCTACGAAGAAGCCTAGAGCATCAAAGGCCGCAAAAGAGGCAGACGCCGCATCAGCGCGTGAGGCCAGCGCGTCTCTACAAGCTACCCTAGACCATACGGCGCCTGACGGTACGTCCACAGCAGAGCCAGAATCAGCAGACGGCGAGAAAGTCAAGATCCGTGTCGAGTCCAGCGTTGAAATCAAGGGTGACACTGAGAGAGGAGAGACTACCACTGTGAACATCGAAATGCCCACGGGATTTCCAGAATTACCATTGCCAGAACGTCCGGAGGAGATGATTGAAACAGCGAGAGCAATGGTAGAAGAGGCCAGGAAGGCAGATGGGGAGGGTAGCTCCTCAAAAGCGAAACGAAAGGCAGAGGAGATGGACGAGGAATCCGATGGATCTGCAGATAATGAACTTCAGCCCGCAAAGAAGGCTAGGCTCTTAGGGGAGGAATTGAAGAAGGAAAAAGTGAGGACGCGAGCCTTACTTGGAGTTGCGGCTACATTGGTGATCGGGTATGTGCCTATGAGACTATCTCGTCCAATATTGAATGTTGCTGATACCAGAAACAGAGCTATAATCCCACTTGTGCTGCCCGGCTGATCTGTCCAGCCTCAATAGATTGATTGCCCATTGATGGAATTCATTTGATTGGTATCGACAAGATTCAAGCATCGAGTGCCTACAGGCGTCGAGAAATCTCTTTCCCTTCTCATCATACCCTCTTGTACGCTCTACACTGTCAAATATCTTTTCTGGCAGGCGTTGGAGGAGCTTTCCTGTAGGACGGGAGATTTGAAACTTCCCCTAGGATTAGAAGCCGAAAGTAATATTGCCGACAGCTGTAGTCTGCACAATACGGAGAGACCCGTGTCTTACAAGCTGTTGTACTTTAATCCGATAGTCTTGAGGACTACATAAAAGGAAGAGGCACGTGACAGGGTCCCGGCGTCTATCAATCGCTCGTGGCTTTTGCCCTGCTTAGAACCCCCACTTTGCCACCACCACCATCGCACAAGCATCCTATCGATGTCAACGATGCACTCCCATCAACTGTGTTAACCCGCTTCACGTGCCTTACCAAGTTACAATGTGGAAGCACATGACATGCGACATGCGGGAGATATCGGAGTCCCATTCCTTTCGCCCATTGGCTAATCAGAGTCTTGCTCCAACTGCGCTATCCACCAACCGAGGGATAAAGTGGAACTCAAAGCGAACACTCGCATAGACCCCTCAAACGCTCTCGAGTCTCATCCCGCACCTTGAAAGCTTCCCCAGCTTTCGAACTACCTTACTCTCTGTCTTTCATGTTTCTATCTCCACACGTGATTTCTTTGTTTTCCTCATTATCGCCATCTCTTTGCATTCCCTAACAAGTCAACATGAGCGCTGCCGTCTCTGTCCGATTCTCTCCCTCTCGCCTCTGCATGCTAAGCAATGGCCCCTCAGCATCCTCGCTATCCTCCATAACAAGGCGCTCTTTCGCTTCCACACCCGCAAACCTAGCAACATGGGGATTTATAGGTCTTGGACGAATGGGTGAGCTTCACGCTTCCTTATCGCACGTGGAAGCCCCACCATGTCCTCGACAGCGTGCCCCAATTGAAGAATGAATTGTGCTTACAAATGGCTGCGTGCCCTTCTCAGGGTACCCAATGGCCAGAAACCTACGTGCAAAGATCCCGGCGAGCGATACTTTGATCATACATGACCGCAACAAAGAAGCTACGGCCAGTTTCATGCATGAAGTCGGCATTGCAAGGGACAGTCCAACCTCGAACAACCAAATGGGCCTTATGGGCATTGAGATTGCAAGCTCGCCGAGAGCAGTGGCTCAGAAGGCTGTACGTGACTTGTCTTCTAGTGTCACCATGCGTTTTCCTTATGATGAGCATGTTCCAACCTCAATGATCTAAGTTGGGGGCTCGCGTCATGCAGCCCTTTCCCTGATTCGAATTCCACATCAAAGCCAATCCTCTGACATCGTCAATCCCACACTCTCTTCTCGGCGGCCAAATGAAAGTCGCCAATTGCTCACTCATCGCGCAGGAAGTCATAGTCACCGTCCTCCCCGAGCCCTCCCATGTCAAAAACGTCTTCCACAACATCCTCAACCCACCTCTCCCACCACTCACGTCCTCCTCCGGCGCCTCTGAACGCCTCTTCATAGATTGCTCCACCATCGACCCCACCTCCTCCCGCGAAGTCGCCAACGCCGTCCACTGCACAGCTCAAGGTCGCTTTGTCGACGCTCCCATGTCCGGCGGCGTCGTAGGCGCACGGGCTGGCACTTTGACATTCATGTTGGGAGCCAGCAGTAGATCTGGAGGACTGGTGAAGAGGGTGACTCCAATATTGGCACTTATGGGCAGCAAAGTCCTTCACCTGGGCGAACAAGGTGCTGGGCTGTCAGGGAAACTAGCGAACAACTACCTCCTTGCCATCTCCAACATCGCAACCGCCGAAGCCATGAATCTCGGCCTGCGATGGGGCCTCGACCCGCACGTCCTTGGCGAACTGATCAACGGTAGCAGCGGCCGATGTTGGAGCAGCGAGATCAACAACCCAGTCCGCGGAATCAGCCCGGGAGCGCCAGCGGAGGAAGACTACGAAGGCGGTTTCGGGGTGGAATTGATGAAGAAAGACTTGAGGTTGGCGATGGAGGAGGCGATGAGGGTGGGTGCCAAGGTGGAGATGGGAGAAAGAGCAGGAGACGTGTATGAGGATGTCGAGGCTTCGGAGAAAGGGAAGGATTTTAGCGTTGTCTACAGGTGGTTGGGAGGCAAGATGGTGTAGTATATGGGGTTTCTCATGGCTATGTATTGGTCTCTCTGAACGAGGGGCTGCCATCTGAGAGGGAATAGGAACGGCAATTGTTTTATAGCTGGTCTGTTTTCGGCTGGAGCTTTGAGGGCTTTGCGAACCTTTGTAGATAGATTAAGCGATTCATGAGTTCATTCTCTCCTGTGTCTTGCTATCGAAACATCGTAGTACTTCATATAGCGTTAGAACAGAAAACGGCATATGGAATCTGCCTATCTACGATGCCTTTCCCGTCTATAACGATGACCAAATGAACATTTGATATGCCTCACATGATTCCAACGCTCTGATGCAACCTGGTATCATCAAAGGAAATACTCGACCACAACGCCTTGACCATCCTGATTCGGCTGATTCTGCTGCTCTCCCCTATGCAGATCATTCTCCGGCGCGGCATCAAAGACGTTGAAATACCTCTCTCCCTGATCGCTGACCTCGAGCACACTCGCCATGTTTCCGCATCTGTAGCAATAGTTCGGCGCGCTCCAGACTGTGCTCAGTCGATCTTCATAAAGGACTTGGTAGCCCTCTTGACAGAGCTGGTGCGCACGAAGGATGTGGTTCATCTTGTTGACGTCCAGGAACTTCTTCACCACCTGCGCTCCAAACGTATAGCCCGCGCCTCTCGGAGACAGCGAGAACTCATCCCTCTCCGGATCCGGATCACTCCACACCAAATCTGCCATTGGGCCCTCATGCGGTATCTCTCTAAAGCGATCGATAATCTTGATCTGATCGATACTATGTATACTCGGACTCAATCCGCCATGCACGCAAAATATTTGATTGTTGATCACCACAGAGAGGGTGAGGAAATCGAACATGTCGGTGAAGTAATGCCAGACGTTCGCGTTGCCGTATTTGCGGTTGCATTCGGTGTAAAAGCCATATGATTGTGTTACGCCGCGAGACTCGTGGTTGCCGCGGATTAAGTGCACGCGGGACGGGTAGCGCAATTTAAGGCAGACAAGGAGGGAGATTGTTTCGACGGAGAAGAGACCGCGGTCTACATAGTCGCCTAAACCGAAGAAGATATTAGCGACTCCGTTGCGGTAGCAAAGTGGCGAACGTCTTGTGGATTGAACGCAGAGACCAGCTCAAGAGATTTCGCTCTACTGAGCACGCGAGCACTCTTGGGTACAGCTCACCCAAGAAAAGATAATTGGTATCTGGACAGAAGCCTCCAATTTTGAATATCTCAATCATATCAAAGAACTGCCCATGTATATCTCCAACCACTGTGACTGGCGCTGCGATGTGTACAACATTGCTCTCTTTCATCAGAAGCTCCTTTGTTTTGGCGCATATTGCCTCTATGACAGAGTCGGCAAGCAATTCTTTCTTGTAGAGTCTTTCGATACATTCATCGAGATCGACACTTGCTAGAGCAGAGGGTTAGCAAGCCGTTTGTTGGTTAAAGAGCAACGGGTGGAGGCATACCTGGAAGACCGGGCATGTCTTTGCCTCCCAACCCAAACGGGGGCTCTCAGACCGCGTTGCTCTGCAGGATGGCTTTTCTTTGATCTAGCAGTGCGGAAGCCTGCTGTAAGATATATCTCAAAATCATCATGAGCTTTACTCCCTCACAACAGGAAACTGCATCGCATGATGGGAAAACATTAGACAGGCCTATGTGTACTTGATGTTGTACCTACTCCTCTCAGTCAAATTTTGACTTTTCGCGAGCGGAAGCTATCCGAAAAGCGTTAGCTATCTCGATATACGTACACCCTCTCAAATCGCTCTTTCCAACTTTCTTGTTTGAGACAACACTGCATCTTCCATGCAATCTGCAAACTCCCACAGTCTCTACCCTTTCCAAAGAAAATCGTTTTCTCGGAACCGTTTATCCGCCAAATCGTGTTAAGTCTGACGAGCAACTTAGGTTGTGCAGATACTCAGCGGCCTGTAGGAGTTCTCTTTGACCAGCTAGTCTCAGTCGGATCTTAAGATCTCATTCGCTGTCGGCTCTCTTCCCTTTTCTGAAACACGTATATGCATCACCCTTGTCAAGAACTCCTCTAAGAATTCTGGTCGTCAACTTCAGATTTACTTCCACCAGAAAATTAGTTCTGTTTGAAAACGTCAAGCCCCTACTCCTAGGTTTCTTGTCCCTACAAACGTCTTCATGATCTGAGGGCGAGTGTCCATATTGTGCTGGCGGCAGAAGCAAGAGTTCAAGTCATAATTGTCAAACATGGCTGCCACTCAGTGGCCGCAACAGTATCAGCAGTATCAACAGCTGCCTCAGCATTATCAGCAGCCTCAACAATACGCACAAGGCCAACAGTACCAGCAACCCCAGCAGTATCAGTATCAGCATAATCCGCAATATCAGGCACAGCAATACCAACAACCTCAGCCCACTCAGCAGTATCAGCTACCGCCGAATTCTCAGCCTATGCAACAATATCAGCAAAACCCACCACAAGGCTACCCTGTGCAGCAGTATCAGCAGAACCAACAACATCAAGCACAGCGACATCAGCAACCACAGCAAGGTCAACCGAGACAGCAGTATCCGCAAGTTCAACAAGGCCCGTCAGCGCAACAGTATGCGCAATCTCAACAAAGCCAGCCAGCGCAACAATACCCGCAGCAGCAGTCTCATCAACCTCAACAAGGACAAAATGGCTACCATCATCAATATGCACCGCAGCATTACCAATCACGACAGTACGCACCCCAGCTGCAAGGTTCTCCTCCCCAGCATGACTCCTCTCCTGTTCATAGTTCACCTCAGCATCCAGTTGTTTCTCAGCATTTCGGTACTTCTCAGCACGGGCCTTACCAGCAAGCGTGCCAGCCGCAACCTAATCCTGCCCATGGACAGAGTCCCGCTCATGCAGCACCTCAGCCATGCTTCAATTGTGGCAACTCGGGTCACTTCGCGATGGACTGCCCGGAACCGATACGTGAGGTTCCAGCGTAAGTTTCATACTTGGCTTCTTTGCGATGTTTCTAATGCCAAGTGTAGAGGAAAGTTAAACCCGCAAGCCTTTCAAAATCCATTGAGAAAATCCAAAAATGGTGGTACTGTGGCCACCCAACACCAATACACGCCACATCCCGGTCATACACAAGTCTCGCCAAAAGGGTACCCACCACCCCCTCATGGGCAAATGGAGTATCCCCAACATCATCAGTATCAACAAGCGTATAGTCCTGCCACTCCGCTTTCGGCGCACTCACCAGCTCAAGCGCAATACTATCAGCAATGGCAACAGTACTACCAATCTCAACAAGCTTATCAGCAAGGCAACCAGCACCACCAAGTGTCACCGCATCACCAACAGCCATATATGGCTCCACATGGTCAAGTTACGGGATATCCAAACGGTTCTCAGACGCCCAGCCAGGCGTCTGTCCAAGCCTCGCAATACACTGGCGGCTCCCAGATGTACCAATCACAATTCACGCCAGCTTCAGCTACTTCTGTCCAATCTAATCAACAGTCTTTTGGCGCTGAGGCCACGGCCCAGCCAGACCAGCGAATGGAATCCTCCGCATCTATGAAGTCCCAGTCTACCCCACCAAGCTCAGACCAAGCTCAGGTCCTAGACTATGATTTTGAAGACGATGACTTGGACTCTCTTGACATACCCGATTTACCACAATCCAGGTTACATTTCACCAATGCATCACAACAATCTGTCTATCTTATCAGTCAACCTCTACCAGGGAACTTTATTGTTGCGGACGCTCTAGCACCGTTTCCGCAGCCAGCACCTCAAGATAAAGGCTATTGCAAGTCAAAGTACCAATACGATGGAAGTCTCGAAGCCTGCCTTGAGCAATCCAAAGATTCAAAGTACTGGGACAAAGAACACGCAGATGATATCGCTTTCTCTGATCTCCCAGCTGACGGTAAGGTTGTTCCTGTTGGCGAAATCCTGCTGAAGATCAGGCAACGTCGCGCGCATCCAGGATCAAGCGATGAATTGAACAGAGATTCTCGCAGTCGGTCGCGAACAATTTCCATGAACCAGGATTCGCTCGAGGTAAAAAACACGCTAGACAGGATGGAGCGTGAACTGGCAGAGACCAAAGCGAGGCTTCAAGAAAAGCTTGAAAAGGGGAAGCCGGCAAATCCAGTGCACGCATCCCCACTACAGTCGGTGAAGCCGGAGCAGCATCCGCTTGGGGATCACGAGGTTAAAGAAGAATACCATACACCCCCAGAACCTGCGACCTTTGGGCAACCAATAAAATCCGAACAGGACCCTGAGGATGTTCTCGCAGCTTTAGGTGTGACTGGAGCACCGAAGCCAGTCACAGCAACTACTTGGCCAGATCAATACATTGGACATGGCTCACCTAATGATACGCATGTGTCACGTAGTAGAAGCTCGTCGAGAGCAGATATGTGGGTTCATGTTCCATATATCACGCGGTGACCGGCGATCCTGCTGACCTGCTTCCAGTCTTGGTGGAGACCAGCATCAAAAACAGTCCGACCCTAGTCAAGTACCCCCAGAGCACCAAACCAATGGTTCAATTTCCTATAACCAACACTTCGGACCTCTTCCGCCGCCGCCAATGCCTTTCAGACAGCAACCGCATCCAGATGGAACTGATGGCAGCCCACTGTCTGCTGGACTCGCCAACGTTAATCCCTTTGGCTACAGCACTAACGGTGTAGATCACAGCAACGGTAATGGCAATGGGTTCTTCACCCCGCCGACAGATGGACAAGCTCTTTCACCCACTGAATTACGCTCAGAGAAGTCGCTGAGCCGCAAACGACATCGAGATTCCTCCTCTGATGAGGAAGACGCTCCGAAAAGACGCCAAGAAGACGACTATACGCCGAAGCTCAAGAAGCGTCAACCCAAAGTCGCCGAGGCGTACAGGTGAGTAAGATCCTTCCTTGTGTCCCAGCCAATTCCTGATGCCGTTTCAGTCGCCGCTGGTAGGTGCCTTTTGAGTTACGATACTCTGGGCATCTTTTTCACCATCTTGTTCAGCTCCAAACAATTAAAATGCATAGCGTGGCGCTCAAGCACGGGCCTTGTTGTATTTCCGATACTCTCAATTGTGTTGGAAATTTGTACTTTGAAAGACTTCATTTCTCTAGCAGCACTCAAATATTTCGTGCAGAGGCTGGCAATAATTAGGGTTGGTCAAAACCATGATCATAAAGTTTCAAGCATGCCGCATCTCGAATTTGGCGCAAGACGCTACTTTTAGAAAGAATATTGTGCTACTAAGCTGGTTTTGCTTTGCACATTTACGAGTCTAGCATTTCTTGAATGACATGGTCTGCCCGCGTTTACTAGTATGCTATTCAAGCAGAAGTCAGGGAAGTAAGGGAAGTAGGCACAGGATTGAAACGTTGACAGGATCTAGCAGTGAGGTCTGAGCTCAGCGACGAGAAGAACCAAAACTCGTTAAGGTATCGTAAGCCGTAGTTTTTGGAAGCTTGTGTCAAGGTAGCATGATAACTGCCTTTTCTTCGCTGCAGCGTGGCCCTTCGCACCCATGCTATCAAATGCTAACAATGACGAGTTCTATGACTTTCTACTAAATACTGCATCCTTGAAGTTTGTTGTCCCTGCGATCAAAGCATCTTGTGGCCATATGTAAATTGTTGGTGTCATCGTTTTGTAATCTACCGTGAAGTATTGTATGTTTCAACGCTTGCCCTACATGAGATTTGAAATCGTTGGGTCTGCTCTAGGGCTAGAATGCTACCATGGTTTGCAAACGTTCCTGCATTGCATTCTACTTGATTAACTTATCTTGTAACACCTGTCGTAGAAGTTACCGTGGACCTCCATGCGGTGAGTGAGATAGGTTCACAACGGCGCCAAGCCATTGCCGAACCATCCCCTTGCCCAGCATGCATCCGCGCAGGGTCTCCCGACAACCACACAGGGTTGTCGGTCAGACCCAGGTTGGCCTGCTACCTGTCACAAAGCAGAGCAAATGTCCATCAAGTCTTCCACTATACGTGGGGACTTGAAGGGCGCCTACCGAAAGGGGCTGCGATCCGATCTCGATTTCCAATAGCAGGCCGGTGTGCCTGCTCTGGAGTTCACCTTTTGGCAATCGAGCTGGGCGGCCTCGTGCTTGTGGGTTTGATGGAGATATGCCGGCGGAGACCTGAGCACAAGGGCGTGAGGGATTTGACCGGACGGGAGGGCAAGGGTCGGACCACGAGGTTCGATTCGCTTCGTGATGGATGATGGTCCGCCACCGAGTTGGCTGTGTACTTCACCGATATTCTTGTTGTTACGGAGGACTATTTGGGAGATTGGGCAAGTTCATGTCCTTTCTTCGAAAAGGTTGATTTGGTGTCGTGGCGGAGGACAGGAAGAAGACGGAAAGGACAACGGCCGCTTCCCGGGTGAGGAGGAGATTCGGCTTGCACAGAATTGGGTGTATTGGGGGATAAAGCTGTACAGCATATGATCCTCGCTTTTGTTAGATATGTGGGGTATGTGAAATGGTAATTGAATTCTTTGGGCGGTTAGAGGACGTAGTTTTGACGCATATCTATTTGGAGTTTGGGGAAGTTCTAGTAGGGAAATGCCTGGGGCATCAACTGTAAACTTTACTTGGTCTACAGCCTGCGAATCTGCCTGGTCGAGCATCTGTCGACTATGTGGGTGGCGTGATGTCGATGATTTAATTTGAACGTCCGTTGCTTTTGTAATACGCCCCGAGGGTTGTTCGCAACGCTATGTAGGGTATATCGAGAGACAACTCCGTTAGACCTTTCGCTATGCATGATATTTCCTCTCGCTATATTTGAAGATTCCCAGTCGCTATGCTTTAATCACCTACTTTTTTACTCACCATCCTCAACTACTGCCCGAACTGTGACCTCGGGGTGCTGCCACCATCTCAAACGTGTCATATACGGGGTCGATGCCTCGACCAGCCCTGTTTTCAGCGACGCGATATTTGTAGTATATGTGATGACGATCGCCGGGAAGGAGGAACGAGTGCTTGGCCCATTTCGGGTCATTGAGGAATTTCTGCTTCATATGGCCTTCGTAGAAGGCTTGCTCAGTTACTGGGTGGATGCAGATTGCCCTGACAATGCGTTCGATACGTCTCTCAGCAACGCAGTCATCAGGGCGGATCGCACCTTCGGGCAAGGTTTCATACTCTTCCTCATCTTCTTCGTCGCTGTCTTCGTCATCGGTGTCGTCAATGACCTCCATCTTACCGTCACTATCTTCAGATTCGAGGAATGACTCCTCTACCTGTGCCATGACTTTTTGACCCTGTTTGATTGGATCGATGCGAGGGCAACTGATGGCGTCGAGGTATTGCTCATTGGTCATCTCGGAGACTAGCTGAGGGGCGTTTTCAGGGTCTTGGTATACCAGGGCATCGTTGTAGATTTTGTATGACTCGGGTTCCTGTAAAGTGTTGGTTTGATCTAACATAGTGGTTGTTCATATAGCTTACATCCTGGTCAACCCAAGCCAAACGCTGCCACGGCTCATCTCTCATATCGCGTAGGAGCTTGGCGGTTGCTCTCATTCCCCCATACATATCCTCCTCGCTACCTTCGGTCGATTTGACAGCCATATTGACAGCCCTGGCTTCGGGTTCTTGCTCAACATTATCGCGATTGTCCGGACCTCGCTCTGTTCGAAATGCGGTCTTCTTTGCCTCGTTGATAGCATCAAGATGGACGAACTGGGGCCGTAACTGGACAATTGCATCCATTTTCGTCCAAGTGCAGATGTCTGTGCGATATTTAGTAGGAAAGTTTGTGGTGATCGGAGCTGATGTGCTCACCGTCTTTGAAAGTCGCTGCCATATAGATTGGGTCACCGTTCTTGAACGGATAGATCTGACCGCCCAAAGTAATTTTGTTCATCACATGGCCCTTGTTGTTGGCATCATCAAAATTTTCCAAGAGCTTTTCGTGCGAGGGCCCTTCTGGTGCGGGTGCCCGGCGGTCGCTCTTTGATATTGCCTTTGGACCGATTCCCAAACCACCACCAAGACTATACGATCCTCCTTCCTGTAGCAACCGACTTTTGCGCATAGCCTCTCCGTACTCGACACCTCTCTCCTTGTCGTAATTTACGTGAATGTTCACTGGGATCTCGACCTCGACAAGACCGCATTTAGGTTTGATGCGGATTTCCAAAGGCTTATTACCAGACGTTGCACGATATTCTTGACCAACCTCTCGGTTGGGATACTGCATCAACATGGCACGTTTGCCCGTTGGCTTGTTGATGAACAAGCGGTATTTAGCCACGACTTTGCCTAATCTATGGCTCTTCTCCCTCATTGATTTGATGTAAGCTTCGTTAATGGCCGTAGGATCATGGTTAGGATGGTTGGAATAGAACCCAACGCGCTGCCAGATCTCACGGTGCGCCTCCTTGATACGGTCGTCTGGGGGGGAGACTGGCTCGCCCTCGACGGCAGTATGGCAAGCTCGAGCCGCTCGAAGCTGTTCTTTTATACTGTTAAAGGACGCTTTTGGTAGCGGTGGATTAGGCTGGTGGGGTGCTGAGCCCTTGGGATATGTCACTTCTTCGAGAGGTAGCTGCACATTTTGCGCGAGAGAGTCTGCTCGCGCAGCCTGGTTGAGCTTGGTCTCAACGATAGCAGACTTTTTCTTGCCGCGAGGCATGGTCGCTGCTGTAGGAAGATGACTTTGAATCTGGCAGATATTTGCAGGCAAAATGATATTACGCGTTTACAAACTGCCGTCATTCCCCGCGTTTATGCAGGCTTATCGCCTAGCGCCGCTGTTATCGGTAAGCGCGAGCTTGCTTCTCTTAAGTATTGCTGACCAGTCCCTTGAACGGTATCGCTCCCTGCAATCATGGCATATCTTGCTCCTATACATCGTGGGACTAGCGTGCAGCATGCAATAAAGCTCCATATATTGTCTGCAGATGAGGAATCACTGGTTTTAGCGTGAGTTCGCCTTCGATGTTAAGGATGACGCTCGGCGTTGACTGTGCATTAGCAAAGCCAACCGGCTCGAAATCTACAATCAGACCCCAGATGGCTTGGTGCTGGCTCATACAAGAAGCCTGTATGGCAAGGTCACAATGTTGGAGACGCTACGTCCGGCCAATGCCTCAACCGAACACCTCTTCGTTGGTACAGATCGATATATGTACTTTACGGTCTCCTGGGACTCAGAGGCGCGGCAATTACGTACGGAGAAGAGCTATCAAGATCAAGCTGAGAAGACTGCAAGAGACTCTCAGACCGAAGATCGGTGCCTGATAGACCCTACCAGAAGATTCATGGCGCTTCTGCTCTACGATGGCATCGTCACTATATTACCCATACACCAGCAGGGCAGCAAGAAGGGCACAGGCGAACCTGGAACTCTGGGCGATGCTGTACCGGCAAGAATCTCCGACTTATTTGTTCGATCTTCAACTTTTCTGCACCCTCGACAAGAAGATGCCGAACAGCTGAAATTCGCCTTTCTCTACGAAGACAACCAGCAAAGAGTGTGCTTGAATGTTAGAAATTTGGAATATTCTGCCAGCGGCAGTGGGGAACCAGGTAGCGCAGACCTTGAGAAAATTGTTAGCACACGGGACGATTTAGAGCTTGGGGCTAGCCATCTCATAGCCGTGCCTGCCCCAGCTTGTATGCCACGTCCAGTACTTGCAGTCGCTCACCTACTTACATAATGACAGATGGCCTGCTCATCCTTGCTGAAACTTCAATAACGTATCTAGACGATGTCAATGGGGAAGTTCTGAGCAATGCTTTGGAGGAAGCAAGGCAATTTGTGGCTTGGGCACAGGTTGACAATCAGCGTTGGCTTATAGCAGATGACTCTGGGAAACTTTACCTCCTTATGCTTCTACTGGAGAATGAAGGCGATGTCACAGGCTGGAAGCTTGATGCGATTGGACAGACATCACGGGCCTCCGTACTTGTCTATTTAGACGGGGGATATATGTTCGTCGGATCCCATCAAGGGGACTCACAGGTTGTCAAAATTCAAGAGCAAGGCATCGAGGTAGTACAGACGATCTCGAACATCGCGCCTGTCCTGGATTTCACTATCATGGACATGGGCAATCGGTCAGGCGAAGGACAGACCAATGAATACTCCTCGGGGCAAGCTCGTATCGTCACCGGATCGGGAGCTTTTCAAGATGGTAGCCTCCGAAGTGTCCGTAGTGGAGTTGGCTTAGAAGAGCAGGGTTTGCTGGGAGAGATGGATCATGCCACGGATCTCTTCTCATTGAGGTCAGGCGATGCAAGCGCTAGTGTAGATCTACTCGTGGTGTCCTTCGTTGGCGAGACAAGGCTATTTCAGTTCCAAGCAGATGGAGAGGTGGAGGAAAAAGCGGAATACAAGAGCTTATCATTGTCAGAAGGCACTCTACTTGCTGCAGATCTTTCAAATGGCCGGCTGCTCCAAGTCACTGCATCGTCGGCTCGCTTGATTGAGTCAGAAAATGGTATGGTTATCTCCGAGTGGTCCTCGACCGATGGCCATCCAATCACGGCCGCGTCAGCAAATGATCAGAACCTTGTGCTGTCAGTCAATGGTCTGGAAGCCCTTGTACTGGATCTGAGGGAAGACTTAAAGGTCTGCGCAAGAAGACAATTCACAGAGGAGGGTCAAATTGCTTGCATCCACGTCTCGCATGTCTCGTCGGAGATCTGCATAGCAGGCTTCTGGCAGAGTGCCGCCGTTGCTATTTTCAAGATTGATACTCTCGAAACACTGCAGAAAGTCATTGTCAGCGATGAGACAGTCTCAGTACCGCGCTCTATCCTACTTGTCCAGATTCTCCCAGAACAGCCACCTACGCTGTTCATCGCCATGGCCAATGGCGAAGTCATCACCTTTTCCACCAATCTCACCACCTTCGCACTCTCCTCGAAGAAAGTCACCGTACTTGGGACTCAGCAAGCAAGCTTCCAGGCTCTCCCAAGAAGTGATGGCTTGTCAAATGTCTTTGCAACGTGCGAGCATCCAAGTCTGATCTATGGCTCTGAGGGCCGTATTGTGTATTCTGCCGTCACAGCTGAAAAAGCGTCGTGCATCTGCTCTTTTAATTCCGAGGCTTACCCTGGTGCCATCGCCATAGCTACACCCGAAGACGTCAGGATCGCGCTTGTGGATACAGAGCGCACAACACACGTTCAGACTCTACCTGTCGGAGAGACTGTACGAAGAATGGCATACTCACCCAAGCTGAAAGCCTTTGGCATAGGAACAATACACAGATCATTGCGTCAGTCACGAGAATTTATCAAGAGTCACTTCAAGCTCGCAGATGAGGTCCTCTTTAAAGAGCTCGACACTTACGCTCTCAACGAAGAAGAGTTGGTGGAAAGCGTTATCAGAGCCGACATTCGCGAAGATTCTGGCGAGCTAGTCGAACGCTTCATTGTTGGGACTGCATATCTGGATGACGAAGAGCCAGACTCAATACGCGGCAGAATCATTGTGTTTGCTGTCACTTCTGAACGAACCCTCAAAGTCATCACCGAACTGCCTGTCAGAGGCGCCTGCAGAGCCCTCGGCGTAATCTCAGGCAACATTGTCGCGGCGCTCGTGAAGACAGTACGGCGATCCGCCTTCTTCCTATTTCACTCTGTTGCAGACACAACAGCTAACGTACCTTCTAGGTTGTGGTATATTCCCTCGAAAATTCTCATCTCCACAAACGTGCCACCTACCGCACCTCTACCGCCCCCATCGATATCTCCGTTCACGGCTCCCAGATCGCGATCGCTGATCTCATGAAATCCTTGTCCGTCACCACCTACACTCCCGGTTCGGTAGGACTCGAGGACACCCTCACAGAAACGGCCCGCCACTACCAGACAGCTTGGAGCACCGCTGTCGCTCATGTTGGTGAAGACACTTGGCTCGAAGCTGATGCTGAAGGCAATCTTATGGTGCTACATCAGAATGTCGGCGGTGTGACGAGTGATGACAGGCGAAGGTTGGAGGTTACCAGTGAGCTGAGGTTGGGGGAGATGGTTAATAGGATCCGGAGTTTTGAAGTCAGCGAAACCGATACTCGTACCCCTGCGCCCGTGGTACCGAAAGCGTTTATGGGTACCGTGGAAGGCAGTATCTACCTCTTTGGCCTCATTGCCCCAACACACCGCGATCTCCTCATGCGCTTGCAAGCTGCGCTGGCGCCCATGGTGAATAGTTTGGGGGACGTTCCGTTCAATGCATATAGAGGGCTTAGAAATCAAGTCAGAGAAGCAGAAGAGCCTTATCGGTTTGTGGACGGGGAGTTGATTGAGGGCTTTTTGGACTTAGGGGAAAGGGTGCAAGAAAGTGTTGTAGGGGGTCTGGGGGAGGTGGGGGTGAAAGCGGGCGGAGTTGAGGGCGTAAGAGAGCTGGTAGAGGGATTAAGGAGATTGCATTGAGAGCTTTCTATTTAATTTCTCATGAAACCCAACAATGTGACAGTTGAATATCAAAGCAATCAATTGAGATCGTGACTAAGAGAACCCTTTCCCTTCCGCCCTACCCGAAAAAGAAAAATGCAAAAAACAAACCAAAACAAATAGATGTTCAGGACATTCATACCCGGGCAAGAGTTGAGTAAGGACTCTAAAGTGTTTTTGATCCTTTAGCGACTCACATATTGGAACGAACCCGAAGAGAAGAGATTGCACGCAAAACCCATGTAGCGCATGTCATTAAGGCACTTAAAACCAAAACTAGTCACGCAAATATCAAAGTCGTAGTTCTGTATGTCTGTGCTTGTTGTGGAGGCTCAACAACCCAATGCTGACTCAAATAACAATGGCCAGGGGTCGACTATTAACCCTCGGTTGCAATCTTGATTTTTAATTTTTGAAGATTATAGATCATTTTAGTAAATCCCTTTTTCATCGAGCAGTTTGGCCTAGTGGTTTACACTGGAATACCCAAGTTAATCTGATGAGGCCTTACTCGTCAACCGTTGGCCCAGTACAGTATTGCCACTAACGTCAGCTCGAGGGTTTGCATCCAGATGAATATGCCAGTCTTTAATAAGGCTGAGCTCCTGTAGTCTGGGTGATTTTCCTTTTGCTCCTCGGTTCGACGACAGCTGTGGGGCCCTTTTTTTTTTTGCTTTGTTTTTTGAGTTCTTTCAAAGTAGATCACGCCTCGCATGTAATTATGCGAAGCCAAATTTTTGCATCCTCGATATGGATAAAGGGCAAGGTCAAAGCAGTCGAATCACAGATACTTCGTAATGCAACGTCCGTTAACAGACTTGCTCTACACTAGCAGTACATGCTACTCTCTTGATGGATCAGCCAAGGCGTCTGGATCCCTTAAAACTTACACGCACCTCTCAAGGCCGCCTTCCAACACAACGAGTGATAGCTTTCCTTTGATTGACCAAACATTGTTTCTTGTTATGTGGTACGCATAGCTACAAGGTCACTCCCTAAAATCTATTTCACAGAGCATGGCCTGAAATACAGAAAACGATAGTGACTTCTTTGGCAGCCTGTACTTCAAATTTGTACACCCCCAAAAATGCAGAAATCATTCGACATGAAGGGTTTTGTGAAGGGAATACAGGACCTGAGGTTAGATTGTCCCCAAGCGCAGACGCTGGGACGCCGGAGCACAGTCGGGCCGCCAAAGCTGTTAAGGTTACCCTTCCTGGACATGCCTACACCTCCAAGATGTCTCTGCCTGGCCTTGACTTATCTGCTCCTGTTGAGACTTTCGCGACGCCGACTGTTCATGAGCTCAAGGAGCAAACAGAATGGAGATTCGAGGTTGCTTTTGGTACCAAAGTTGAGGTTCGGGTATGAAGTCCCAGCTCGATCGCTCTCTTCAATTCCCCTAAGTGTGAGAATACTAACCAAATCTTTGTAGCTCCTCTCAGGCACTGCTGAACTTTTTGGCACCGAGCTCCCTATCAACCAGACTTACACCTTCACTGGCACTAAAGCGGCCATCTACACGTGGCATGGTTGTCGCATCGAGGTCGTCGGCGACTGCCAAGTCGATTATATCGCCGAAGAGACCCCCATGATGATCTATGCGAACCTACATTTTGCTCTAGAGAACCTACGTGAGAAAGCGAATTCAGAAGGAAGAGATGGACCTCGGGTGTTAATAGTGGGTTCGGAGAACGCAGGGAAGACCAGTCTAGTCAAGATACTTACAGCATACGCTACGAAAGTTGGTCGACAGCCTGTGGTGGTCAATCTTGATACGAAAGAAGGCATGTTGAGCATACCTGGAACACTCTCTGCCACAACGTTCACCTCGGTCATAGACGTGGAGAATGGATGGGGAAGCAGTCCAATGAATGGGCCTAGCCAAGTGCCCGTCAAGCTGCCTCTGGTGTACTATATGGGATTAGCCAATCCGGAAGAGAAGACTCTGATATTCAAGCCCGTTGTGACCCGGCTCGCATTGTCCGTGATGAACCGGTTACAGGATGATAGTGAAGCCAAAGAAACAGGGGTCATCATTGACACACCAGGCATTATCAGTCAAGGCAAAGGCGGCTATGAAATGATCCAGCACATCGTCTCGGAGTTCTCAGGTAAGAGTTTGACAGACGAGACCTCTGACCTGATTTCCTCTGCTCACTTCTGTGGCAGTCAGTGCGATGGTAGTCCTTGGCTCCGAAAGACTATACAATGACATGCTCCGACGCTTCAGCGGCCAGAAGACCGGCGCTGGCGAGACCATTGCTGTCGTCAAAGTGGACAAGTCTGGCGGATGTGTCGATCGAGACGAAGCATACCTACAGCAATTCCGCCAGTCTCAAATCCGGGAGTACTTCTTTGGCGACGTCAATACCACGTTAAGCCCACATACGCAACAGATCGACTTCAACCAGCTGATCATATACAAGTTGGCCGAGCGTGAGTGGGAATTTTCGTGCCTGTACCATTTGATCTGACTAACATCGTCCAGCAATCGATGACCTGCTCAAATCACTGATGCCTGGAGACGTGACAGAAGATAGCATCTCCGCCATCTTCAACAAGGTCCGACCGTCCCCGCAGATGCAAAATGCGATCCTCACCATCGTAAACGCCCACCCTGAAGATACGCAGGAGAACATCCGTGATGCCAGCGTGATGGGGTTCATATACATTGCCGAAATAGATGAGAAAAAAAACAAGCTGAAGGTGCTTGCACCCGTAGGGGGAAGATTGCCAAATAAGGCCATTATATGGGGTTCATGGCCTGAAGGAATCTCTGACTTGATGTGAAGGCTGAGGAAGCTCCGAGCTGCATGACATTGATCCGCATAGCGAGGCGTTGTTGGATAGTCAAAAAGCGATACCCTAGTTAGACACAATGCCATCTCTTGAATGCTGTCCGCTCTGTGCCATTCCATTCCACCTAGCCAGCTCCATTCGCAAGCATCGCATTGAGATATAAACCATTGCGCAGTCCTATCGCGGCTTCCCTTTGGTGCGCCTAGTCTAGCTTGATTCGTAATCAAAATGCTATAGTTTCTCATTCTTCGATCAATCGGCTTCTACATGTTATGCAGCCATAGCAATATCGGGTGCGGAGGCAATTATTGCTTTCGGTATCGCTACTAATGTCATCCAGTTCATTGACTTCACGGCGAAGCTATGTGGCCGAATACGGGAATATGCATCAGGCTCCGGCTTGCCGAAAAAGCTCGCGACCCAAGCCGACCGTCTTTCAGACCTTCTGATTATCCTTGAATCGCTGAACAAGGCCTCAAATCAAGCAGTCTTGAGCGGCCAGACCCTGGCACGATGTCAGACTCAAGCGCAGGACTTGTCCGGTATTTTGGATGATCTGAAGAGCGATGGCCAAAGGCAGATTTGGGCAAAGAATGCAAGAAGAGCATTCAAGTCGCTCAACCGTACTGACCAGATTGAAGAGCTACAAGGTGTTTTAGATAGCCTTGTCGGAGTTTTGAGCCTTCAATTGCAGGCTGATACGAGGTAAGACTTGCGGCTTCGCCCACCAAAGACTCGCTGTTGCCTACTCAAGGAATCCAATGTCCAGATGTCATTCGTGCTGACTCTTTCAAAGATCCGCATCAAGTCAAGTACAAACAAATACCGTGTTGATCCTTGAACGGCAGCTTGAGCAGATGTCGCTGCTGAGCGATCTGAGGCACATGGCAGGCTTGAAGGATCAGATTAACGACAATGCCAGCTTTTTAGACAAGGTCCTATGGATGGTATCTATAGGACGGAATCCTGCCTTCGTCGGACGCACTGCGGTGATGTCGGCCTTGGAGCTTAGGCTTGCAGCCAAACCAGATGCTGTGCCAACGGCGGTCTTGTGTGGACTAGGTGGTGTTGGGTAAGTAAAGTCTTGAACGACCGGGTGTAAGTCATAGCCGATGGCCATCGACAGCCACAACCGCTTTTTCTGACGCAGGGTATGGTGCAGGAAATCCCAGATTGCCCTGGAATACGCATACCGAGAGAGGGAACGGTCTGCGAACACATCAGTATTCTGGATTCATGCTGGTAATGCAGCGAGGTTCGTCGAATCTTACAAGCGCATCGCTTCCGAATGCCAGATACCGGGCAGAGATGACCCAAATGCAGACGTACTCCAGCTTGTCCGCGACTGGCTGGAGGCCAAGTATGAGTGTCCATGGCTAATGATTGTTGACAATGTCGATGACCGCCACCTGTTCTTTGAAACTTTTAGCTACGCTGGCAAAGCTTTGAGGGAGTATATCCCCCAAAGTTCTAAAGGTTCAGTACTCTACACGACAAGGAATAGAGACATCGGCATGGACCTCGCTCTTGATCGAGTTCCGATTACCGTGCCTTCCATGGATGCACATGAGGCCCAAGCGTTGCTTGGTCAGAAAATTATAGCTGAGAGTACAGAGACCGAGCAGCTTGAACTCCTCGGAGAGTTGGTCTATCTGCCACTGGCGATTTCTCAGGCCGCAGCTTTCATGGCGAAAAGACGCAAAAGCGTCGCCGAATATATCAAGCTATATCGTGGCAGTGAATCAACTAGAATTAGGCTTCTTGGTCAACGATTCAATCATCATGGTAGAGAAGCAAGACCGTTAGAGTCAGTCGTGACTACGTGGTGGATATCGTTTAACTACATCAAGACGGTGAACCCGCGAGGTGCGGAGATATTGTCGATGATGAGCTTTATGGATCAGCAGGGGATTCCATTCTCCTTGTTGATAGCAGACGGAGAAGATGAGTTTGATTTCGAAGAAGCGATGGGTCTATTGGGAGCATTTTCGCTCGTCACTTTGGACACGCACCGCTACGCATGCAACGTCCACGGTCTAGTCACGGTGGCCGTCCAGGGTTGGCTCCGCGAGTACGAAAATAAATGCGAAACGATCGCAGCACAAGCGTTGAAGACGGTATCCGACAGGTTTCCAGATGGCTTCTTTGAGAGTTGGCCGACCTGCAGAGTCTACTTTCCGCATGCGGAAGAGGTCCTTCGCTCCAGTGCTGCTGTAATTCAAACCGCGTCACTACACGCTAAAGCATCTCTGTTACGCAATATGTCGACCTTCCTCAGGATGCAAGGCAGGTACGAGGTCTCAGAGTTGAGAGCTGTGGAGTCGATGCAGGTTTTCGAGCGTTTGTATGGCTCTGAGCATCCAGATACGCTGTCTGCCATTGAAAGCTACGCACATACTGTCCACAAACGTGGCAGGTACCAAGATGCAACGCTCTTACAGAGGCAGATCTTGAAGTCAAGGGAGAAGGTGCTTGGAATTGGTCATCGAGCCACACTTGAGAGCTTGAATGCTTTGGGGTCTAACCTACAAACCCTTGGTCAGTACAGAGAAGCCGAGGAGATCCATCGTCGAGAACTCGTTGAAAAGCAAAAACTACTCGATGGGCAGCCAGGAGATATCGGGATCAAGGCGGACGTCTTCATTGCAATGAACAATGTCGCTCGTGTGCTTTCTCACCAACGCAGATTCAAGGGAGCTGAACAGCTACATCGGGAAGCATTGTATAAGGGCGAGCTTGTTTTAGGACGTCTTCACCCAGATGTGTTCATCACACGTGGGGAGCTAGCAGGTACGGTTAGAGATCAGGACAGACTGGATGAAGCTGAGCAGATGTACAACGCTTTGCTAAAGGATCGATTAGAATTGCTTGGTGATCGCCATCCTGACACGCTTATCACTCTGAACAATTTAGCAATAGTCTCTGCCCGCCAAGGCAAGCATCAGAAAGCAGAAGGTATCTATAGGGAAGCCCTGCTTATTGAGCAGGATATTCTCGGCGTCACTCACCCTTCCACAATCAACGTCATGCACAATCTAGCATGTTCCGCTTGCGACAGGAAAGACTATGCACAGGCGGTAACCGAGTTCAAGGCCGTCTTGGAGCTGCAGAAGAGAGTCATTGGGCCTACTCATCCACACACTATGCACACTCGGCGCAATCTTGCGATCGCACTGAGGAAGTCTGGAGATCTTGAACAGGGAGACAAGCTGGACACTGAGATCTTGAACATATCCGATTCCTTGCATGAAAATAAAGAATCAGAACAGTTACAGACACTCGAAAACCTCGCCAAGAGCCTCACAGATCAAGAAAGGTATGAGGATGCTGAGGCAATTCGCCGTCAGGAGTTGGAGCTTCGACTGGCTTCCGGCGAAAATGAGAAAGAAATTCAAGACAATCTTGACGCTCTTGCTTTTCTTCTTGGCCAGCAGGGAAAGCATGATGAGACCGAACGTATCTTTAAGCAGATATTGGACTACAGGACCGTGCACTACGGACCTGAGCACGGAGAGACTTTGCAGACTCTGTGGAACCTGGCGCTGGTCTACCGCGAGCAAGAAAACTTTTTGAACGCTGAAGCGAAGTATGTGCAACTGGTGGGCATACAGTCGAAGATCCTTGGTGTGGATCATCCGAAGACTCTTGACAGCCTCACGCAGCTTGCATGGGTGCTTCAACAGCAACAAAAGTGTGCTCAAGCAGAGGAAAGGTACCGTTTCTTGCTCGAAGCGCGCCGCAAAGGCCTAGGGTCGGAGCACCCAGACACGCTTGTGATAATGAACAACCTTGCTTCGGTGCTCAAGTACCAAGACAGCGAATCAGACGAAGCCACGCCCTTGCTTCGGCACGTGTACGAGACTAGATCGAAGATCTTGGGGCTGGACAGTGATCTCGCAAAGGATTCGATGCGGTTTCTTGCAGATCATCTGCGAGACTTGGGTCAGCATGAAGAGGCTGAAATTTTCTGTCGGCAAAAGATGGGGCTGGAGGAGATTGCAGACGATAGTAACGCCATTCCCAGTCCTCAACAGAACCAACTCCCAGCTGACCCGGTGAGACATGCCGCTCCGATAGCGCCGAGCGGGCTTGATGACGTTGGTGTCAAAGAAGAGGATCTCTAGTGAACAATGTCAACGATTTTCGCTAGCTGTTAGCAACGCTATAGACCGGCCAGCCAGTGCGCTGAGTCTGCGAACCGCTTCGGCTTGCGGCCGTGGTGTTTTGGTTACAGCCCCACAACATCCTACCAACTCAGGTCGTTCAAGGCTAGGATCTCTCAAAGGAGTGACTTCTTCAAAAGCAATTCAAGTACTTTTGGAAGTAAAGTTTGGGCTTTAAGCCCTGTTTTTATTGTGATATACGCAGCGGAACATTGTGAGAGTTGCGAAGAGGGGCGGGTGAAAACCCAGATTTTTCGATCCTGCCGCACCTTGACTGCGAATTTTGGTGGAGATACTGGGGTGAGAGGGGGGACCCGACGGTGTAATTTGGGTATATAAGACTTTCAAGAGCCATGGGATTTTGGGGTCGACGCTCGAAATACATATCGATTTAGAGCGAAGCAATGAAGACACAAACCTTAGATATCACCGGAGGTAACGACAGACAAGTCAACCAACCAATCAACCAATCAACCAATCAATCAATCAATCAATCAATCAATCAAGTCAACCGCGGATCACAACCATCCGCACAACCTCTCAATCCTCCAACAGCTCACATCCCCCACTCACCCACCCAGCACCCTCACCAAACCCTCCACACTCAACAAACCCCTCGTCGAAAACGCCCCGTTCCCCGCAACCTCCACAAACACCCTCTCATCCCGCATAACCTCCCGCAACACGTGCTCCAAACGCCCCTGCATCAACACCGCAAGCGCCGCCGGCGGCGTCGCTTCTCCGTACGTCACTTTGCTCGGATCTCCCTCCAGCAGGGTCAGAAAAGGCGTGTTTTGCCCTCCTGGCAGTTCGTGGCCGCCGGTCGATCGGACCAGGAGGTCGAGCAGCGCGACGTCAATGGAGAGGGTTTGGTTGGCGGATTGGAAGTAGGAGATCTTTGGGGCGGCTTCGGTGGCGGCGGTGGAGATGACGGCAGGGGAAGAGCGGGCGAGGGTGTGGAGGGCGCGGTGGAAGGTGCTGATGTAGGCGTTTATTGCTGGGTTGGGAGGTCAGTCCGTGTTTCGGCTTCTTGCTTGATCTTGTGATGGTGTCCTCCATCGATTGAAAGGTAACAATAGGCTTATTGATCGACGGGAGGAGGGGAGACATGGGGCTTACCGTAGAAGTTCCACACAGCGTAGAATGCCTGGGGGTTGTTTGCGTAATAGGCTGGTCTAGGCGCCGGGCACGTCCCGTTCGCTCCGCCGGTGTTGATCTTGGAGCAGTTGAATTTGCGAGAGCCGTAGCCTTGCTGCAGCCGGAGGAAGCAGGTGGAGAATGGCTTGCCGCCTTCGCATTGTCCGGAAGCTGGGGCTGCCGCTGCCGCCGTTCGGGCGACGATTCGCTTGCGGAAGTAGGAGGAGGAGTTGGTGCCGGTTGTGACGTCGTCGGCGGAGGGATCGCCGGACGCTTGCGCGGAACTGCTGGCTGGTGAAGGATTGGTAGATCCTGGCGTCTCTCCGGTTGCCAATTCGCCGCCGTATGGACTCATGATCACCCAATTGTTGAGGTAGGTGGTCATGTTTAGAGTGAACCAGCAGGCAGGAGCTAGGCCGGTTGACACATTGCTGCAGTCGACGGACTTGGTTCGTAGTGGAGAAGATGAGGTGTAGGTGGCGGTGGCACTGGGCTGGAGGGGGGAAGCTGAGGTGGTGGATGAGAGGAGAGCAGATGCAGCGAGTGCGAGCAGTTGGGGAGAGGGATGCATGATGGTCGATGTGTTTGGGTGCTAGGCTTTTTGGAGTTTGCTTGACATTGACTGGATATGTCAAGGATGATGGCTTTGCTGTGGGAATGAGTGAGGTGGGGAGCAGGCTTTATAGATACCCTTCCGATGTTGCGCGTCAAGTAATGGACTTTCCATTCCTGCTATGACAGAGTGGGAGTATGCTTTCATGCGAAATTACGAACCCTCCAGGCGATCAAAATGGTCCGCATTGGGATATCGTTGGACTCATGAGGAGAAGTGCCATCTTTTCGCTGCACAAGGGACTCTTTGTGGATCGAAGCATAAATGGTATCTTCCCGCCTGGACGGCATGATGGCTGAATAGCTCGACCAACTTCTTGCGCTCCAATCGCCAACATCGACTGAGTGCATGGACTTCGTCTCATGTTGAGATCCTAGTTGAAAGCCATAACCATAACGAAAACCAATGGGGCGGGTCGGGAAACCCAAGCTCACAGCAGAGGCTTAAGATGATCCGATACTTCAATTTCCTATTGGAAAGTTCCGTACACAAGACGTCGTCAAGAGCGGCAAGCGATGTAAGGATGGCATCAAGCTAGGCCAAGTAACGATGTCGCGTTCCAGTTGCTCGATCTAGGACTGGCACCGCTGCTCCAGGCTGGGGCAGAGTCTCACTTGATTGGCAGAAAGTGTCCCTTTGGAGACTTTTGGATCGGCTTTCGGTTCGCATCAACTTTTACACAGCCACACTCGAGTTGCCCGTTCTGGGCGTCATCTATCGTCTGCACGGGGTTCCAGCATTTCGGATAGCTTGCCGCGGCCCACCAGCTTCAGCGGCTGGCATACGCGGCCAAATTTGCGGTCAGACCGCTAGGTTCATCGGTAGATACTAAGCTCCTGCAAAGCCTTCAGTCACCTGCATCAAGGCCAGAAGTAGCATGGTTTACCACGTTTCCATGCGTCGCTATTTTCAGGAACCGACGTTCGCGTTTGAGGAAAGCCGCACATTCTGTATTAGCGCAGGTTCGGGCCTTAAAGCTGGTTCATCTTTGCAATTGCAAGGTATCAACAGGGTTTTATATGATAAGCGCGCTTGAGCAGGATTGTAGGCGACACGGGACGATCTCGCCGGCTGAGATGTCACTCGCGTCGAAACGATCGAGGTGTTACTCCGTAGTGGGCCCACATTGTCAGTAGCTTTTGTATTTTGGAGGAAAAACATTTAGATGCCTGGGATGTCGTTGCGGCAGAGCAACATACGTCCCGTGAAGAGAGTGCACCCAGATAATATGTCCAGATGAAGGACTGCTGTCTATGGGTTCTGCAATTCTATCAGCTTAGTGCCACTCATCAATGAATCCGCAAGCTCGATCATGATCACATCTCTAGCAGCTATTTACGGAGAACAACCTTTCAAACCCACTTCTTGCCACTCTCTCGATCCTTCTTCAACTGCTCCAGCAAATCCTTTGGCGGACTCTGCCTATACCCTTGCGGATTATTCTTGGTCCATCTCCACAGATCCTCACATGCATCCTCCAATGTTCTCTCTGCCTTCCATCCCAGTTCTTCATTCGCTCTCTTCGGATTAGCTGTCAGATCCAGCACGTCTCCGGCTCTCCTCCCAATGACTTGATATGGCAAGTCTTTGCCCACCGCATCACTGAATGCTTTGATCATGTGGAAGACCGTGCTACCCTTGCCTGTTCCAAGATTCCAGGCACGTACGCCAGGGTGGTGATCGCGAAGGTAGTTGAGAGCGACGAGGTGACCCTTTGCGAGGTCGAGAATGTGGATGTAATCGCGGATGGCGGTGCCATCGTGAGATGCGTAGTCTACGGTCAATTCTGTGAGCATGCGTTCTCCATAGGGGTGACCAACATGGGAGATAGCGCTCCTACCGTCGCCAAAGACAAGTAACTTCTCGCGCTTCCCTATTGCTACTTGGGCAAGTAATGGGAGGAGATTGTATGGTACACCTTGGGGGTCTTCACCCATGACACCGCTAGGATGCGAGCCTGCCGGGTTGAAGTAGCGGAGGAGAGCAGCGTTCCAGTGGTCACCAGATTTTCCCGCCTTCAGAAGACTATTGCGTTGGGCTTCCACGTGGTCTGTGATGCAAGCTTCGACCGTAGATTTCGTACGGCCATAGGGGTTCGTGGGGCCGATTGGGCAGATTTCAGGAATTGGGATCATGTTTTCGAAGCGGGTGGCATCGCCATAGACGGTGGCCGAAGAGGAAAAAACAATGTTGGATACATTGTGGCGTGTCATGGAGGACAAGAGGCAGATGGTGCCGTAGACATTGGTACGGTAGTACTCTAGAGGGATCTCGCTGGATTCACCAACAGCCTGAAAACGGTCAATTGAGATTCCAGAGATGCCACAACCCAAAAGAACGGCTCTTTGCGATCCTTTGGAACATACCTTGAGAGCAGCGAAGTGGATCACGCTGTCAATGTCTGGATGCGCCTTGAAGACTTTGTCGAAGTCCTCCTCTTTTCTGACGTCGACGTTAAAGAATTCGGGTCGCTTTCCGCAGATGAGCTCGATACGATTGATGGTTTCTTCTGAGGAATTGAGGAGGTTGTCTGCGATCACAACTTTGTAGTCTGCTTCGAGTAGTGCAAGCGCAGTGAACGAGCCTATGTAGCCCGTCCCTCTGGCATTGAATTAGTACAGATGATACCTTTACAAATGAGGTAGACTTACCCGGTGACCAACACTGAGCCAACAGTCATGATGGCGGTGGTTTTTGTGCGCTGAAGTTGCTGGGGGCCGACAGGATTGTTTGTTGAAAGCTGTCATAATCGGTCGAAATCGGTTCCTGAGATGCGGGCAATCGTATGCGAGACATTATCCTTGCTGCCGATCATTATGACGAGCATTAACCTTGTTGGCGGAACCTTGTTCTTAGGGCTGACTTTTTGCCAAAGGACCACGTCGCAGGCAATTCTCACGTGATTTAGTGGGGAGCTGCTTTACTTTTTTGTTGTGACAATATGCCTGGACGGTACTTTACAGGGTGATTGGGACCACCTACGGAGAAAGGACCTTAGCGGGCGCCAGTAGCAGCCCTAACCCTACTTTCAGAAGGGGGCCCTGTAGACTGTACGTAGTGGGGGACCCAGAAATCCTGAACGCCAAGACTCTGGGCCAAGATCTCGGATAACGCCCTTCCTGAAAGTTTGCCTGGACAATGCATCAAATGTGCTTCGGATCCGCGCCTAACCTGAGCTCACTCTCAGGAGCAACCGATAATCCAATTCATGCGATCCTAGGAAATAGTTCTAGGCGACAGTTACGGGGTCAGCATCCAAAATTAGGGTTAGGGTTACTACTAGCGCTGTCCAGGACTTTGCGTGCGGACATCCGTACTGGGGTTAACTCCGCAATGACGATATGCCCCTCTAAGGTCGGGACTATTTTTCGTCATAATCTTTCAGTTGACGCTCAATTGCATGTCCTTCCAGTCGCGCTTCATCCTGGCAAAGATACCCAACCAATTGACCAAACCAATATCCCGACTCTCCCTTTTCAGCAACCACTTCCCGCGATCCCGGACCATGGCATCCTCCACGCAGATCCCCAAGACAATGAAGGGGATACTGGTTGAGAAGACCGGAGGAACGGAGGTCTTACAGTACAAGACCGACTTACCAGTCCCCGAGCCCAAAGAAGGCGAGGTCCTCGTCAAGAATGACATAATCGGCATCAACTACATCGACACGTAAACCTCCTTCTTCTCCCATTGAGACTCCTCTCCTCCAGACACTGATCCTTCCCCATCGCAGCTATTTCCGCACAGGTCTATACCCCTCACCAAAGCCCGAGATCCTCGGCAAAGAAGCCGCCGGCACCGTCGTGGACTCCCACCACACTGCCTCCCCAAGCTTCCAACCCGGGGACCGCGTCGTCTGGATGGGAAGCTCTGGCTACGCGGAGTACACCGCCGCGCCCGCTGCCAAGACGATGAAGATTCCCGACTCGATCTCTTCACCAGACGCCTGCGCCGCCATACTGCAAGGACTGACAGCATTGACATTGACAGAGGAAGCGCACAAGGTCGAGAAGGGCGATTGGGTATTAGTACTAGCGGCGAGTGGAGGGGTCGGCGGTTGGTTGTGTCAGATTTTGAAAGCAAAAGGCGCGCATACTATAGCGACGGTGGGGAGTGAGGGAAAGGTTTCTGTGGCGAAGGAGAGTGGGGCCGAGGTTGTGCTGGTTGAGGGTAAAGATAATGTTCTGGAGAAGGTGAAGGAACATACAGGTGGTGCTGGTGTGGCGGCGGTGTTTGATGGGGTGGGCAAAGATACGTTTGACCGGAGTTTAGAGTGCGTGGCGAGAAAAGGGACGTTGGCTAGCTTTGGGAACGCGAGTGGGGCTGTCCCGCCGTTTCCTATTGCGTAAGTCAAATATCTGTCCATGGGTGACGACGTCGGAGTTTGAGATGCAGAGACGAGATGCTAATTGTGCGTCTGTAGCAAACTGTCCGCGAAGAATGCGAAGGTTGCCAGACCCTCATTATTCAACTACATCTCCACACGGGAGGAATATGAACATTATGCGAACGAATTATTCAAGATGATGGCGGAAGATGACTTTAAGACTCGCATTCATGAAACGTATCCTTTGAAGGACGTAGCTAGAGCACATAACGTAGGTCTTCACCCTGATCTGTTTAGGAAGGATATGATTGACGATTGCGCCAGGATCTCGAGGGTCGTAAGACCATGGGCAAATTGCTCATGACGCCGTAAAAAGCAGTCTCACGTGAGACCTCTTCTTGATAGCATGCGTGCTTCTCCTGATGGTGGAAATGCAACAGCCTACCTATTCAGTCATCGTATCTCGATTTGATATCAAAGGTCTTTTCCACAACCTTTTCTGCGTTACATGGCACTTGTATGAGTTTCTCCCCCGTCTCGCGAACTTCGATGGCAACATCAGCCATCTGCACCGCAGTGATGTTCCCATTCGTACTGCGATTGCCACCGTTTTCGTTTGCATGGCCTGTATCTTCCTTCATTTTCTGAAATCCATCTCCCGCGTTATTCGTTCCGTGCACGGTGTTTTCTGGAAGCTGCTCTCCGGAAGCAGTGCCAGCATCCTGCGTCTTATTCTCCTCACCGACCTCGCCTGGTATATCATTGAAGTCTGCGTCACGGTTCTCAGCACCCCCCGGCTTCTTCCTCATCGGTAGCCACTCTTTTTCAGGCGCCCTCCACCCCTCCATCAACTCATTTGGCAAAAGTTGGTAGAAAGAGCAATGCACGCCAGACAGAGCGTCAAAATATGACACCCCAAAGCTAAGCTCCGTGACTGTAGCTTCGAGCTTCATTCCCACGACACAGTGTGACAGGATCTCCTTTTCGACCCAGAACTCGTACCGCTTGATCTCTGGGATCTTTGCGGCGAGTGCTGCTTCCTCTTCTTCAGTTAAGTCTTCGCCAGCCGCCGTGGGGATAATCCAGGTCTTCGCTCTCATCTTGCCGACAGGCTTAAGGCCTGCAGCCTCAGGTTGGGCGTAGAAGTCCAGGATCTCTTGAGCGGGGAAAAGGATTTCTGTAACTTCGAATCCGATGTTTTCGTTCACCTTTGCGATGGTAGTGGTTTTTTCTTCCAGCTGCTTTCTGTAGGTCTCGTGAATGTCGTCGTCGGCGTTAGCTGCTAGGGCGTATTTGAAAACTTTACGGGCGTGATGAGGACTAATGCCAATTTCATAGTCTATGTCCTTGCCTTGCAGCCATTCCTGATTCGCCGACCATATTCCCTGGTACATGCCGCCGAAGATCTCCGAGCAGGATTTGTTGAAGTCGCCGGGAAATATAACATTGCATTGTGAGATAGCCCAAAGCTCTTTCTCTGCCTTATCACACAGAGTGCGTGCCGCATAGATCTGGTCGTTATATTCTGGACAGACATCATGATGCAAAAGGTAATTGAAGAAGTTGCGGATGATGCCGACGAAGTACTTGATCTTCTCCTCGGAGCATAGTTCGAATTGACCAGGAAGTGTGTGAGATCTAGAAATGAGTCATTGTGATGCTCTACGGCAAGGAGCGTTGACTTACAGAAACGATCCAAGACACCCTTCGAAGTCGACAACATGATCGGACTTGCCGATGTCGTTCTTGTCGGAACTAACGAAGGTCGTTGCACGAAGTTCGGCGATTTCTGCGGCGGTCATTGTTTCCAAGGTTTCGGTGTCAAGGCCTCCTGAGAACATATTTGGTCCTGCTTCGATGCCACCGTGGATAAGGTATTTGGTGAAGAGGTTCTTGCGAGTGGAGTCAAGGTTGCGCTTCGCTAAGAAACGCTGAATTGCTTTCTCGATACGCCTACGTGGAAGTCAACCACGAGCACAAAGTCTTGTGTGCGAATTGAAACATACTGTGCGAACGGTAAAGAGCTTTGAGCGAGTCAGCTCTACCCCTTCAACGGGAGACCAGAATCACTCACGTATCATACATGCTCTTCTCTTCTTCGTACTCGACTGGTGTGATGGGAGGATCAACGTAGTACTCCTCGAATCCTGTTGGATTATTCTGCGAGCCAGGACTGCATTAGCAAGGATTTTCCTTCACGATGTACTGAAACCGTACTAATCCTCTCTGGCTCTTTGGCTTTCTCTTCTTGCTCTTTTTCTTCTTCGCGCCCACTTCCATATGCATGTTCGTTCCGTCAATATTGTCGTCTTCTTCATGGTCCTCGCCTTCTGGTAAGGCTACTTCTAGGTTCTCATCGATGCCCCTTGCCTCCTCGTTTGGCTCAGCGATCGACACTGTCTTGGGTTCCGCAGCCGACTTGGAATTTGTGTTGACAGGAGCGTCATCGTTGACAATGGACACAGAGTTTGGGTCAACCTCGGCCAAAATAGTTGACTTCTTGGGGATGTTGACATTGGTGGTAGCATCGGAGATGAGGTTAAGCCCGGTCAAAGGCTCTATCTCAACAACATCATCTGTAGCTGTGTGCTGCTGTTGATCTGCCATGGTGGCTGTAGTCACTGAGCTTCCAAGGGCATAGCCCATTAGGTAGACACAAAGGGTGCTGAATGGTCTTAGAAACGAGAGTGCCTGTGAAGGGAGACGGATCGAGGCAAATCAGAAGGTTTTAAAAGGGCAAAGGAGAAGTAATGAGGCGGTGAAAGCTATTGAACGTATGAAGCATCAACTTCACACTTGTAGTATGAGTGAATCAATACTGAGTGATGCAATCCTGTCATCGATATCATGCTTCACCTCGATAGAAACGAAGTATCATCAAATATGAGTAATACTGAGATCAGAAGCAGAGCGCAGACTCTCAACAACGCAATAGGTAGGTAGATAGAAGCTTAAGAGTTTGCTACGTCAAAACATGCTGCCCTTGCGCGCCAGCCAGGTGACGTGCGATTTTCTAGCTTACGCACGGTCATACAAATAAGCGCTCGGCAATCGTCCCTCTCCAATGCTTAAGCGACGCCAAGGTCTTCAATGATTTGTCACTTGATACCAGAGTCTCCAAGTTCTCTCGTTCTTTGAGCCTCTGACCTGTGCACTGCTACACACGGACCAATTCGTAGAATTAATCAGCGATATCAGCGAGTTATTTTCTCGGGTAGCTATCGTTAGTGTCGGGGAGATCCCTTTAGCCGCGGGGTTTCAGGCTAGGTACTGAGAGGATTTCAGGTTTCAGCCCTGCGTGAATTCGTGTTCCTTCCGATTCCTTGGCCGTTTTCTTTTCTTCACTTTATTCTCTGGGGCTGCGTATCACTACGTGGCCTTCACTTCATTTTACATATGGCCATTCCCAAAGCTTCTAGTTTTGGGAAAACCACTGATCTTCCTATGCTTCTCGTTATGTAATTGATTTCACACTTCGCCTTCACAAAATGGCGACAGAAAAGTCCTTCAGAAAGTCCCAGCTTATTGCTTTTAACAACGTCGCCGCAGGCCAGTGAGTGATGTGGCGCCTGATAAATTCCCTGGCTCGGAGCTGACAGAAATTCGATAGTGATGGTGTGCTCTCAGACCCATCCGGCGAACTCGTCATCAAGCCTTGCAGGCAGTCCGAAATAGACTTCTACGACTCCACCTCTGCACATCCAGATATCATGGCTCACATCCCAACTTTCTTTGGCAGAATCACTCTTGGCGCCGACACAAACGCAGCGCACGCAGCTGGAGCCTTGGTCTTGCCCAGCGAGACAGATCCCGAGCCATCCGTAATACATGGAGTCCCTGGTACCATGGTCGTCGAAAACGCCTGGGCGCCGTCAAATGGTGGTAGAATTCATACAGATTCGGCTGTCGTCCTGGAAAACGTTGCAGCCGGCTTCAAGAAACCTAACATCCTTGATGTCAAGCTTGGCGCAAGGTTGTGGGCTGATGATGCTCCGATGGCTAAGCGAGTGAAGCTGGATAAGGACGCGGAAGAAACAACGAGCAAGTCTCTTGGTCTTCGAATTGCTGGTATGAAGACTTACCAGGGCGCACTCAGCAATGGGGAAGAGAATGTAATGCCTGACGGCTACCGATTTTACGACAGAATGTATGGCCGCAGTTTCAGCGCTGAGACCGTTTCTCAAGGATTCGAGGAATACTTTCAACTGGCAAAGGGAGTGAAAGCCAAGGGAATTATTAGGAAAGTAATCAGGAGGTTCTTGGAGGACCTGAGAGCGATGGAGAGTGTGATAGGAAAGGAAGAGAGCAGGATGTACTCCGCGAGTCTCCTGTTTGTGTACGAAGGCGACCAGCAAGCTCTTCAAGACGCTTTCGCGACCGAGAGAGATATCATTGCCTCCCTGGATCGCAATGTCTCAGACGGTGATTCTACAAATGGCAATGGTGTCATAAATGATGACGATCCCATAAAAGGCAACGATACGGATGCTCATGTCAATGTTGACGATCGTGACAATGAGGAGGAAGGAGAAGAAGCCGAAGAAATCAAGTTTCCTGCAATCCAAAGTCTGAAGCTCATCGACTTTGCTCACGCGGAATGGACGCCAGGCCATGGACCGGATGAGAATCTCTTGCATGGCATCAGGAATACCATCAAGATACTCACAGGTCTCACAGGTCTCACAGGATGAAGACTACAAGAAACTCATGAAATGAAGACTGGCTGGCACGTAGCGTGAGATTGTAACTTGAATGATAAAGATCAAGATGTATGAAGGGTCGGGCTGTGGGGAATGGCCGAGTTTATCAAGATGAGGTAAAGAATGTCTTCGAAACTGGGCACATTACGGAGATTTGAGTAGAATTGAACACTTTGCGTGGACTACGTCCATATCCAATAACAAAAGAAGAAAAAAATGAACCAAAAAGGGGAGACGGACGCTTTGGTTGAATTGGTCTGCGTTCTAATGGCATACAATTCCGACTTCCCTCATTGGGCAAAGTAAGGCAAATGCAGCGCTCAGTAAACAGCTCCTAACCGTTGTCGCCAGATTCCACTCCCGTCTTACATCCGAATTAGCCTCGATACTTCGTACTTTCACCGGTTTGATCGAAGATCTTTTTTCTCCTGCTGCTGCTTGCTCCGCCGTTTCCTTCATGGTCTACGGTCAGTATTGAGACAATGGTGTCGCCGGGCACCGGCAAGTCTAAGCAAGCAACCCTTACCATGGCAAGAAACACAGTAGCCAAGCACCTTGGCCTACTTCTGCCTGAAAGTCTGCATCGGATTATCTCAGGTATTTTCGTCTATATGGCACAGGTTGATAGGAATGATCGTAGATATTTTCGTTGAGCGCCTGCGGGACGACCACTATATATGGTCGACATCGGCATCGATTTGCTGGACTTCATCAACGACTTGTGCAGAAGAGTTGGTTTGGAATCGCATGCTCTCTTAGATGTGTCACTGAAATCCGTGTGCTTGCCGAAGATCTCTATTTATGTCAAGCATGGACTCAACTTCCAAGGAACCTGCTTCAGCTCCCTACGAGTCCGATCCATCGGGTGAAACTGAAGGGAATCCATCCCAGAATCCATCGTTACCAGTTCCACACGATATTCTCGTTGTGGAAGATGCTGGGAAGCCGTACAATCCATGGCCTGCCGCCGACAAAGAATTGGTGATGTCTCTTCGCAACGACGGGATGTCATTCCGAGACATCTCTAAACGCTTTACAGATCGCAGCGCAAGAGCCTGCCGGCTATTATACGACAGGGTCCTTGAGACAATGCAAAAATTGCGAGAAGAATGGCCTTGGACTTCGAGTGAGGAGCAGCTCTTGTTCAGCCTCCATAAAGCTGGCTACCCCCCCAGGAAAGTCGGCGACGAATTCCCCGAACGGACTGGGCTCGCAGTGAAGGTGGAATGGGAATACATGGATGCACCGGTCGACTATGAGGACGACTATCAATGGACCGAACTCGAAGATCAGCAGCTCCAGGACTTCCACAAAGCAGGCAATGATTGGATGTCAATCGCTCGATTAATGCCGGGACTACGCCGCACCGCGGGCGACTGCCTCGTTCGGTATCTACAGACACATGGTTCTCTACCTTACCCCTGCCCTACTGCCTCAGCGTTCCCGTGGGCCCCGGAAGAGATAGCATCCCTGATCCGTATGCGCGACCAAGGAAGGGACTGGGTTGAGATTGCGTCACAACTACCCGACCATGACGCAGTGGACTGTCGTAACTACTGGTACAACAATCACTGGGACGATTATCGGGAGTGGTTCAAGGATGGTCAAATCGATATGTCGCGTTACGCCAAGTCGTCCAAGAACACGGCCTCATAGATGCTGTGAGGAACCCTGACCCAATCAATGTTTCGACCGCTCAGCTACAGTGTGTGGAAGCACAGGCTAATGCACTTGCGACGGATGGACCATCAACTTCTCACGCGCTATCTACGAGAAGATAGTTAGAGACGTAGGAACAAAATCAGAGGGTGACAATCGAGACGAAGAAGCTTGGATTCCATTCGTCGACCGAGTTTTTAATACGTTGTGTAGCAATCGCAATGCAGCCAATTGGAAGCTTCGAAGCTGTCGACCTACTGCCTTGAGTCCTTCTCAGGCAATTCCCAGCCGATGCGAAATGAGGTTTCGGATCAACCGACCTACGTTCACTTGCCCGCTGTCCGAGGGGGCCCATATTCAGCTTTACATCCTGCAGGATCCTGTTAGTCTCTGCTTTGAAAATGTACACCTACAAGTCTCGCCCCAAAAAATTATGGACCGTGATATGAATTCATTCTCGCTAGGACATGAAGGAAATTTCATGTCTCGGATCTTTTGATCTTGCTTGGCTTCCGGAACTGGCGAGCATCTTGTATTTAGTCACACACATCGTTGTTTTCTTCAAGACTTCTCGAGCCGTGTCTCCTTCAGAGTTTCTTCGAGCGTGCGGACTTCCGCCCAGTGCTGCATCGAGGACACTAGTCTCTTTGGAGCTGGTGTCATTTGCGCCCCTCGTATATGGGTACGTCTTCGTAGGGTCTGTACAGGAAGAGGATACAAATTTCCCTCACTACTCCAATCTCGTACGATTACCGCCTTGCAACTTTTGTCCCCTTGTGTCCTAAGGAGTCTGGTGGTATTGCATGCCCACGACGGAGCACGATGAATATTCTGTATATATCGCATAAGACGAGTATGCGTTATAAGTCAGACCGCCCTGTTGCGGGCCTTTACCTTTTCTTGGAACGAGATAGTACGGATACACCTACCTCTACAAATTCACACGACTTCTCTGCTGTCTCCAACACCAGACGAGTAGTACCTTCATCCATTGCAAAGACAGCCTCATCTCTAGTCTGAATCCACGAGGGTACTGACGACACGAGCAACGTTAGGGACAAGTCCCCCTGGAAAACAGGTGTCCAATCTTAAATAGCAAGGACTCTCATGGGTCGAGATCTCTAATCGGTCAATTCAGAGACCTAATGAGGCGTAATTATCCACGTGACCACGAGATCAGCAGTGCAACGAAATCATGACTAAGAGGACGGCTCACATTCACCGCCATAGGATTTGTAGCCATCGTTGCTTCCAAACACCAACGCTCGGGTTGTGATCGAGACATGAACGGCGTCACCTGCGCAACATGCGTCTCCTCATCCTTTCCGAACTAGCTGTTGTCCATCCGAATTTCCTCATAATGTGCATGCTTTGAGAATACAGTGTTGCTGCCAGGCCGTCCACGGTATCTGTCAACCAACATAGACTCGCAAAGGGAGAGGTCACAGCTGCTCGTTACAGCCATGTTGCCGTATGCAAGGTCAGCCATCCTCCGTTCTCGCGCAGATATTCAGCTCGGAGTAGAGGACAGGCTCTAGCTTTTTGCCCCTGCACGATCATCCTCCCCACCTGATCTTTCCATGTTCGAGACTCGGATGATCGTCTCTGCATAATGCAACGTTGCGCCTATCTCCGCATCTCATTCGGCTACTACGCACTCCACACACCCATCTCGCAGCACCAGCAGGTAACCCCGCGTGAACCTTAATATAAAACAATATATAACGCAACCGTAAGACGGCCCCAATTGCCTCATAGAACCTTTGAGGATTTTCTTCGGCCGGCGTCGGTGTCCAAGCGGTCTAGCAGGCGGCACAGGGCACACTCCCGTTCGTCTATGTCACCTTGCACGTCATGCCTGGAAGAAAGTCGTATCTGGTGTTCAGCTTTGCCCCTGCTGCTCATGGGTCATGACGGAGGAAGGAAGGTGTAGCTGCGCTGCTCAAGACAGTATTTCTCGGGGAAAAGGTGAAACAACTGCAAGGCGGCATCTTATCGCAGCACACCAAGTTGATAGCTACCTTCCGTTAGGGCAAAGGAGCGATGACGGGCAGGGTGCAGACACGCTACTGCGTCATTCACATGGCTCGTTTCAGGGTCGTTCTCAAAGGTAAGGTAAGGTATGTACTCGTACCTTAGTGCTCGGTAAGTCAGACCCCGCAGCGTGTCCCCGACTCCCCATTGGTAGACTTGGTAGATTAAGTTTCAGCGCCAGGAGCTTAGCATTGCTGAATAAAGAGTGGGAATCCACTTCCCCGGGTCTTGGCAGCGTTTTAGTGTTGCTACAAGCCTGCAAGGGTACGGTAAGGTACTTTACTTTACCTTACTCACTTACTTTAAGGTACCGTACCTTAGTCCCTTTTTATTGTAGACTGTACCTTATCTTAGTGGTGTAGGGCGAGGACATGGGCAGGGATAGGGTAAAGTAGAGTACAACGTTGCTCTGTCTCTCTATCGAGCTGTGCCCCACTCGCTAAGTACTTTCTCTTACTTGAGGGACAATGCGGCTTATGTCTCATTCCATCTTCCTGCATTCGCGAGCACATGTCTCTTCCTTAGCTTTTCTTGCTCATGATTACTGCTCTGTCCTATCGATATTGTCTCCTTCAATGCTGAAAAAGGCCCATTCAAGAATAGTCTCCGTCGTCCACTGTCTCAACAGTACTGTCTGTTGAGCACAGGCTTTTCATGCCACAAGAACACCATATCTTGTCCTGAGTTGACGCTTTCAAGCGCTCTCATTGACCCAGCGAGTAATCGCCCGTCATGGCCGTGACAGCGACCCCCAGCCAGGTCAATGCAATGATGATAACAGAAAGAGTCACTTCCATATTCTCTCTTCTCGGCATTCTCTTCATCCTGGCCACCTTTCTTCTGGGAAGAGGCTTCGACAAACCAATCAACCGGCTTTTCTTCTTCGCATCATTCAGTAACTTAGGCATGAACATTGCAGCCTTGATTGCCGAAGATGGCGTTTCTGCAGGCCAGAATTCGTCGCTGTGCCAATTCCAGGCTTTTGCTATACAATGGTACGTGGAGACGAAAGTTGCAATGCTCTTTGTAGCACCTAACGTTCAGTGTAGGTTTCTTGGAGTGGATACCCTCTGGGCTTTGTGCATGGGCTTCAATGTTTACCTCGCCTTGTTCCGTGGATGGACCTCAGAGCGCATGCGGAGACAAGAGTGGAAATACTTCCTCGCGTGCTATGGATGCTCCTTCATACCAGCCCTGGTATATCTTTTCGTGAACACCAAAAGCCGAGGAAAGATATACGGTCCAGCTCTCGTAAGTACAAGATATAGTTCAGAGAAGCAATCGTTGACGCCATGTTAAGCTCTGGTGTTGGGTGTCCCCGAAATGGGACTTTCTCCGCGTGGCAACCCTCTACGGCATCGTGTGGTAAATCCGACTCTCCCCAGCCCACACATGCACCACTGATCTCACCTCAACCCAGGGTCGCACTCCTCTTCGCCTGGATCATCTACCTGATGGCTTTCCGCAAAGTGTGGAACAACCGCCACCAACTCCAAGGCTTCTTCAACCCCTTCAACGAAAACCCCTTCGAAGGCACCGTCACCACCGAAGTCGACGTCACAACCTACGCCCGCCGCGACTCCGCCCTCAAACCCACCGGTCACACCACCACCGCCACCGACGCCGACCCCGCCATCCCCGGCACCGAACCCGCCCAAACGGCCGGCTTCGACCCCTACAGCGTCAACGTCGAAGCCGGCCCCCCCGCCCCGCCGCACCGGCACCACCGGAGCGACCCCTCCTCCGCCTCCGCCGCCCCGGACCTCCTCCGCGTGCGCGCCCTGACCCGCACCGCCGCCCTCCGCGAGACGAACCCCGAAGCCTGGCTCTACGCCCGCGTCGCCTTCCTCTTCTTCGGCGCGCTGCTCCTCTCCTGGGTGCCCTCGAGCGCGAACCGGCTCTACGCCCTCGCCCACCCGGCCCGCTACAGCTTCGGCCTCAACTACGCCGAAGCCCTCGTGCTGCCCCTGCAGGGCTTCTGCAACGCCCTCGTCTACGCCGTCACGTCGCGCTCCGCGTGCCGCGACCTGTGGCGCTCGGTGGCGGGGACGGGCGGCGGCGGGGGAGGGGCGGTGGGGGGGAAGGCGGCGTCGGGGGGTGGGAAGGGGGCGGATACGAGGTTGGAGCGGTTTGCGGGTCGGAGGACGAGTCGGAGGTTGGAGAGTGATGAGAGTAGCGTCGCTAGTTTGAGGGGGCATTGATGGATGGAGCTATGGGGAGGGGTTTTTGTTTTGGGGAGGGCTACTTGGAATTGATGTTAGATGATATCCCTCAATGGTTTTGTATTTGATGACAGGGATGTTTTTTTGGGGGATGATCCCCGAGTGGAGAACGGCATATTTGGCTTGCAAAGATGAAAAGGAACGAAGTTTAAGTACTGTGTTCCATAGAGAGAATCATGCTACTAAGTATTATGCTACATCATGATCTCGTGACAAGATTGAGACATCCTCCACTGAATCTCGCTGCGACGAAGCCATCCCGACAGGCGTTGCATCCAACTTCTCTGTGATACCGGAAGGATCTGATCTCGAACACGACGAAGACATCCTCTCCTGGAATTCACTGCGACAGCGCCATTCCGACAGGCGTTGCATCCAACTTCTCTGTGATACCGGAAGTATCTGATTTCGAACACGATGAAGACATCCTCTGCTGGATCTCATCGCGACAAAGCTATTCCGACGGGCGCTGCATCCAATCCCTCTGTGTTACCGGAGGTGTCTTCCCCGTAAAGGCGCAGGCGACTCAGGCATGTATACTTGACATTGCCCCAGTTGGAGTTGACCCGGACCGCAACTCTGTTCGTGCTCACGCCATAATCGACGAGGGACAGAGGTACCAGGAAAGACTGCAAGCGTTGATTGGTCCAAATGTTGTACTCCCAACGCCCAACAGGGACGAAATCGAACGGGAGAGCTTGGTCGCCGATGGTCTTGCCTTGAGGCGAAGAGTCTTCGAGTAGAGACGGATCCATGATGGTGATAGCCTCGCGGACGGCCGCGCGAGTCCTATCATCGGGAATATGGATCCACAATTCGACTTCTCTTGGAGAACTGCCCATGAAACCGACCGGCATTTCGTCCATAGCGGCGTGTTCAACGACGAGTTCCGTGGGTGCGATGGTGCGCGATAATGCGACGGTGAGTTGGAGCTTTCCATTGGATGGTGGAGCGCACCAGGCATCATCTACCGGATCACTCCATGGGCTGAGGGCTGCGTACTGCGGTGCTGAGAGTGAGATCTGCGGACAATTCTGAGATTTGAACATTGACCAAGGCCAGCCATCCGGAGTCCAGGTCGGATCGCATTCGGAGACTGTCGGTGAGGAGAGATAAAGGTCGATACCGGTACCGAAGCCAGGAGTAAACCAGTTGACCTGGTGCTTAGCCGTAGTAGCGTCGACAGATATAGAATCGAACGAGAGGTCCTGCACGCGCTGTTCAACCTTGCTGACGCGGTGGTGAAGTATTTGAATCTTTGGGGAGGCCGTACGGAAGTCTTGAGAGAGTTCGGATTCGTTGCCAAGTCCGAGCATGGGAGTGCGTTTGACTTCGTAGCAGAAAAGGAGTCCGATCAGAAAGATAAGAACGAGCAACACATCTCTCACCAACACGGCCGGCGACCATGGATATATGAAGCGGTACGCTGGTGGCTGGGGCGGAAATCCGTTGAAATGTAGCTCGTCCGGCTCGTTGACACGACTATGGATGCTGTCTTCGATGATAATATTGGATGTGCGATTGCGACCTTCCGCGTTGAATCCGCCGCGACGAGGAGCCCAGAAGTACCTAGAGAAGAAGCTTTGTTGCGCGGGCGGCTCGCTCTGATGGTCATCGAAAGAATGTTGCACGGACGGCTCGCTCTGATTGCCATCAATAGAAGGTTGCACGGGCGGCCCGCTCTGGTTGCTATCAGTAGAAGAAGAGCGACGCTGGATAGTAGAGAACATATGATCGACGACGGGCTGGCTGACCCCTCGGCTGGACTCTGGTTCCTCCGGAAGCGCTGGAAGTCTAGGGGAAGTGTTGGCAGTCGGAGACTCCGGAGCTTGAGCTTTAGAAACAGCGTTGGCGATTGGGTTGATGGCTTGGTTCACGCCAATTTGAGCAGACAAAAGCTGTGCTCTTGCTGACTTTCCCTCTGTGCCATAGGCACGAGTTACTTGGCTGCCAACGGTCGGCTTATCATCTTCTGCCAACGGCGCCGCAGAGCCGACACGGCGAGAGCGTCCACGGCTGGAGGCACCGACGGAGGCGGCACCGGTGGACGCAGCTCCCGTGGAGCGTGCCTTGGAGGCAGAGCGGGTGACGCGCTGGTGCGCTCCGGTAGACATGCTTTCAGGTGTTGCTGGTGAAATGCTTGGGCTTAGGTGGTGTGTGTGTTGAAAGTTGTGTATTAGTCGAGCGGATTGGACCGAAGCTTGCCAGAAGCAGAGGTGTTGCAAAGGTTGTTTGGTGGTTGTAGGCTTGCCAGAAGCTGCAGATTAAAGATGTGTAAGTGGAACGATTGCTTGCCAGAAGCTTTATGAATGAAATGGGGTGGATTGTGCGTATATGTTTGTAGATGTTGTAGATGTGAAAAGTGGAAAGCTTGGAAGGAATTAAGTAGGAGGAAAGCTCACAATCTGGCGCTAGTGAAAAAGAGGAGGCTGGTCTTTTTTCCCGCTCTGAACTTGAAGGTATTCACTCCTGTGACTAGTATTGACGGTTTTACCACGCTATTGTTGCTGCGCCTAATTCCTATTGACCAAATTCCGAGTCGACTCCAAGAATACCATTCACGCAGACCTTTCCTATTGATCGCTATTGTCACGGCGCTTCGCAACTCGTCCGGCTCGACGGGCACCTCCTCCACATATGTTGATGTCTGACGCTGAATATTGAGTCGGGATGCCTGCTCTTCGCGGCGGCAATACTCGTGGTATCAGGCATTTAGAATCCTTTGTCGGTGGACTTAATGGTATTTATTACGATACTCTTATGCTTGTGAGAGACTCAAAGCTTGGAATGAAGAATGTTCGCCGCATGCAGTTTGTGAAGAGGTTCTTTGTTGATGTTCGCCAGCTGCACACGCGCTCATGCGCGGGCGGCTACGGCTCATCATTGCCAAGACTCAGCCACACTTCGGGAAACTCGGACTCGTCAGACTGCCAGGCAGACACAATCCCATCACCACTCTGCCGTTTCTGACTGACAGAACCATCAACAACGACCTCAGAACTACCAGCTAGCATCCTTTATCCACTCCTCCGTCGAACGTATCCACCTTCAGAACCATGTGCAGCGGCGACATCTGCCTCGGCCTCCTGGCCATCCTCTTCCCCCCCATCGCCGTCTGGATCAAGTCAGGCATCTGCACCGCTGACAGCCTCATCAACATCCTTCTCTGCACCCTCGGTTACCTCCCAGGCCTCCTCCACGCCTGGTACATCATCTCCCTCTACCCTGAACCCGACGATTATGAATACCAAACCATACCCAGCGACCAGGGTGAGAACGGGCGAGTCACGCACTACTATGTGAACCACCAGCCCAGTAACGAAGCATTGAGGCAGCAAAATCAGCCGCACGGGGGCCAGCATATGTATGTTCCTGGACCGCAGCAGCAGAGGGGGTATGGCACGGTGCCCCAGCAAGAGGGACAGCAGGCGGGAGGGGAGAGCGCTCAGGGAGGGGTACCGCCGTCATATGAGCAGGCGATTCAGGGGGACAACAAACTGCAGAAGTGAACATGGAAGATTTCTACCGCAGGGGACTCAATAGCTGATTAGGTAGCTGGGCTTTGCAGTGAGGTTTTCGCAGCGATGGCCTTCATGAGGTATAATGGTGGCGTTCTGGTAGAGAAAACTGTATGATATGTGCAAGGCTTTGGAAATATTCTCTGATCGCCCCTGAGATTTTCCCTCACGATGTGTCCAAAGATTCATTATGTACAAGCATCCTATGTATTCAGATGGCTAAGTCGCCGAGCAACGATGCAACGAAGGGAACTTAGATCAAGGCTCTGCAAAACGCCGCCAAGCCAAAACGCCGTTGCCCTTTAATCTACAATCTGCTCTCAATCCCCGCAAGATGCTGTTCCCCAGGCCAATGAGCTTCTGGCCAGACATGTCGCATTGCCTCCCATATATGTCCAACGTGGATTATCTCCAAACCCTCCTTCACTTCTTCCGGCAAATCCTTGACGTCCTTCCGGTTGTGGTTGGGTAGTAGCACAGTTCTGACTCCTGCCCTCAGAGCACCGATCAACTTCTCCTTGATACCACCTACGGGCATGACTCTGCCTCTTAGGCTGACTTCACCTGTCATGGCGATAGTAGGAGGCACTGCCTTGCCGCTGAATAATGAGATGAGAGCGATCGTGTGCGCCAACCCCGCGGATGGGCCGTCCTTTGGTATAGCACCGCTAGGACAATGGACATGAACGCTGCGATTCTTCATGATGTCTTCATTCGCATCTGTTGTAAGGCCAAGGTCATACGAATGCGCTTTAACCCATGTTAGAGCCACCTCAACGCTTTCCTTCAGCACATCACCGAGCTTTCCCGTCAGCTGCACACGACCCGAGCCAGGCATATCCGCAACTTCGATGAAAAGAATACTGCCTTGGCCGCCGGAGCTGTAGGCAACGAGACCCGTGACGATGCCAGGGACAGATCTCTTCTCTGCAATTTCCTCATCGAAGCGCTCGATGCCGAGGATCTCTTCGAGATCAGACATGGATATGTGGGGATTGTATTTGTTGAGGGTAGAAGTATCTCTTGCATCAGCATATTCAACGGCTTTGTAGCGGCAGACAGAACCAATCTCGCGTTCGAGATTGCGAACTCCAGATTCGCGGGTGTATGATGTTATGATTGTGTCAACAACGTTGTCATCGAAATGGATGTCGGAGGTGGAAAGAGCATTGGTCGCGATTTGCTTGGGGATGAGATGTTGATTCGCAATGTGGCGCTTCTCGACAGTCGTGTAGCCGGATAGCTGGATCGTTTCCATTCTGTCGAGAAGAGGAGGTGGTATCGTATCGAGACTGTTTGCAGTGGCGATGAAGAGGACTTTGCTAAGGTCTATTGGAATGTTGATATAATGGTCGTTGAATGAGTGATTCTGTTCGGGGTCGAGGACTTCTAGCATAGCAGCTGATGGATCTCCGTGGAAGTTGGAGCCACCCACTTTGTCGATCTCATCAAGGAGGAACACTGGATTGTTCACGCCGACCTTCTTCAAGCCGTTAACAATCAAACCTGGCATTGCAGCGACATACGTCCTCCTATGGCCGCGGATTTCTGCCTCATCACGCACACCACCAAGCGAGATGCGGTGGAACTTGCGTCCAAGCGCAGTCGCTACGGACTTCGCAAGGCTGGTCTTGCCTGTCCCTGGAGGGCCGACGAGAAGCAATATGGGTGACTTGTCGACTCGGCGATTACTCTGGAGTATCTGTATCTTAGTCGAGTCAGCCTCGGTCTCGGCTGAGGGTGTCTCCGAGTCTGATTCGTCGTCCCCCGGAGGAGCAGCTTCTTCCCTAGCTCTGGAAATTTGGGCTTCAATGTCCGAATTGAGTGCCTGTTTCAGTCTCAGCACAGCGAGATACTCGAGCAGACGCTTCTTGATCTTTTGCAAGCCATAATGGTCATCATCGAGCTGTTTTCGTGCCCGCTTCAGCGTTTCTACGCCAAGCTGGGCTTCAGTCGAAGCGCTCCACGGAACTTCAGCAAGTGTCTCGATGTAGGTCCTGCAGACACCGAATTCAGCCTGCGCAGGGTTCATCTTCTTCAGTCTCTTCAGCTCTCTGTCTGCCACCTTCTGCGCTTCAGGTGTAAGCTTGGCCTCAGCAATCTTTTTCTTGAGTTCTTCAAGCTCGTTCGGCTCCTCATCGCCACCTTCATCGCCTGCCCCTGGAGCAGAGAAGCCAGGATTGAAACCTCCAAAGCCATTCATCGCTCGACTAATCAGAGCGTCCCTATCTTTGCGACTGATGTTGTTGATGTTTAGACCCTGATTCGCTGGAATCGTGCTCGTGATTGCTGTGATCTTGACACTCCCTTTCATCCCTTGTATCTGCCGCGAAAGCAACTCAATGACGTGATTCAATCTGTCTTTAACGTCCAAGGCAGCCAATACCCGTAATTTTTCCTCCAAAGAGGCTTCGACAATATTGGTCATGAAATCCGCAAGTACACCAGCGTCTGCCAACCCTTTTTTCGACACATATAGCTCCAGGCGTCTGGCGAGAAGAGGCGACAGGTTTGTAGAAGATCGGGGCAGGAATGAAGCAACTCGAACGAGGGTAAGAAGTTCGCGAGATAGCTGTTTGAGATGTTCGAAGAGTGCTTGCGTTTCAGCATCTGTCACCATCACTACAGAGAGAATTGTCAACAGTTAGCCTCAGCGACTGGTTTCGGTCTGCATACCCTCTTCATCCAAGTAGGCCACTTCTGCCTCGAAATATGGCCTCATTTGAGTGAATCTGTCGATTCTGAATCTCCTAACGCCCTCCACAATCAACGATAGATCGTCGGCTCTGCGCCCTTGGACACCAGAGATCTTGGCCACTGTGCCATACATGAATAGATCTCGGTGATCAGCCTCGCCGGGATTAGTATCTTCATCGTCAATTTGTCGTGTCTTCTTCGGATTTCCATCTTCAAGCAGTTGCTGGCCATCTGACCGGAGCAGAGGAGAATTGATGGGCACACATCCGATCGAGATGGCAGTGGCGTCTGGCCTGGGCCGTCTGTCTTTGGTAAAGACCGAGGTGAGGAGTGCTGGTATATCTGTTCGATTGGCTACTGGTATACGAAGGGTGATTCCTGGTAAGAGTACTGACCCCTTGGGTAAAGGAAGGATCGGGAGAGTTTGGGACTTGCTTTGGCCCATGTTTCAAATACGTCGACGGCCAGCTGAGAACGTCGCCGTTAGTTTAGATTTTTAGTTAGAATGGTGTCAGGAAACTTCAGTGAGAACTGTGAAGACTGAAGGCTTTAGGAATCTATGAAACTCGTCTACTGCGTTGTAAATTAATAGAGCGATGAATCATGAACGATGATGCTTATGATTGTCCTAGAGGAGCCAGAGAGCCGAGGCTCGTTTACGCGCTAGTGATACTGATCCAACCACATTAAGTTAGACTACTCGTATACATATGTCGAAAATCATCGTCGTTTTCTTCCGCGAGCTCCGCTTCCCCATGCTTCGTCATTTCAACAGCAGAGCAATGCATCAGTCAAGCATAATGGCATCGATCTACTTTGTCGCTGATTAGAGCTTCCAATGGAACACTCGTTCGCATGAATGGGACATTCTAGGATTAGAAAGCTGGACTACCCTTTTGCTCGACTTGCATCATGCGAAGTGATAGGGGCTTTTCTCCCTTTCAGTGTTCTTCATTTACATGCGAGCCATGCTTTGCTTGAATTTTTGTAGGAGCGCGCGCCCATGTACCATCTCCAACGCGCTCTTACCGCCAACTGCTGCCCTACCTCGACTTGCGACGCCGGAAACCTCTAGATTCATGTCAGTGGAGCAATCTTGGAATGTTTGTCGTCTTGTAACAGTCCAGCGTTACCTATCATGCGTGCCTCAACGACGTCATCCGCTTCCTTCGACCCAATATCACCCATTTAGTCTTACTCAATCCGCGATTTGGCCACCACGACTCCCGCCACTGACAATCTTGCGGTCTTTCATAACTCAGTATTCACCCAATCTTCGATCAGACATTGCTTGATACATAGAGATCCACACTTGAGATCTTATGCAACAGCATATGACCCGTTTGCAATCCTGTTACAGCCGCTCGATCCCTCGTGTCGCCGTCAAAGCGTGAGAAGGGGCTTTGCCATTAGTCTCCCAGTACTCATAATCTATCTTTTTCTCTATCTGCTGAACTTCGTGCCACAGGAGTCCAAAATATACCAACAACACAAGAGCATTGTTGCCCGCTTCTGGAGTTATCATAGGCATGAGGCCTTTCAGAATGTTGCCAGTCTGGATACTTACGTCATGTCACAATTTATCCATGATGGCCTCATACGTCTGGTGATCGATTCACTGATCCTCATCGGAGTCGCAAGTATATTGGGCTCGGTCTTCAATCTTCGTACGTTTTTCGCCGTCTATGTTCTTGGAGGTTTCCTTGCGGCAACTGCGGACTGTGCGTGGGCTCAAATTACCAAACCGTGCCGAAATTTTTCACGAGCACAATGTGATGAAGCCTCCACGTCTGCTAGCCTGATAAATGACGCCTCTGCCGAAATTGCCAGACTCAGCGCCTCCTCACGGGTCTACACTATCAGAGGTTTTGGCAAGCTACTGATTAATTCGGAGGATTTTGAGGAGTTGAAGAGACAATGTAAGGTGGTGGAAACGTACTGCCCTCAAGTAAAAGACTGGGATAGATGGAGCAAGCAAATTTGGGCGGCGAGTGGATCTTTAGTCTGCCTATGTATGCCAACGACCCGTAGGGGCGTCTGCTCCTTTTCTCTTCCATGCAACCAGACTTTACTTAGATACTGACGTGGCGCAACATCTAGTAAGCGTTGCAACATTGATAAGACCGCGGACCATCATAATTTTTATTGGGCGTCAGGGCAAGCGTCCAGTTATACAAGCTAAATGCGGGCATTTTTGTCTTCAATCTTTGCATGCCGTTTGCGACCATTTCTCGGTGAGCAATCAGCCCTGGAGCATTGCAACAACAGTTGACGATATCACAGCTGGAATCACCTGGACTGTTTGGGTGGTTAAGTAGCTGCTGTGCTTTTGTGGTTACTGTGGCTACGCAGGGGTCACATAGGAGTGTTGGCGTCAGGTTTGAAAGCATTGGACGCATTGAATAAGCACGCAAGAAGGCTCTCGGTGGACTGGCCATTTGCGATGGCCGTCTTCGCTATTTGCGCTATGGGAGATGTGATTGTGTATGCCCATCGAACCACGAAGACCGGAGCGCAAGACTCGAAGGCAGCAAGAGTACCAGATCAACGTGCAGACGAGACTGGGAAACCCCTAACAGGAGAAACGAAAGAGAATACAGCCAACGACATAGAGACGCAGGAAGGCACTTCAGCCAACCGGCGGGCAGCTGGAAATGATGACAGGGCTTCGGAAAATGACCGAGAATAGACTTTCCAAAAGCGATACGATACTGTGAGTCCTTGTTCCGCGCGTTTCCTCTTCTAGCACTACAGCATTCTATGATGATTCAACCAAAAAGCATAGTTCAGCTGATGGTCCAAGGACCAGATGAACGAAGAAAATGTCATCATCTTTCGCTCCTATCTGAGAATCTCTTTATTTTTGGAACTTTTCTATGCTCGCTTATACACGTTGAGGGCATGTGGCTGACCGTCCTCATGCTTGAGTCTAGTTGATCGTCTGACCTGTTGCTGCCAGCCACATGCACTGATGCATTGGTCCAAATGTAGTAAACAACCATGGCAATGGCTCACAACGATTTCAAGCCGTGAAGCTCACGGGTTAGCCAATCCTAATCTACTGGGACTTGAAACAGGCCAATAGCATACAAGTCGAAGGTGGCCAAGGTCAAGTATCGAAGTATTTGGCAAGTCATCTCAACATGGGTATTATAACTAGCTTCTCCAAATCTATCTACCAGCAACCTTCATCGCTACTACCTCCTCTTCCCAGGCCTGGCATTCTTTTCCTTCCTCCTCTCCTTCATCCCCCTCTCCTTCCTTACATCATCAACCCCTTTGATCTCACTCTTCCCCTTGCCCTCTCTGAATCTCCCCCTCCTCTCCTCTTTCGCCTTATCCACCATCTTCTTCCTCTTGTAGAAGTCATCCCTGTACTTATCCGCATCTTTCGGCGCATCTTCCTTCTTGTGCTTCCATCTCTTCCCTCCGCCTCCTCCATTGGCCCTGTTGCTAGCTGTCTCCGCTTCGCCGGTGCGCGGGAGTCGGTCGATCTTATTCGACTTCCTCCACGCATCAAACCTCCCACTCCTAAAACTCGCCGCAATCTTCTGCCCGCTCTCCCCTCTAATCATCTTCGCGCCTTTACTCCCATCCTCATCATTAGCTCTCGCAACGTACTTCTTACTTTTCTTGTCCCAACGCATGCCACTCGGACGGCTCGGTTGTGCAAAGCCCTTGGCCCCGTCATCGTTCGCCAAGTCCATAGCGACATCACGGGCGGCGAGGACAAAATTGTTGGAGTTACCACCAGAGTGCACGCCGTATCCCCGGTCTTCGGCTAGATTTACGGAAGTCGGCGTGTAGGACATGAAGAACGAGGGATCTTTGTAGCCATCGATTTTAGTTCGGTCACCTTTGGTAGGCTCGGACTGCGTAAAGGTCACTTCGAGCTCGTCTTCAGATGCAGAATCCATGTCTACGTCGAGTTCTGGTGGCTCGCTTTCGTCAGGACCACGATCGTGGATATCTTTTACCGGCGTATTGGGAACGATATCCTCGGCAGATATCTTGAGCTCTGCACGTTCGAGTGCATCTTTCTTCCGGCGCTGATTGTCTACGGTTATTCGTCGCTTTTTCATGACTTCAGCAGCTTCACTAGTAGCACCTTTCTTGCCGATTTCGAAAACGGTCTCCTGTGGTCTAAAACCGCTCACACGGGCAAGCATCTTGGCCCTTTCGATCTCGGCATAGTTTGTTTCGTCTTGGAATAACGGGTGCAACGCCATCCAGCTCTTGGACGCAGTCGCTTCTTTCGCTCTCCTCGCAGACTCGCTCGAAGCCGCATTTCGCGTCTTAAGGTAGAGTCTTTCGCCCTTGTATGCAACAGAGCGCAGTGCCAGCAGGTCTGAGTCTTCGTCAAGCAGCTTGCTGACCCATTCGCAATTCCTTTCTAGCCGGTCCCTCATCAAACTGCCTACAACAACGTCTTCGGCGTAATTGGTATCATTGCCTCCATCTTGACCAAGCAGTAATCTTCTTCCGAGAAACAGTTGTAGATCTAGTAGGTATGGCGCATCGGATTCTCGAACCAAGCTGTAGCTCCATCCTTTTTTACCAGCTCTTGCTGTCCGACCCACCCGATGAACAAAGACTTTTGGCTGGGCTGGAAAGTCGTAATTGATGACGTTCGCTAGAATGGGAATATCGATACCTCTCGCGGCAACGTCGGTCACCACTAGGATATTTGTCATGCCGGTTCGGAAATCCTGGACTTGCATCTTTCTCGCTGTCTGGTCCAAGGAGCCATAAGCGTGAGACACAGCGAACCCTGATTGCCGCAGAAGAGCCGCAAGATAGTCTACGTGATGCTTGGTGGCTGAAAAGACAATGGTAGAGTGCTCTGTAGGGGACTCGTGCGGCTTCGCACCATCAACTTCTCCCCGCTTTCTCTTTTTGTTGTTCTTACTGGCTTCCTCTTTTGCTCGATTTGCCGCCTCTGTCTGGCCCGTTGGGATCTTGATGATATGCTGTTCAACGTTCTTGAGTCAGAAGAGTGTACTTCTCAATGAAGGATCGAACTCAACTTACGCTCAGGACATGTAATAACGCCCCTTCCTTCTCTGCACTCTTCATAGTGAAGAACGCGCTTTGAAGATCAGGCGAGATTTTACTCTCGGCATCCAGCCGCACGAGATTCGGCTCTTGTAGACCAGCTCTGGCAAACTCAACAAGGGATTTTGGTAGAGTAGCTGAGAACAGTAGCGTCTGTCTTGATTGAGGTAGAGCTGTCAAAATCTCGGTCAATTGTGCTGCGAAACCCTAGGATTAATAGTTATTAAGTTATACTCTAGAGTAAGATCGATAGCTATTAGATAGATTTACCGTTTCATATAAGCGGTCGGCTTCATCGAAGACCACAAATCGTATAGATGATAGGTCCAACCCCATTTCCACTTTCAAATCTGCAAGACATTAGCATTGATACTGGGCGATGGGGTTGAACTTACGCAGAAATCTTCCGGGGGTAGCAATCACGATATCTGGATTTGCCGACATAAAGCTGAGTAAAGGTTTTTGAGGTTAGCTTTGCCTGTTCCGGTGAGGGTACCGAGCCTTGAAACATGCCTGGAGAGCAATCATCCCCCAGGCGTGCTCCAATAATACGTACGAGAATTGTTCCTCTAACGAGTCTCCTCCTACAAGTAGCACGCACTTCAGATCGGTCCCTCTCCCAAGCTCTTTGACCACCTTCAAAGTTTGCAAAGCAAGCTCCCTACTAGGGGATAAGATCAACGCTCTTGCCCCCACTTTAGCACTATGACTCTTCAACTTCTCGATCATTGGTATCACAAATGCGGCAGTTTTTCCTGAACCTGTCCTGGCCATTCCCACTACATCTTGGCCGTCGATGACGAGAGGTATAGTCTTCCGCTGGATTGGCGTTGGCACAGAATAGCCCTTTCGAGTGATTGCTTTCAGCAAAATCGCACTGAGACCCATAGCCTGGAATCCGCCGCCCTTCACGCTTCTACCCTTGATGTTCGATGCTTTGCGATTCACCGCAGCTTGCGTTTCCGCAATGAATCCTGCATCATCTGAACTGAAATCGCCTTCTAGATCTGGCATGTCCCCAGGTCCCAGCATTCGAGCTTTGCGGTCTGAATGCTGCGTTTGCCCATCGTCTTCGGAGCCGGCACTGCTGCCATCATGGAGGAGGGCTCCTGAAATATCGACCTCGTTTTCCGAGGCCGCTGGGGATGGCGCTCGGTGAGGCATTGCGACTGGGTGAACACCTGAGAGCTGCTGTGGAGCTTTTTCAACCACTTTCAAGATTGGTGAACGGGCAAACCTCGGGCCGATCCATGCTTAGTGAGCCCTACCTCGACATGATCACAGAATTAGCAACACTGAAACATCCTTTTGGATTTTGACGCCATTCATCACATCTCCGTTTCGCTTCATCCTGTTCAAATCCCTAGGCTATGTTGCCATCCATTCTCTAGCTTAATACATTGTCAAAATGCGCTTGTTTCATATAAAGGAATTCTTGTGACTACATGATACTACCCAGTTTGCTAATAGACAATGAGCATGATTGATGTCTGAAAGACCGCCTTTGTGATACCAACCCCCAGTTCCATGCTAGCACCACCGTAGCCAATCCAAGGCTGGACTTCTGAAGTAAAGAAGAACGAAGCGACCCTCGACATAGCAGAGCAGATGGGACTTTCCCTTCTTGGTCTCGAGGTATCGAGGAGGCTCTTCGCCTTATCATTGAGAGAGACTGAAGGTAGCAGTTCATGTATGCAGGATTCATAGGTCGACCAAGTGGGGGTGACGTCCAATAATTGCGTTCTGTATATGCTCTACCTAGTCCGATGAACAGTCATAGAAGCGTTAGGTAGTTCGCTACTCAATCTCTTTGGAAATCTTCCGGTGAGGTGGGATTGTCTTTCAAGATAGAAGGAGCACGATATTCGCGTTTCATGAACATTGCACTAAGGTCTAGACTTTCGCATGGCATCGAGGTTGCATCAAGACATAAAAAATGCCACATCCCAAAAGAGTGTGTACAAGGAACCACCTGGCCTCCAGTACAAAACTCACAAAGATATCACCATTAACAAACCCGCCATCTCTCAAGGTTCCAGACACAGAACCTGAGGCACGAGTGGCGGATTCATCTATATTGCCTCCGCCGTTAGGATCCGGCCCGTCGGCAATGAGCGCGACAGCGGCATCGAATGCTTGGGCTTGGGTTTCGTCGACCAGTGCAGAGGTGGCCGCGGCCCAAGGTTCTTGTTTCGTTCAATTGACATCCGACTCTGTTTATACCCTTTGGTAAAGAATGGGCTTCTCAAGGATCAACACAACAGCTTGTTGGATAGAGATAACTCACCTTGTGTGGGATCTGCTGCTCGTTTGATGGGCTTGGTAGCGGTGGGCAGACATGCTGCTGTTAGCACGAGGATCGAAAACGGGAGGATGGCTGTGAGATGCATGGTGGCGATAGGAAGTGATAGAATCGGGTTGATGTTGCTGCTGGTGGGGTTCGAATTGCAAGATTGTGATGATAGAAGAGCTTGGTTTTGGGATTGCGGATATGGGTCAGCAGTTGCTTGGCTGCAGGCGTGCTGTTCCCCAATCAAAATGTTGGAAGAAGCGTTGTGGTGTTCGTCGGCTAGTTCTATTCACTTTGAGCAGAAGTCGTGTTTCAGAGCGTGGCTTCAAAAGGGAGGGACTCGCTTTCCATTGTCTGCAATTTCCGTTCAGCAATAACCTCGGAAAGCGAGCACATGTCTTTGTTCTTGTGAATAAGCTGTAAGTGTAGGAAACCTTAGTTGGCTGGATTCAGCAAAGGGAATGTTTGACTCGCCACCAGCCTAAAAGAGACTCTAGAGGTTGCATCCTTGAAAGCGAGGAGCATGAGCGTCCTCGCTTTAAACCTTCGTTGTTCTGCATAGGCGTGTCAGTCAAGCTGACACCTCATAAATCCATTGGGTAGATAGGATTGCTTACGCATGGTGACCCCACTGGCTGCCAAAGACTGACGAATAATATCTGGCCACACGTCCTCCGCGGCTCTGCCTGCGTACAAGATCAACAGTCAACATTCCACTCCTGGGCGTCTGATAAGGGTCTATCTTCAGCCTATCATGAGCAGATGGTTGAGCATGACTGCAAGGGTTGGCAAGGTTAACCCCACCTTGAGCCTCCTTCTCGGCCGTATACAAAGGATAGTCTCGTGGGCTATGTTCCTCCGCCGCACTCCCAACCTAAACCTCAAGCGTCATAAATTCGCCAGGTCAAACGTCCTCGAATATAGCATGCATACAGCCAGATTGCTCTCAGCCGCTCCGTCTACAGTGTAAGGTCCTGTCAATCCCACAGTCATTGGTCAAAGAAGTACTGAAACATATCTCGCAGTCGCCAGGCTGGCCAATCTACACGTACTCAGCCTTGGAAAGCCTTCTGGCCGCTCAAGGCAGAAAACTTCAAATCAGAAGAGCGCGCCACCATGCCGTGGCTTACGTGGAAGCCGGACCCAAAGAGACCTGATGAGAAGCCCTGGAGACAGTGGAGGCTTGTGAATCAGTCATGTGTTTCGCGAAGGGGAGCGAGTGCATAGGCGAGGAGTGATACGTTGTGGGATGGGGCCAAGGCCTGAGTCTGAGTGCCCTGAATCGCACCTCTGATGTTACCGCACCCCTGATCTAAGCGTATTTGGATCTCCGTTAGATGGTTCTTGCTGAGGTCTTGCATGCATCTCTTTATCAAACATTGGCTGTTGAGCGACAGGACCGATTCAGATGTGCTGGGTTGAGAGGCGTTGACGTTCACGGCAGAAGCTTTATAGTATCAGTCAAGCAATGTAATGGAAGACGACCGTCCATGCATACGTCGATATCAGTCCTACTCGCTGTACTCCTTCTCTCTGGATAAATGACGTAGACCAAACATTCGATGCTCTCCCGAAGACGAGCATTGGCGGGCGTCTCAGGATGCTCGAAAGCGGCGTGAGGGCATACTGTCAATGTCTCAAGAATCAGTGCAGCCCCAGCCCAAGGCGGTCATGATGTACCCCGCGCGTTGCCTTCCGCCGCCATTGTGTCGAAACTTTTGAAGACCAAAAGCTCATTGGGCTTCATATCCCCCAAGAAGTACCAGCGATGGGCATTGTCGTGGTAAACATTGTAGGTTTCTGTCACAATGTGTGTGTAGATATTGTCGCTGGGGACCAGATCACGTTGAGGATTGATCGACGAATAATCGCATAGACCCAATGGCCAGTCTTGAAGGGGACCGAAGAGCGGCCTCCATACGCTGTTGATAGTCAACGACCACAGCCAGACAACGGCCACGTTTGCCTACTTCAAGACCTGCCACCGATGTTGCATGATTCCCCATGTTTGTTCTGCAGGGAAAAGCATGTGAAGCTTCTCTTCGGCCCATCGAGGAGTAAGGTCTGGCTAATCATGTCAACGACATCCTGAAAGGTTTTGAAAAGGTTGCTTGCCGACGTGTACGCCCTGGACAGGTTGTGGAGATGTTCCCGTGCCGCGAGGCAGAGCTGGGAACTGCGGCTCTCTTCGACGAACCTATCAGAGGCAAATCAGCTAATGCCCATTGTCTTGATAATCTCCTAATGATATAGGGCGGCAGCCAAACATCATGAGTAAAGGCTTTTGCCATTTGCGCTCCAAGCTTCTTCTTCAACAAACGCTCGATTGCAGGATAGTATTTCTTCCTCACGATGTCCGGGTCGGCATAAACGTCCGAAGTTGGGGCTGCGCTGGCGCTGTGAGTAGACCAGTCTGCATCATCGCCACAATCAATATCTTCGAAGATCTGAAACCCATTCTTATCCAAATTGAAATCATTCTCAAACCCCCTCAGACTCTTAATCCGTATACCAGCATACTCTTGAGAGACTTCATTCGACTGCGCGTGTCTTCCCAGTGCGTTTGCGGGTAGGTTGATATGGTACGGTTTCTCTGTCTGATATAGATCCAAACGCTTCAAGTACCATAATCTCGCATTGTTGGTGGTCGAAATCCAGTGGCTTCGTGAAATATTTGCAGCTTGTCGCGAGCACTGGTAAAAACCGCCTTTCCTGGTAAACGCGCCTCTCAAAACTCCGAACATGGGGGCGAAGTTGATCATGCAGCATTGACACTCGATGTCTTCCGGCGGTGCTTTTATGCCTGTTGGATATGAGAAGCGTGTTCAGGCCTCTTTGCAGGCAAAAAGGCAGAATTAGACGGCTTGCTGCAGATTCTTGCATATTCATGCAGGCAACTCCTTAAAGCGGCGGGAGAAGAATCTGGGAATGGTGTGAACCCACACGAGCCCCGCTCGTGGGGTTACTCCTTGATAGCGTAATGGTGTGGCCAGCAGGACACTTAGCTCGATGATCGATGCCGCAAGACACCCCCGCTGTGAAACGTTGAACACGCCGACAGTCGCAGAAACTTGGATCCCGCGCCGCATCTTGCTACCGTTGGTTTCCATGTGTCAAATCGAATTGATTCGGCCACGTGGGTCCCATCAACTTGAACGAAGGCGAGTAGTCTCTGTGGAGTTTCCCAGAGGACACCATCTACCCGGATTCGAGGCGAAAGAGGCCCAAATGGGTTGGTGCTAGATTCTGTTATTGTGTTTGATGAGGGGGTGAGGCTCAGCCCGGATGTCAAGCTAGTGACAACCACGAGTGCAGACGCTCAACAAAGAGGGTCCCCTCATAGTGGACTTTGGGCTGCTTGAAGAGACTAATTCAGAGTGGATAATACCGCACTGCAAGCCGTTCTATTTAGGGCAACCTTTTTCCTCTTGTATGGGTTGTAAGAAATATCATGGGGAAAGGCTGCAACAAAACAAATTGGCGAATATTGATTTCTAGGTATAGGTACCGCTGCTACCCACTGATCAAGTGAAATGATCATCATCGGCTCCAGAAGAAGACAAGATTGTCAAAAGCCTGTTCAATTTGATCCTCGTCTTGAGGTAGTTCGCCCTTAGAGTCTGCAATCTTTTCAAGATAGCTCAAGGATCGTATCTCCATGAGCGCCGCATCAGCATCAAGGGGACTTCTACCGACTTGTATTATCTTTGCAAGCTTCCACTCTGTCCTTGCGATCGATGACTCCACGTAGTGTTTGCCGTTCCCTTGCATTAGTCGGTATATGTCTAGGGCCTTTCGAAGGAATATCCTAGAGAACTCGTATTAATGAAGAGCATGATTCCCAGCGGCTAGATAACTCACTCAGCTTGGTGCAAGTCTCTGCGTTCGAAGTCACAGAGAGCATAGATACTGCCGATCTTATGACACGAGTCTGCGACAGTATGGTGGGAATGTCCCAGGGTTGTAGAAAAACTTTCCAAGACTTCCCAATGAAGATCAAACGCGCTCTTCAGTTGACCTTGTCGCAAGTAAACATTTCCCAGTGCGTACAAGCTGCATTCGAGTCCACGATCGTGCCGTAGTAGCGCTTTACGAAGTAGATCTTCTGCTTGCTCATACTTCCCTTGCCATAGCAGGCAAGATCCTAGATTAGCATATAGACTGCCTATTCGCGTTGACGATTGCGGTTCATCTATTTTCGGAGCATCGCTAAGTGCTAATTGATGACATATCTCTGCTTCACTGAAGCGGTTGGCAGCCGTTAGTGCGTTTCCAAGGCAGGAGTACAGCCGCGACAGGTACGTTTTGCCGCTGTCCAAGAGGCGATCCTCATCCAAAGCGAACAGTTGTCGGAAGTGATACAGAGCACGCTCAAAGAGACGAATGCTTAGACCCGGCTGACTTGTCTCTGTTGCGAGGCGACCGTGAACATAAGACAGTACTGATAGGATGCTAGGATCTGTGACGCCGTATTGTTGAATCATTGACTCCGCAGTCTCAACACGATCAAACCCCCTTTGGTACTCTCCAATCTCGAAGAAGTAGCTGCCCATAATCAGCTGGTGAAAAGAAGAATGACCGAACATTCCAGAGCTTCTTACTGTATGCATCGAACGATCAAGTTGAGTAGGGGACAAACATGGAATGAGGCCAGGTGGGCGCGGGAACGCCGTTCCAAGTGGCTGACATGAGAGACATACATGTCCCTGACCTTCCAAAGTCCAGGATCTCGAGGCCGCTCAAGATCAGGTTCGGGTACCGCTTCCAGTAAGGACTTTATCACCCTTTCAAGGGCAGCATGGTATCTACTTCGTACCTTCATAAGCTTCTCGAGCCACACACCTTGAAAGTAACGATCTATGGAAATGAAATTTCCAGATTCGTCGTACCCGATGAGTGAGCGTGACGAAAGCCACGCCCTCGCATCCATGAATTGGGATGTTGGTGTGTCGACAAAATCAACCGGAATTTCACCAGGATCGAGGAGCGAGATATAGTCCAAGAGCTCGAGGGCGTCACTGGGGATATCGCTGAGAGCCATATTCCATACGCTGGCTACCCTTGTCGAGCTTTCGAGAAGACTGCATTCCTGATCTTGCTTTTTCTGTTCATTGTGTAGTCTCATAAATCGAGTGGGCGTAAGCCTTTTGCTTCGCATGAACGCAGCAGTGATTTGCAGCCCCATAGGCCACCCAGAGAAGTGCTCCGTAATCGTATTTGCAGCCGCCCGATCTTCGGCTGCTGCACTATCAGGTCGCTCAAGAAAGGAGAGCAAAAAATTTGCGCCGTCGCTCTTGTCGAAAGCTTGGATCCGGATAGCGTTTGTAGCAAGGCCTTCGTCTTGGACCAGAGGATCACGACTGGTCACTATGACTGCACCATGAGTAGCCGTGGGCCAGAAGGCTCTAAGCGTAGCTCTGTCGTCTGCATTGTCAAAAACGATGAGCCATTTCAGGTCTCTTGTATGTCAGATGGAAACTATGGTGCGGGTAATGTTTGAATTATACCTGTAGTTGACAACCAATCCATCACGAACCTTCGCCTAGTGCTAGCATCTTCTCCTGGTGCAGCAAAGCCTAGATGTCGAGCGAGCTGAACAACTTGTCTTTCAAGCTTGACCCTGTCACCGGCATCAAAACACATGATAGCTTCGTAGAGGCCCAAGTTACGGTGAACATATTCCGTTGCAATCGAAGATTTACCGCAGCCTACAAATCCATGAAGAGCGACGCTGGATAGCCTTGAGCCCTGACCCGCTAACAGTGTGACCATCTGATCCATCACCGAGCCCCTTTCATAGTAGCGGTCGTTCCTAGGCATGACCTGCGGAAATCGTACGGGCAATCGCACGGTGGGAAGATCAGATACGCCGCCTGCTATGCCACTCAAAAGTTTCGAGATATTCTGGTCGCGCAGCATCGATGAGCGAATACCCGCAGTCTGAACTTGTAACACAAGCACTTTAGTGATGTTTTCAATTTTAACTTCTGATCTCTTGAACTGGTGCTGAAAGGAAGGTGAGAAGGCTGTCCGAATCATATTGCCTATTGGCAGTTAGGAGATTTTTCACAGAGATGCCGTTCGAATTCGATACCCATTCCAGACCCGCGAAGGAATTTTATCATCTTAACGAGGACACTGATGTATTCAAGATACGTTTCCGTCAAGCACTCTGATAGCTCTTTGTAATCTGCTCGAGGAAACAGGCTTGCCCACATCTCGAAAAGGGGCAGGTACGTTGACAGTCTTTCAAACAATTCCGATATTTCCACCAAAAGCTCAAGCGTCCTAGAAGATATCTGGGGAATTAGGGATCATTCGTTCATGTCAGGCTCGTTGCAAGACTGAGCTGTGGAGCATACCTCCAGTATCAACCTAACACCTCCCCAAATCAGACACGCCACGTTCGGGTGTGACTGGACCGCAACATCCACTACAGTGGCGAAGCTTCGGATGTGCTGAAGGGTCGATCCGAACTTCATGAGTAGCTTCATCATACTTCCATGCTCATGCTTTGCTATCAAAGGTGCAATAAGGGTTTCAATGCTCTGCGCCGTCAGAGCTGAATCGTCCTTCGTAGAGATTATGCTCTGCTGATCTTTGTCGGGCAATTGTTGGATGTAGAGGGTCATCGCGTCGTGCCAAACAGACGACGTGCTTGCTGTGGATGAGCCACGACGTTTGATGGATTTGACGAGATGTGTAGCGGCGCTAGCCTCGTCGCCCATTTCTTTTGGCCTTGAATTGAGCTGCCAAGGCCACCGTCCTTTGAGCCCGCGGACGGTAGTAGAATGTTCATGCTGCATGACACTGATATTTCAGAGAGCCAAAGCTCTTGTGTATAGAAGCCTGAGCTTCGTCACGCAATTGCAATTTTCAACAGCGTTTGGGTGCATCACCTGTGGAAGGAACTTAGAGTACCTGAAATGTAAGAGCTTGAAAGAACTTGTCAAGCTCCTGATAAGATATAAGGAGGCGGAGCCTTTTGTCTCGAACGAAAGGCATAGACAACCTCAATACGCCTTCAATCCGCAGCAATATCATCTGCCCTCCATCCCGGTATCAATGCGAGAAAAAGGGCTTGGCATTACCCACGGCATCGAGATCCGAGTTTCGTTCCCAGGCAAGAATCGTTCCGAAGTGTTACAGACAGATCATCACGATCCGATATTGGCTATCAGACACGTTCATGCAGTTGTGTCTCGCCGACTGAGAAGGCAGGCGCGCCTCTTGGGCACCACAGATTGGCCAGCTAACGTGGGGTGCCGACAGGTCCGGTCGTCATTTGGGTCCAATGAGGTGCTGAGGCTGTCGCATGAAAAGTATGATACTTCAAATTCCATGCAGTCAGCGCCTGGTGACAGCTGACGCTTTAACTTGAAGGGTCTGCGTTATCGTGCCGCCTTAAATGGGCATTTCTTGTGTCTGTTAGCCTTCCCGTATAAGCAAATAGGTAGTGCATGCGTTCGCAAAAGGCTTTCATGGAGACCTTGCTAAGCAAGTCCAAGGAGGCGTGACAGTTCCGGGCATTTTTTATGCGAACTATTAGAGTGCTGAGTTCGAAGGCGTCGTATGTGCAGCCTGCTACTGAGACAAAATTGCACTCCTCCAAGAAGCACCTTGGGTGTCCAGACTCCCGGCAGAGTGCAGCTTGAAGTTTGGAGACACGCGGAGAGGAATGCAACCGCAGCATGGTTGCTAGACCGCTTGTGGGGACTTCGCAGTATCTGAGCGTCTCTACTAGGGCGTGCCCTAGGCTGTGGAGGGTTGCGCGAGGAGAGCCTCACTGTATATCGAATTTGCAAAGAAGGCGCAAGATTATCATCCTCTGTAAAAACAACAGAAAAGGCACATACCGGAATCATGTTTCGTAGCCTGGTGGTCTTGAGGGAGGGCGCAGAGTATGTGATGAGTGCGCCGGGATTTTAGCCCCGAGACATGGCGCATGTCAGAGCGGCACATCTTGCCAAAACGCGACATGAACGTGGGGGCAACATGGACGAGGCTGTGGTCCACAGACAACATGGGCTTATGAGCATCTCACCTCTCTTTCTCATTGAGGAGGTTGAGACATCCCCAGCATTGGACTTGCTTGCCGGTCATTGAGCCCACTTTCAGACCTGCGTGGCTCAAGTTAGGAAAACGAAGGTATGTTTGCATTTGTATTGTCTAGGCACAGCCTGCTGACGCGATGCTGATACACGAGGCTGATACACGAGAAAGGCATGAACGATCATTCACGAGATCCCAAGGCCTGATATATCCGCCGACATCGATTGATATCCCTCAATGAGCTCGCTCATCACCTTCCCACTGCCGGGTCCCAACGTGATCCCATCCCGCCCGTGCCCAACGTTCAAGTACACGCCGCCCCGTTCAACCTTCCTTTTGTCAAGGAGATTTGGATGTGTCAACCCGAGTAGCTCATCAAGTGGAACTTGAGCAACAATAGGCCGCTCCTGTTCCAGACACGGGCGGTATGCTCTTCCAAACTCCAAGATCTCCAAGTCGTCCGAAGAGCAGTCGAGCACCCTCGCTACAAGCCTCTTCATCTGGCATACATATTTCACTTGGGGTTGGACATCAGTCGTGGTCTCCGGGAGTGCCTCTTGCGCTGAAAGAGACCCGCCAATGTACAAGGTCCCGTCAGGCCGACTCGAAATGTCTACCTGGTGTCCAATAAATCCTTCAAGGTATATCTGGTGGCAGAGCCTTGTATCATGGCTGCCGTCCCATCTCGGCGCCTTTAAGACAATATAGTTCCCAGAGTTTGGCTGCTTGCCGGATGGTATGCGCACCTGAGAATCGGGAAAGAGTCCGCTGAGCACACGTTCACTCCAGGGACCGGCAGCGATGACAAGACTGCGACACCCTATTATTGTTTCCGTTTCGGCGTGTGTGACGGCGACAGATTTCAGGCAACCGTATTTGACTCGAACATCTGTAACCGTGGCATCGAGAAGAATTCGAACGCCCATTGCCTCACAATGTTTTTTCAGGAACTTGCAGAAATCCGCGGGATTGCTACCTATAGTAAGCCTCAGACGCTTCACGGACCGCGGGGAATACTGACATGCGTGCTGCGTGTTCAAGATCAGAGAGCAAGGTGCTGGCGTGTCTCTCTAAATCCCTGCACCACGTCGGCAGAAGCGTTGAGCCCAGTCCAACTTTCGAATCATCTGAGGCTGCACGATGCAAGTTGCAAATAATCACGTCTCTATAACCCCAGCCAGCCCGACCTTTGTGTACGCTCGCTAACTGCTGGTGCAAGTCCCAGGACAATTGACCAAGGGATTCAGCTTCCGGCTCGAAACCATAATCCCCAAGAATTCCATTGGCTTTACCAGATGCCCCAGCGAATAAAATGGAAGCATTGTCGACTATGGTGATGGACCGCCCACTCTTACGGGCTAGAGAAAGGTAGTATGCCGTGGATAAACCGATTATTCCACCCCCAATGATGACCACGGGCGAGCGACCCAAACCTTTCTGCTTCCCGCCAGCCATTCACCCTTCTAGTCGTTCGATGTCGCTGGGTTCGTTGGTATCGAGGGAATGCCTGCAATAGAAAGTGGGAGGCGGATGAACGGCTGTGAATTGGTATGTTGCAAGGCTTCTAGGTTCACCGTTGAACAGGATAAAATGTACAAAACAACTTCAAACTCACCTCTAGTCGTCGCTGAAGAGCCTATGTGACCGTTCTTCAGGTTGTTCAGATGCTGAGATAGGAGACTGAAGCACCAGGAGACACTGAAAGACCCTGACTGACTTACAATGCTGGGAAGTGTTCAGAAGAAGTCGCAGACCAGAGAGATAATGTATGTGTCCATTACTTGAAGCTTTGATGGGATGAAAAGACCTGGACCCTGAGGCACTTGCGGAGAAAGTAAGATGGCAAAATCTGAAATACAGGTTGAGGGCAACGGTTACGCAAAATGAGGGGCTACCCGACCTTGGATGCGAAGCTGGCGACGCTGGCGGCATCGGGTTAATGCCGACACGGAGGGGACCTAGCTATCAATTTCCGGAAACTCTCAGGCCGCTTCTCCTACGTCAAGAAGTGGAAATGGGAGGCAATTACATGTTGAAGGATCGGGAGAACCGTCAACAGCTTGGCTAATCAGTCATCAACGAGCTCGGGCGACTATCCTCCACTAATATTGATCGAAATGTGTTGGAAATGCTCGCGGCGATTAACCTTTGCTCCATTGGCGCTAGGAATCAAACACAGGGACCCTTCCGCGAATGTCTTCGACCAGCCATGCCAGGCAGAAGGAAGATGCAGCCGTTTGTGAAAGATTCGGCATTCTGGCTTTGCTGGGGTATGCTGAAGCCAATTGATGCACGTTTCAGCATGCGAGAGGGGCTTCTGGATCACTCACTACAATCTCTGCCATTCATTTTCTTCATAACCTCCGCACCGTCCTCTAGCCAGCTCAGCAAGAGGCAAAAGGGTTGTGTGCGGGCCGCAAATTGCCCAGGAGAGATGCAACTCGATGCCCACTGCCTGAAAAGATTGAATTTGTCTCGTGGCTCAGGAAAGAGACAGATCTAGAGTGCGAAGTCCATGGATGCGCATTCTACGTGGTTTGACTCCGGGGCTCATTCCTGTACTATAGCTGTGGTAGGGTGCTCGCATATTCCGACGGATGACCAAGAATGCTGGTCTCGCCTGGGGATCGGTGTCAACGACCTGTGGCGTGCCAACTGGCACACATGAGAGAGAAATTCTTACAGATGCGAGTCCGGCAAGGTAAACTCAAATTCTTTTAGCGCCTTCCGTCCCATCTTCCGCTTTTTCTTTTTAGTCATCAGGCGCAGGATGATCGAATACGATGAGAAGCACTACCACTCACAGCCATCACCCGTGCCTTCAGGTGCACGCGGAGCCGTCCCTTGAATTCACGGTGGACTTCTCAATACGGCACGGCGCATCGTGCTAAGAAGCTGCACTTGAATCAGCTCAACCGGTTTTGAACAGTCACATTAACTTTGCCTGCCGTCAGTTTGAGGAATTCGAGTATATAGATTGAGCGGACTCAGGACTCTTGCTCTGGTAGAGGTTGCTCTCAATATCCGAGGCTTGCTTTAGTCCTGAACTTGAAATAGTACTAGTATAGTCCGAGACAATCCTACTGAACGCTTGTTTTCCTCGGACCGCCTTGTATTAGGGGCTATCAAAGTTACTTCTACTTACTCGTGCTGTCCAGGAGTGAGTTACCTCGCTTAATAGCGCCGGGAGAGTTAACCAATCAAACTACGATTTTCGCGGAGAACTGAGTAGTTTGATTGGTCAACTCTCCCGGCGCTATTAAGCGAGGTAACTCACTCCTGAACAGCACGAGTATGAAATAAGTCACTTATTTACCCCTGCAGCCCTATTTCAGCCCTATGATAAGTAGAAAAAAAACGACTTTTGAATAGCAACTCCGGACCTGCTATTCAACTCCATAAGCTACTTATTGCGTATTCTATTACACGTTCTAGAGTAGCCTTCTATATATATAACACGCCATCTCTTGCCAAGCCTGATTCTACAGGCGTTATGGCCAGAAAGAAGCCCAAACGCGCCCTGACAGACGCCTGTGTCGAAATGTAGCCCCCGCGCATCCCAGCCACCATGTTTTCCCGCCACCTGATTTTGTACTGTATTTAGGATCTGGCCCCGGAGAGGTTTTGGAGAATCAATCCGTCTGTTCTACAGAGGTCTGCACCGAAAGTCTTACACCCGCTAAGACTCTTGCGCTTAGACTTCGGATAACGCCTCACCTAAAGGGCTACCTGGATAATACGTCTGGAGTTCTTCGGAATCGCACCTAGCTCTAGCTAGATTTCGGGGTTTAATACCTCTATCAAGCCAAAAGAAGTACCTAAAGTCCCATCCATACGCTGTGAGAAGATATTTCTAGGCTTCCTCTCTATAGGGTCGCTTTCCGAAAGTAGGGTTAGGGCTGCACTAGCGTATGTGTAGGACTTTCGGTGTAGACCTCTATACATCATCACATACCTGATATTCTAACAGCCTGCATCAGCTATCTACTTACCACTGCGGCGGAAGTGGAAGTCATAATGACTGCGGTGAGGTATAATCGTTGTAATGACTTTAAGAGGTGTTTTATGTGCAATGGGCCACTGTTGGAAATCGTTCTCGGATCGTTTTTATTCGCTAAGATTATTACGAGGCTATTTAAGAAGAAGAAAAAATAGTTACTATCTATAAGTAGAAATGATAAGGGTGCTATCAAAGAACTAGTAGCTTATTGCATTTTTGACTAGAAGAAGTAGAAGTAACTTTGATAGCCCCTATTGGATTCTCACATAATCGTTGCTCCTGCATCACAGTTTCGTTTCATGCAAGCGGCTTCAAAATTATGTGCTGGGGCGTGTCCTTCCCAGTAGTGAAAAGCTTGCCAAGTACTGATTTTTAACTATTTTTGATTCTCGGGGAGATCCCCTAAAACCCTAGACCTTTCGAAGGCTCTTTAAGGGCTCTCCGAGAGCTTCTGTCGAGGGGCTATCAAAGTAAACTCGAAATTTAATTATTTTAGTGATATTTAATTGATTTTAAGCTTACTTTGATAGTCCCTCGATAGAAGCTCTCGAAGAGCTCTTAAAGAGCTTCGAAGGATTTAAGGGATTTTAAGAGATCTAACTCTAAGAATCGAGAGAGACGTTAGAGAGAGATATTATAGTTCACTAAGAATCGAGAGAGACGTTGTAATTTATTTGATATACTCAGGGGGAGATCCTCTGAAACCCCCCTAACCCTCCGGGGGCTCTCCGAGGGCTCTCCGAGGGCTCCTGCCGGAGGGGCTCTTCTCGCGAGCTCGATAAATCTTAGTTTTTAGTATATCTTTACGAATACTTTATCAAATTTCGTCTTCTCTGCATTATTTGAAAGCGTATAATTAACTCTATAACTCTATAAATTTACTTTTTTATTATTTATTACGTAACGTTAAAGGAGTTAAATAGAATAAATTAATAAAGTTAATATTCGAGGTTCAGCCTTATAATGCTTTCTCTTTTGAACGTACCCGTGTGTACCCGTGTTTAGATCGAAAATGAAGAAATAAGATATATTTTAAACTAGAAATATTAAGAAATCATTATGATTTAACTCATATATATGTGTAGTGTAAAGTTGTTAATTATCTATGTGGTTTATAGGGTAGATATGTGCGGTGCTAAGCCTACGCTAGTGGCCCTATAAGTATCCCTAAGGCATCTCATGACAAGAAATGATGGAATTTAATGATCTGATTGGTCACTAGCCTCTTAGCGTAGCACCCATTCTTACTCGTGCTATTCAGGAGTGAGTTACCTCGCTTAATAGCGCCGGGAGAGTTAACCAATCAAACTACTCAGTTCTCCGCGAAAATCGTAGTCTGATTGGTCAACTCTCCCGGCGCTATTAAGCGAGGTAACTCACTCCTGGACAGCACGAGTATTTTCAAATCTTGAGTATTGAGAAAGCAAGCTTTTTAATTAGCGTGTGCAAGTGTATATACAACTCTTGGCAGCGAGAAAAACGCGCGCGCCACCAAAATACCAGTAGAAACGTCTGACTTTCTCCTACTTTACGTCGCATTTGCATATCAATGATACTTGAAGCCTTTATATATCACTTTCATAAGATGTGGCCTTAGTCCTAGGGCGATTTGGGTACTTGCTACGATTTGCAATAAGAAGGAGTCGTCATAGTAGGTTTGCGAGGGAGTATAGTGCTCAAGGAGGAAATATATCTAAGGGCTAAGGCTGATAATCAGAAGTTGGAATGGAGGCTTTGTAGAGGCCATTTAAAGATCAGATAAACTTTGATTACGTTCTATGAGTTTGAGGCATCGTTACATGTGAGAAGATTTGCCTTTTTACTACTACTTCATCCTTGATGGTGTGTGCGTGATTTTCTCCGTGCCTGATTTTCTCCGTGCCTTTCTCCGTGCCAAGGATTGTAGATACACTTGCACACGCTAAAGTGTTACGTAAGCGATAAGTCAGTGACAGTGGATTATGACAAAACCTGAGAATCCTAGCGTCTTGCTAAAATCAAGATTCGTCTTTCGGAGCTCTCCGCGCTCAAATAAAGGGTCCCTCTTCGTATTGCTTCAGAGTGTCAATGAGAGCGACGCCTATAAGAGAGAAGCTGACTGGACACAGGCTTAATCAATCCGCGACATCGGAGGCTGATCCAGAGCTTTCCCCATTCCCACCCACCAATGTCACATCCGTGTCTGTCCTTGTGATCTCCCCCACCTGTCGCAGAAAGCCTGCACCATCCTCTGTATCCATGCCCACAAACTTCAATATCCGCTTTCCATCTCTTCTGTCAGGAGAAAAGCTCGACGTAGCCACGTCATCCTTCACCTCGGCTACTACTCCCCCCTCCTCCACAGCTACATTTCATCAGCAGGATTTCACATCGGTCTCCGCTCAAGTCGAGTTTACCTTCTGATCCACTAGGCCTCTGCCTTCTGGTCTGATAGATGGCAAAAAGGCTGATGAAGACCATCACAAGCCCGAAAACGATATTGCTGATGGATTCAGGACCCCATTGACTTTGATTTACCGGCTGGCAGGGCATCGCCTGTGGTGAGCTTCCGAAGGTTGCATTAGTGGATGTCGAAGAAGAGCCATTACCGACTGGGAGGGAAAGGGGAGCCATGTCCTTTCGAAAATGGCAAGCTAGGCCTTAGAATAGACATGATGGTTCTGATGTCTTGATAGCTTGCTTTTGTAATGTTGGTGCGAGAAACTTGACTTGAACTGGTGCAACAACGGCAGCAAGGGCCAAGGAGACCAAGCAAGCAGCAAGCTTCGCAACCCATGAATGCTTGCGGCCAGTGCTTGCTTGTACTTGTCCGTAGGCTGTGATACGGTAAGTGGGGATCTCATCGCTCTTCTCGCAACATGGGCTCGCATAAATTCTCGCTTCGCTTCCTAATACTCTACAACAGGCGAGCGCTTATCTCCGATCACGGATGCAGCGAAGCAAGGTCTGCCCGAAATGTTTTCAAATTGTTATCTTGCGACTCTATTAAAGGAACGATGGGTGCCTTAGAATATGATTGCGCGCCTCGTGCCAAACAAAGTACACTGCCAAACAAAACAATTGTTCTCTGACTTATTCTCTTGCACTGGCATGTGTAGGGTAGACTAGACAGATTAATCTAGCACAAGAACGGCCACTAATTTTCTCCGTAATGTTTCGTGCGGTGTGGCTTCCTGGGGGGACAACCATGGGGGTAAATAGACACAAAGGAACTCACGTTGGTTGCGCTACGGCACCGTAGTACGACACATCACGTTTCTTGATCGTGGGATGGAGCCCTGGTCCGAGTCCTGCGTGTCGTTCGATCACGGGGAGAGTTCTTGCGGATCGCATCCCGGACGGTGTTTTGCTTGCTCCTCGTCGCGAGAGCCAGCACTGGCCACTGGCACGGCTTGCCCATGACTTCCACACTGAAGAAATGCCATGCGAGCAGGTTTGCAACTGTATCGTGACCTTTGCTTGTAATGCTCTTGAGTGTCGCGCCAAGCTGGTTGAAGTCTTCACCCCCCGCTGTCAAGAGCAGTTTGACAGCGTCCAAGTGCCCATTCTCCGCAGCGAGCCGTAGTGCTGTGAGCCGGTTGTTGTCAGTCGTGTTGACATGAGCTCCTTTTTGAAGCAAGAACCGCACTGTTGGAACATGGCCGTTGGATGCTGCCAGATGGAGGGCTGTGCGTCCTTCTCGAGTAGGCATGTTGATGTCGGCGTATCTCCGGCACAAAGATTGCAACCCGCTCAAACGTTCCTGAGCCAAACACTTAGCTTCCGTCCCCCAGAAGAAACGTCGATTTGAAGCGGAATCCATTAGTAAGTCCTCTGTCCAAGCCTGATAATATCGCTGCTGGACCATGGAATCGTAGATATCCATCTCCTCATCCGAAGCGTCAAGACCCTCAACAAGCCATTTCACTGTTTGCAAATGACCGCGGGATGCAGCCAGATGCAGAGGTGTCTCCCCAGATATGGGAATCATAGCGTTCAAGTCTACGTCGTGATTCATTAACAGCTTTATGATATCTAGGTTCCCGGATGAAGCTGCCGCATGCATTGGCGTTCTGCTCAAATAGCCCGCATCCGAGTCCGCTTTGGCGTCATACTTCAGAAGCATTTTCGCGCTCTCTTGGGAACCATAGGCCGCAGCAAGGTGCAGTGCTGACTCTCCACAACCGGAATTACTCGCATCTGTGGAAGCTCCTCCCTGGATGAGAAGCATGGCGGCTTCTGAATGACCTCCAGCTACCGCCAGTGCGAGTGGCGTCTCGCAGGCATCGCACGATCCATTTCGATTGACTCCCATCTCTAAAGAGACCCGAGTCAGAGATGTGAAGCCGTGACGAGCGGCTATGCGAAGTATTGTTGTCTCGATTTGGTCTAGCCGGCCCATCTTAGGAAGCGAGAGTTGTTCACAGTCACGATGCAGTATGCGGCTAAGCGAGCGGCGGAGCGCGCCAACAAGCCTTTTGCTTTGGGACTCAGCCAAGCCATAATGGAAGGACCAATTAGTGAACGCATAATCTTTCATACTTGATGCACATCCTGCCTTCTGTGACCGTAATTGCGGTCGCCGCAACCCGCGAAAGGGCGAGCCTTCGTCCTCTTCTGGAGTCACTAACATGAGGCACGTTTGCGCGAGAAGCGTGTGCGCTTCAGCCATCGAAGTTCCCCAGACTCCTGTGTCACTAGCGGGTAAAAGGTGTCTTCTTACACTCGGATGCCTGAATCCGACAGCGTTTTCTCTCGTGGTGATGAGCAGAGGGCTGCACATTCGCCGGATTTCAGCTCCAGGACACCGGGTGTTCCAGATCCGGCTTGCTGGTGTTCCGATGCCAGGCGGTCTATATGGATTAGGTTCGATTTCCAAAGCCTCTACAAGCTCGGACAGCCCCAAAGGGCGATGTGCCGCGATCAGCCATGCAAAAGATCTTTTTACAATTTCGATTTCTTGAGACGGGATATTTTGTAGCACTCGTTGGTAAAGGCCGTCAAGCGTTGGTTGTAGGGATTGAACCTCTATTTCCACTTCAGCAACTGAATTCGCGCACTGAAGGCTTTCAGTAACCAACGCAACCCACAGGAAATTGCCCCGACCTTGTGAACATATCATTTGCCCAATAGAAGTCAGATGGGATTTTGCGTTGCCCGTGGTTGGGTAAATGTTAGCAAGTCGCGATTCTGCGAGCTGCAGTACATCGCGCTGGACGCCAAGCTCGCTGTCCAAGCTGATATTCCGAACTCGACCTCTGTGTGTACTATATTCACAGCTCTCTCGGCTCGAGATAAGACATCTCATGTGATCTGAGCTGTGACGCGAATTGTTCATACGAGTGACCTCGTCTATCACCACGCACTTGATCCACTCATCTTTGTCCACCCCGTCCAGAATCAGCACAATCCGAGCCTGAGAATCAGTGTTCCCGAGAAGACTTCTAAGGAAGCGTTGGAAAGCCTCACGCGTCATCGGCGAATCAACAGCTTCGATTTCTGGAAGAAGAGTATACAGAAGATAGTCTGGCACAGCATGGTGGTTCAGCAGCTGACGAACGAGAACTTGGAGTATTTGTTGTGCAAAATCATCCCTTCCAAGACCTTCTTCAAGGAAGCAATAGGCGATCACATCCATTTGCTGTTGGCGTTCGAGGAGATCATCAACAATCGCTGAGGAAAGTATCGTTTTGCCGGTACCAGAAACGCCACAAATCCACAGGCAAGTGGGACCGTCAGCGACTGTCCATTCGAGATAGTCGTTATGGACGAAGACCCAGTCACACGTAGATGGTAGTCTCTCTTCGGTGTACAAGTTTTTGGTGGCCCACTCGCTTTCGAGACATTTATGGTAAGATTTACGGCTGGCTGCTACTAGATCAGAAACAAATTTAGTAGGAGATCGTCAGCATTGAGATAGAAAGGGGGGCTGAAGGAGATAAAGCGTACCCATCCGCATACCCACTGTAGCACGCTCAACATAGGCCCTGGAAAGAACGGTAGTCGTGCTCCTTGGAAGGATGTAGTGGTTCTTCTTAGTGGTCCGTCGCAGATGGTTCTGCGACACTACTGACCACAAGCAATCGGGATGAAGTACCTGAAAGGCGTGTCAGAGAAGCGATAAAGACTCATCGTCAGAGCCCTGCTCACAGTAGCTCCTGAACATTCCAGCCAGTCCTCACTGCAGAAGTAGATGATCATGTATAAGGACGAGAGCTGCTGAAAGTCTTTGGTGAGCTCTATGAAGTCCTCTGAGTTTGCCAATGTGTCCGTAGCTCTACGGTTTCGACTGCCCTTGTGTCTGACGTCTGTTGCGGTTTCCATCCTAGCTGGCCAAATTCGTATATCATCGTTGTGGGGAGTACCAAGAAATATCTGCAGTCGGCTCAGCTGATAGTGTTTGAGTATCTCGTCTCTCTAAAGGTTAACCAACCATCCCGGCCACACGCTGGCTTATTGAGTGAGGACCGCTGTGCGATCTTGCCAAGATCAATGCCTGCGCATCGTCAGCCAGATGACCATGTACGGCGAGCGTTGAACATACATACCTTCTTCACGACTAACCCAGCAAATCCCCGACATATAAAGAGCACGGGCAAGGCAGGATCTAGAGCGCTTATATCTTCAGAGTCTGCCAGGTCGTTGCACATCGAGGTACGTTTAGCCCATTTGGATCCACCCAACTCCGACAGGAGGTTTTGGGCTGCTTCGTTGACAGCACCGATCTCAAGTGACTGAATGTATAGGTCCTCGAATGCATAAGCCATAATATGAGCCTCGGTATGCTGCGTTGGAAGTCGTTCCCTACACCATTCAAGGTCGCTAATGCTGTCCCAGTGGTTGGGATGCTGGCTATTGAGGCCGTACACGAAAATTATACTATCTATGTCGTGAGTAACACGACTAAAATGATAGCCAGAGTGTCTTACGCAACAGCGGCGTCATTTTTGGTCTGAATAGCTGAGAGCTTACCCATACTCCGAGAAAGCATGGTTTAGAGGTCGATGGAACGTAAAGTGTATGCTTTGGGGAGTAGCATGACGACGAGGGGCAGCTATAAGTGAAATTGGCCGCTGCACAGCCTGAAGGTTTGCCGGAGGGCGTCAGCATTCTTATCGGCCGGACAGTCCTCCAGATGCCAATGAGCTGAACGCCGACGAAGCATACAAGATCCCTTGTGGCTTTCTGTGAAACGTCGTGTTTGATTAGGTAACGCCCCATTGGTTGAAAGGTACTCGCCAAGGATGTAGACGTTGAGGGAGCGCTCGTCGAAGAAGTACTTGCTTGAGAAGTACCGTCGGTAAGATGTCAGTCGGTTAGTCGGGAAACAAATGACCGCTCTTGCTTTGGTGGATACTTAGAAGCACGAGACGCGAAAGGATCAGGCGAAACAGGGATCTTTTCGCCCACTGCAGGCGAGATGTGCGAAATATATGCGAAATATATGCGAAGCAAATGCGAAGACAAATGCGAAGACAAATGCGAAGACAAATGCGAAGACAAATGCGAAGACAAATGCGAAGACAAATGCGAAGACAAATGCGAAGACAAATGCGAAGACAAATGCGAAGACAAATGCGAAGACAAATGCGAAGACAAATGCGAAGACAAATGCGAAGACAAATGCGAAGACAAATGCGAAGACAAATGCGAAGACAAATGCGAAGACAAATGCGAAGACAAATGCGAAGACAAATGCGAAGACAAATGCGAAGACAAATGCGAAGACAAATGCGAAGACAAATGCGAAGACAAATGCGAAGACAAATGCGAAGACAAATGCGAAGACAAATGCGAAGACAAATGCGAAGACAAATGCGAAGACAAATGCGAAGACAAATGCGAAGACAAATGCGAAGACAAATGCGAAGACAAATGCGAAGACAAATGCGAAGACAAATGCGAAGACAAATGCGAAGACAAATGCGAAGACAAATGCGAAACAAATCAAACAAAAAACAAAGCGAAGACAAATGCGAAGACAAATGCGAAGACAAATGCGAAGACAAATGCGAAGACAAATGCGAAGACAAATGCGAAGCAAATGCGAAGACAAATGCGAAGACAAATGCGAAGACAAATGCGAAGACAACATTCGATACCGCACTGAACAATTGGTACTGTTTTCTGCTGTTTTTTTACTGGGGTTAATCTTACGCAAAAGCCACAGTGGCGCTGAGGGGAACGAGGTATTTCGTGTAAACGGCATTGACTCTTGTTCTCTTTTGCACAACAGATTTATTGCATGTCACGAGCAATATATTCTGGGACGTGCTGGGTCAATCGTAACAATACCGAGATAGTTTTGATTGTCGCAGAGGGAGGATCTTCTCGAGTTCCGTTCTAGGTGCTGGGTAAGTAAGTGTACGTATTATGAGGTATCACGAAAGAGGTCAATCTCAGGGCGAGACTCAAAATATGCGTCCGTAGCGGTCACCCACGCAGGAACCTCGTAGATCGCATGATGTACTACATGTAACAGGCCGTAAGGCTCCCTATTCGCGAATAGGGATGCGCAATAGGAACGGCCTTCTGGTGGACCTCGCTTGTCTCTGCGCTCTGTCGCACAGTTGCGCCTTCCAAGGAATCCTGTCCTAACCATTAAATTCAACTTGAAATGCCTTCTTGTGAGCCTTGCTCGAACTCCATCTCCATTCCTACATCCTCGAGCAGGGCGCATCCATGGTCGACAACATCAGGTAGAACCCAGATATGCGAGACCAATTCAAGTGCACTGAATGTCGAAGGAAGAAGATAAAGGTGAGAGATATATATACATTTATAAGGCTGAACCTAGCCTCATACAGCTGATCATTTTCCAGTGCACGCCTCGCAATCGACATTGGGAAACAACACATGAGAAGTGCGAGAACTGCAAGAAACATGATGATACTCCATGCGGACCAAGTTTCAAGAAGAGAGAGGATCCTGCATTTGCCGAGTCTGGTAATGAGGTGACTGCCCACGCAGAGGACGCCACTCTGGACGCAGAAGACCAGCCGCGAGCCCCAAGTCCTCGGCCGGCAGGCACCGTGAACAGCAGCGCATATGTTGGTAGACACAATGGAGATCAGTCTTCACTAGTCACTGGAGAGTCCAATAGCCAGCGAAAGCGCATCAAACTTGCGTCCGATGAGGAGCTCAAGGAAGAGGCTAGTTGCAAGTAAGACGAATCTCAGATGCTCATAGTCTCGATCCTAATGCAGCGTCTGCTAGGCTTGAAGAACTCAATTCCTTGGGCACTTCATATGTGTTCGCGTCACAGCTTACCCCAATCTCTTGTCGGGCCCGTGACATAAATATCAATCTCAACGAGCTTCCTGACAACTACACCAATACAATAAGAGATGAGCTGCACTCGTTGTTCATGACAATCTGCAAGATAGGTCTTCAACTTCATGAGCTAGAGAAAGATGATGCAGCTCACGGAATACTCATGAAGCTTGTCCTCGCCTTGGAGAAGTATCCTGGACTGTGCGATTCTCGTAAACGCGGTGCGCTGCTTAAGATAGCAAGGTTTTACCAGGATATAAGAGATCAAGACGAACTGGAGTGGCTACTGGGGAAGGCTGCCCAGACACATGACGCCTCAGCGCTTCACGAGAATCCATGCGCGTGGCTGGTCCAGTCGCTCACTGAAACCTCCGAGAGAGCACGCGATGCCCTTCTCAAGCTCTGGCAGAACAAATTTATGGTTGATGGAGAACTCCCACTTGCAATACCACCTATTCAACGTTCGGCACAGCACAGCAACGCAGGCGTGGTGTCAATAATTTTAGCTCGGACAAACAGCAACACACATTCATTGCCAGCTTTATTCGACCTCCAAGGCATACATGTGGCTGCGACTCTAGGCTCCGAACAAAACGTGATAAACTTTCTCCGCGCAGGAGCGCAAGTCGATGTTTTAGATCTCCACAACCAAACCGCTCTGTTCCTAGCAGCCATGAAAGGTCATGAAGGATGTTGCACGGTTCTGATCACAAACGGCGCCAATCCAAATAGTAGAAATCGTCATGGTACTACCATTCTGGAGGCTGCGGTCAGGGCAGGTCATTACAACGTCGTCAAGCGGCTCGTCAACGCTGGGGCGGAAATCAATCCACCCTTGATCTGCTGCGCATCTACCCCTTTACAAGCAGCTGTCGAGAGCCTTGAATCGCCCGATGGACTCACTCTTTACCTCATGGATCAAGACGGCGACGTGTGGTTCCCGCGGAATGATGGCAAGAACGCAATAGATCTGGCCGAGGAGAGAGGGTTATGGGCTTTGGCACAGGCCATGCGCCAGAAGGGCCAGCAGGGCCAGCAAGGTTTCTTCAAACAACCCCAGTCTTTCTCTTTCGACCAGAGTCATTAGGATCCTGGGCCAGGCCTCGGTTAGGGTTGCAATCAGTCTCAGTTTATGGCAATGATGAGATAACGGGCACCTATTGAGTGATGATCTTGGCGCCTTGGCAGGGTATACTGGGGCTTTGAAATATCATATATGATGTGTTATCATATATTCCGAAGGACAAGCTTACGTGTGGTCTTTGTTTTTTGCATTGTCTGGAAGCTTTATCATCAAAGGTCATTGAATAATCATTGACAAAGTTAAAGGTCTTACCATGGTGCCGAAGTGACAAAGTACGCCTGATGCTTCAATATGTTCTGAACAGGCCATTGGACACCACATCGACATATCTCTAAAGTGTTGGAATTTCGATCAACAAGAGGAGTCAGTTTTCACAGTCCATTCCGAGGTAGGTATCCATACCGCATATGGCGCCACGTTGTCTGTGGTAGGGTGTTAAGGGTAGGAACTAAAGAAGTTGGAACAGTCACGCCAACGGCTGATCTGTTTTTACTTTCAGTAGTCATCGACTATGTAACGTAAGGAAAGGTGGCCGAGAAGTGAGCTAACCCATTTAGGTGCTGCACGACATGAAGTTATCCACACGCCTTGGCCTGATCTCGGTGTCGATCAGCCCAAATATTGCTCATAGTTCGCTAACGACGTTCAGGTTTTCCTCATTGGTCTTGCATAATAAATTTCTGGAAGATATGCCGCACACCGTGAAGAGGCTGATGGCCACTGAAACGGCAGTAGATGGTCCGTTTTATGGCCAAGAAGCAAAGAAGAAGGAACGTGAAAAGTTGAAAAAACTGGAAAGGACTATTGCCGCTCGGGTCTTCTGAGACTTGGTTATTAGCCACATTTGGCTCGGGACGCTTCTTTGCGTCCGGTGTATCGCTGAAACACTTCCGGTAAAATTTCTCCGGTGGGGAAAAAAGGGTTTCCGCGACGACTTCGCCTAGGGAACCGACTGCGAAGTGCATGCAGCAATTGATTTGATCGGAACTCTACTATTGCTGCAGCAGTAGCGGGGCCGCAAGAAGATGGAAGCAGTAAACGTGAGACAAAGATCTGACCTCTCGTTAAGTACCCCTATGGCTAAGTGCATATAGTGATGCATCATTGCCGATAATGGGACGAAGCCTACTCCACACGACACACTCCTAGGTCTTCCTCCCAGTCCTTCTTCGACTAGGGTTACGGCTGGTTGTTGGCACTCAGCTACCACGCTCAGAGTACAGTATCACCCGATTGGTATTACACGAGGTCCATGCCTATCATCACCAGTCTTCCGACCTCTGACGAAATTCAGTGCGGCAGACAGCAAGGTGACAGAAGTAGGTACTCTACATAGCAGCACTAGAAATTGAGTCTTTGAGTGATGGACTACAGGTCTTCAAATGACCGCGGGATGTAGCAGTAGGGGCTGAAAACACAGTAAGGCGGCAGTATCTGATCATATATCTGCTTGCAAGTAACCTTCAGCATCATAGTAGATCCTTGGGACATAAATATATTACAAAAAGACTTCAAATACTCATGATCGTGTTTGATACAGTCTTTTACTCGCCACAGAGTCGGCAGCACAAACCCTGCCAGAATAAGGTGCCTTGAGTCTTGACACTACGAGCACGAAGTCCACAGAGCACTACGTTTTGGACTGTTTCTGCACATCGTCTGGCATATTTCCTTGACTTGTTGCCTAGGTATTCTACAACTTTTCCTCGAGCCCTCGACTGCCACTTTTTGTGGTCTAGCTCGGTGATAGGGTAAACCTCGGGCCGACTAGCGTGCTCAAAGCCACTCTACACGTCCGCCTCGGACGCGATCCGTAAACAACGAGATATCAGCATCTAGAGCAAGAGGAGTCACAGGTCGGGCCTCAAGTCTCATTTCCCAAAACTGAAGTTGTGCTTTGACAATCTGCCTTCTTCGACAAAATTAAGACTCTATTTATCTGTTTGCCAAACTGAGCTCTAAGCCAAACACTTCAGAGAACTCTACGCATTCTTCAGGTTACTGTTGTCAAAGAGACATTCGGCATGGGTGAGCGGACTTTTCACATGCATTTTGGCCGCTGCTAAGATGTTCTCTTTGCAGATTACGGTGGTGGCTACTCTACGACGTCATATGGAGCTCAAGGCGGGGCAGGTGGAGGAGGCTTCATGGGAGGTTCTCAAGGTGGGAGCCAAGGTGCAGCTGGAAAGGTGGTTCTGCGTCATTTCGAGTCTTTCCTTTCGCCTTCCGCTGACTCAATGATTAGGGCACATATGGCAAAGACACCCTTAGACCCGTCACCATAAAGCAAGTCCTCGACGCACAACAACCACATCCAGACGCAGAATTTAAGATCGATGATGTCGAAATCACACAGGTACGTCTTTTAAATCCTTATACAGCACTCCATCATCATCTCGATTTATTGATGTCCGATAGGTCTCCTTCGTCGGCCAAATCCGCAACATATCCACGCAAACAACAAACATAACCTACAAACTCGACGACGGCACCGGCACCATAGAAGTGAAACAATGGATCGACGCCGATGCTACTATGGACACCACCTCTGACTCCGCCCCATCGAAACCAAAGCTCGTCGAGAACGAATGGGCCCGTGTCTGGGGCCGCCTGAAGGCTTTCAACAATAAACGCCACGTCGGAGCCCACGTTATAAGACCTGTTGCTGATAAGATGGAGATTACATACCACCTTCTAGAAGCAACATTCGTCCATCTCTACTTTGTCAAAGGCCCATTGGATCAGATAAAAGCAGAGGGCGGCGGGGCCAATGGTAACGCAGGTGAAGTCGGCTATGGTGGTGGAGGAGACACAGGGATGAACGGAGGACAGATGCCGAATGTCAGCGTGGCAGCGAGGAGAGTGTACCAGACGCTGAAGGACAGTCCACAGAACAATGAAGGACTGCACGTGCAGAACGTAGCCGCGCTGGTGGGCATGAACGTTGCGGATGTGAAGAAAGCTGGGGACGAGCTGCTGAGCCACAGCATGATTTTCACGACGGTAGATGATGATACGTGGGCGGTGCTGGAATTTTGAGACGGCCTGAATCACGCCGATAGCTTCCAATAGCTTAGTAGCCAGGGTATCAATGCTTGAGATGTATTGCTCCTGCGCCCCAGTACGCACACAGTATACAAGTTCCTCAAACTCTTCTCCCTTCCCCTCTCTCTTCCTTCTATCAAAAATCCTCCCCTCCCAACATCCCCTCAACCCCCAACCTACCCCTCCCTCCCCATCGCCACCGCCGCCGCGCCCCCATTCTCCTCCCAACTAGGCCTCCACCTCACCTTCCCCTGCAACAACAACCTCGCCCTCTCCTTCAGCCCCTTCGCATCCCGCGGATCCAACTTATACCTCTCATGCGGGTGCTGCCTCATCCTCTGCTCCTCCACCGCCTTATCCCTCGCGTCCTGCGTCGCCCGATCCTCCGCCAGCACCTCGTCCGGGACCTCGGGCCACACGAACGGGCCCTGGCCCTCCTCGCCCTGCACCATCTCGACCGTCATCTTCTTCGCGGCGCCCGCGCGGGCGAGGCGGCCCGTGCGGTTGTCGCGGATGACCTTGCCCTGGATGATGAAGGAGCGGACGCGGAGGGCCTGGACGCCGTAGAGGTGGTAGAGGTAGTCTTTGAGGTCGAGCTTGTTGAGCCAGAGCGGGGTGAGGAAGGAGGCGAAGTGGGGCGGTTGGGTCGGGGTGCGGAGGAAGGTGAGGGTGAAGTTGGGTCTGTGGGGTGGGCGGGTACGGATGCGGGTTAGCCGGTGGATTCGCTGGTGGGTTTGGGTACGTGGATGGTCGGTCAGATGGGGTAGGGGGGCTTACAGGAACACTTGCTTCTCTCCCCTCGGAGGCTTGAAGCGGTCGGGTACCAGTGGGCGGAGAGGTAGCGGAGAGGGCTTGCGGAGACGAGCTGGATTATGGCGGACGCGGGGAACAGCGGCGACGCTGGCTGCGGAGGTCTTTATGATGGCGTTGGGTGCGTTCATGGTTTGGTTAGTTTCTGGGGTCAAAGGTTGTAGAAGTCATGGAGTAGGGGAAGCTTTGCGCTCTGGCGCCAAGACATTTTATATTCCGAGGTTGCGATGTCAAACTTGTTCTTGGGTGGCTGGCCATGTCAAGGTTGGATGTCACGAAAGCATAGAGTATCCATTCATGATTGTAACACTTTTTCTATCTGAGGATCATCTGATCGAAGCAATGAGCAAGTCTGACAGTAGCAATCTCCATCCTGTCTGGACGATTTGTATGCACCATCTTGTATCCTGCCGGACAGCATTTACTATCCTGTGCTTTCCGTTACCCACAACCATGCCATGAGTCGAGCGAGAATTTCGTAGTATCGTCTGAGGCAGTCGTGGAAAACCCGAATTAGACATGCGTGTGATTGGCGTCTTAATTTCCCAATCTCGTCCGTATTGACGCCTTGCAAGATCGTGCTTTCATCGTAGTCGTGATCGTTTCTGCGTTGAAACCATCCTGTAAATTTGTGTATCCTGATGCTGTGCATCTTCAGATCATAACCATGTCCTCCTCATTTTCATCTTCGTCGTTGACTTCTGCACGGTCAGTACCATTGCCATCATCATCCTCTTCACCGCTGAAGAGATCAGCGTAGCTTTCATCTTCCTCCACCATATTCCCTTTTCCTTTCGCGACCCAACGACCCTCAATGGCAGCCGCCTCTTCAGCTTCCTCGATACGTTCTTGAGCCTCTATCTGCTTCCGCGCAAACGTCTCTTCATCATCAACATCAACTGATAGAGTCACCATAGTGAAGCTATCACTCATAGAATCATCCGCAGAGTCGGCGGCGTGGACTCGACCTCGACGGATCGCATCAGAAAATCCACGGTTGGTCGCTGTAGATGTGTTGAAGGTACTGGCACTGTCTCCAGCACTAAGCAACTCGAACTCGCTTGGCGTTTTGACGCTGTTAGCAGGGGTCGAGCCGTCATGGACGTTGGGGCCAGGAGTGGTGAAACCATGCTCTGCAGTAGGAAGGTCATCGTTGTACACTCCCCTATAGAAGTTTTAGAGTCAGCATCTCTTCTTCCGGGCAAGCATTCAATCAGACAGCCTCAGGGGATTCAAAGACCCTTTTACTCGCGAAAGATGTCTTGTTTGAAACGTGGTATAGAACAGGAAAAATCTGCTTCGAAATGTACATACATCGATCCATCATCGTTGCCACCAGCCCAGAGTGGGAGGTACTTCCATTCAGTCTCTTCAAGGCAGACGAGCGTATTGACGATGCCAAGATCAAGGGATTCTTTCAGACATCCGTGATCTGAGGAACGTAGCTTGTTACTAGCAAATATGTCAATATAGTTTTGAGCTTGGATAAAAAATCCTCCAAGATCGAAGAACTTTGTTGGGTTGCCGAAGTAAGTTTTCTTGGGCTTCAAGTCAACAAATTGCTGCCGGACTCCGTCATCTGCATCCGAACTGTTGTATTCATCCCAGATATCGGGTTTTGTTGTAGCCGCCCTCTCCTTGGGCGCAGCTTTAGTTGGGGTCGAGCGTGTCTTGGGCGCCAAACGTTGCTGGACTACTTCGTTCAAGTAATCAGCGCGCCATGACTTGCGATCTGCTGGAATTGTTTTTCGTTCACCCTCTGCTTTCTGAGGCGCTAGGTCTCTCTTGGGTGCTAAGTGATCACTGGCGTGACTTGAGGGATCACTGTAGCCACGCCAGAGGTCGAATCCTGTCGAAATTCCTTCATTCTCACGTTCTTGGCCCGCCAGCTCTTCCAATGCGTTGTCCGCAGCCGGCCATCTATCCAATATTTCTGAAGAAACATGAAGGCCATCTACGCTCTTCTGCACTTGAGCTACAGGGTCATCCCTTGCTGCCCCAAAAGGCCATTTCGTACGAACATCGGTTTCAAATTGCTTTTCATCTGGAGGCGACAGAGTATCGTGGAAAAAATGCGTTCGCTTTAATGCTTTCGGGACATCGATAGGTTGAGCTGGTACTGAGAAAAATGCTTTGCTGTTAGTAGCAGCTTCTTGCGCGCCATCAAGGGTACGATCTGGCAATGCGTATGATGGTTTCTGCAAAGGTTTGACATTCAACTCTTGTTGAGCACCGTAAAGATTGTGGTCTGGGGGGAGTGCGAACAATAAGTCCTGAGACTGTTTTTGGTCCTGCGCCCCACTGATGGTACGATCTGGCAGTGTATGTAAGCGCCTTGACAAAAAATGGGCATCCAACTCCGGCTGAGCAAGGTGGAGAGTGTGGTCCGAGCGGTCCGGAATATACGCTTGATCAAGGTGAGTTTGACCGTTGCGCATGAGTTTTCTAAGCTCTGAGTCCTTGATCTCACGATAAGTGCCTCGATCCAATTCGCGCCTTTCGATATGACTCAATCGGTCAAGACCACCCTTTATGAACCAGCCTTTTCGAATATCAAGGTTTGTCGCTCCCTGAAACATAGCGAATGATCTTAAGGCCTCCCAATAGGTTCTTGACAGGATACGCTCGCCTAGCGGCATATTGGCCCATACAGCGGCACGGTCCAGTCGCGGCAGCAGTTCATGCCCTCCCTCCCGGGGGAGATCAGGTCCGGGAAGAGTGTCGTATTCGACACACAGTAATTTGTAAACTGTCCCGCGGACGTAGTCCTTGAGGAGATCCTTCATTTCTTTGACTGTGTCTTGAAGCTCTGGCTGTGTGTATGCAGAAAGTCTGCGCACCTCTGGCAGCTCGTCAATCCATTGCATGTCGTTGAAAACGAAATTCGCGAAATCACGATTAATACGTTCAAGGAGGCTCTTGCTGGCATATTCGACGCGAGTGTGAATATGCTCCGGCAGCTCTTCCTTTTTCCGCCCAAATGTGGTGCGCTTGTGCATCCGAGGCTCTCTTGTTTGACGAAGGTTATCCAGTGCTTCTTCCCCAACCAGGATAGCGAAGGAGTCGCGAGCAAGGTCGTAGTTTTGAAGACCGTCAGCGATTTGGTGACTGACTTCAGGCAAAACCTCCAAGAAGTACGAATTAGGATACGCACGCAACCAACGGATAATATAGTCCTCTAGTGGACTGTGGATAATGTCGAGATTCTTTGCGACAGCAAACGTAGTCCATACTTTGGTTGCGGAGTCAAGCATCGGATCCGTTCCTTGCAAGGCGGAGAGTACACGCTCGATAGCGGAGCGATGTCGCACAGGGCTGTATTCCAATGGCATGACAGTTGGAGGGGTAGCTTTCAAGCTCGTGCCTTCAGAGCCTGCTGGAATCGTGTTGAGTCCATCCAGCTTCTTCCCATTGGTCAGTTTGTTTGAAGTCTTCTGGCATTTGGCGGCCCGATCTGGACGTTCTGAAGTGGGCTCACTCACTGCTTTTGGTGAGACAGAAGAGTATTCTTCTTCGCCTTTTACCAAAGTCTTCGACACGTTCCAAATCTGATTCGACTGATACCAAAGTCTGACCCCCTCGGAACAGCACAGTTCAGTGGTCAGAAAGACGGCATCTGCGCAGATTTTAGAGTCAGCACGGCCTCTACAAGGCTAGAATCTGAGTCGTGAGACAGGCTTGAAGCGTGACAAGAGCAGCTTGCTCCCTACATATGCCTCGCGACTTGGATTGTGTGAACAAAATCCGAATTATGCGTACCTTCGCCCTCACTGGGTGGTGTCAAGTCAATCACATATTTGACGTTGCTCGGCAGCTTATTGGCTAGCTTGCGACGCCGAAGAAATCGGAATTGCTGGGTAGGGCCGAAGAGCTTTGCAAGACCGGGTGAATACTTGGTTAGAGTGTCCTTCTGTAAGAGAATGGGGTCTTCATAGCGCTTGATGTAGCGCTGGTAGTCATGCTCGTCCTGCTCTGGCTGTCTCTGTGGAGCGTCGATGTAGATCAACGTGTCGCCCTCTGAGTCGTGAACAATTGGCAGCTCTATGGCGGCTTGCATTGTCATGTCGTTGATTCGATCGTCGATGTTGACGCGATTTCGGCATGTCTGTCCATGAGGATCGAGTTCCTCAGCGTTTAGATCCGTAAACTGAGTAGCCGGATTGTTGTCTCGCGCAGAGGGTGATTCGCGGATAGCTTCCTGCATGCCCATTGCTGCGCCTTGCGCTCTACTGGGGTAATTGAGATCGCGGCTAGCCATCCCTTGGTACTTTCAAAACTTATAGAAAGTTCCACAGCAATGTCAGTCTTTTTGCTGGATGGCTGCCTGCCAGTGAGTATTGCGCAGTTATATGGTGACGAGTAATTAATTATTGAAGCCGCCTCGGTTGCTATTGGGGATACTGAGCTTGGCTAGCCTGATGCGCTTGAGGGGAAAAAGAGATGAGAGTTGTTGCCTCAATTGTTAGATCAAGGATCGAAGGCAGGAGTCTTTGCTCAAGTTGAAGTCAATGGGGGTTTGGGTTAAGAAAATGGGATCCAGGTGAATAAAGAAATATCAAGTTCAGGCGGAACTAGCGGCGTACTCTAGGGTGGATGCCTTAGGTCAGTTTGCTGGGTGAGTCGAGCTGATGAGTCAAGCAGAGTCTAGCTCTCCCACGTCCTCTGATTCTTCCTCAACTTCAAGCAACAATGACGCTGTCAAACTAATCCGAAGACTGTGACAGAAAATGGAGAGGGTAAGAAAGGGCAAAGCTGTATATATGCACAGCTTTATGAAGAGGAGATGGAGTAGGTGGGAAAAACGAGACTTTTGGGGGGAAGGCTGCCTCAGCTGCCTGTTCATGCGGCTAAACTCCTTAACGGCGGGCTTCTCTCTCCTCACTGGCTCCGTTCCATTGGTATGGGTGAGGCTCTGCTCTTGGTTCCAGGTCTGTTTTAGGTGTTTCCGCAGCTGATGTTCTCTGAATCTCCGCTCGCTCCTCGTTAGAAATTTGTGACCCGGATTGTTTTTGTATTCGTTGAAAATGTCCCGTGCTGTGCGTGGTTTTTTTTGTGTCTCTAGAGCTTGCTCCAGCTCCTGCCTTATTTCGATCTTCAGATGGTATCTGAAGATGGTCAGTAGTACGAATATAGACAGAAAGCCGACTATCTTTCCAAGCCAATTGTTGTTTTCCATTTGTGCGTTACTGTTGGATTGTCCATGCTTGTGAGTCTTGAAAAGAGCACGCGACAGCGTGAAGCAAAACAGAAGCGAATTAATAGCGCCTTGGCATTATACGGGTACGACGTGCATTCAAATGGACTGGGAACTTGCAGATGACTACTCGTGGATTCCAGAAGTGAGTCCCTTGATAGAGCGAGGACACCAATAGATCAAGCGACATGCCGCTAAGTGGAAATATCTATTGGTGTCCTCGCTCTATCAAAGGACTCACTTCTGGAATCCACGAGTATGAACAGAAAATCAAGGAGAGAGAGACCATATGTTAGACAAGGAATGCTCAATTAAGTGCCAGAGACGCTTTGTATCCAGCATGACACAAGGCTTAGGGGCACAAGCATCCAAAAGATGGGAGACACTCAAACCATTCTAGTAGCAGAAACGGGAGGCGGGACGAAAGCTTATGGGGCTCTTGAGGAGGAGAAAGCTCCATTCGCCCTCGTATTTGCTATTTCAACGTCTTATATCCTCTTTTCAGGTCAATCGCATAGCCCTTTATAGCAAGTTGACCTCTCCGCCCTCAATAGCTACTCTCTACTCTTCGATGCCAGGTCCAACAGGTCTTTTCAGCAGAAGCGCCATTTATCCAATTCCCTTCCAAGTTTCGTTGAAGACCCATTGAGCCAAGAGTCCCTCCCCAGCTACTGTTCAGCACAAGCGCCGACTACCATCTCCGCTTCCAAAAGCCATTGAAGGCCCGCTTTTGAGCCAGAACCAAGCACCCAGCTCCGGACCCCCTTCATTCCTTCCAAACCAAGCCGTCGGAGCATCGCCCAGATGTCATACATTAGCTCCCTCCTCACTAGACCGTCCACCCTCGGTCTCGTCGCTGTAGGCGGCAGCGCCGCTTTCTACCTCGGCATGAAGTCGAAGACGATAATGGCTCAACAGGCCCAAAGGGATAGTGGAGAAGATCAAAGCAGGGCAAGAGGACCGGCGGTCCAGGAGAAGAATTATGGGGTCAAAGCTGGCAGGGAAGGTGGAGGGGTTTGAGTGTGGGAAAAGATTGGGGATGCACAGGGGTCGAGGTGCAATGGAAATGGAGTGTAGAATGTTCTTTACAGCAAGATTGTTGAAGGTTTCTGCGAGAAGAGAAGGTTTGGTGACACATCAAATATGGCTAGCAGTATTGCAGGCGAAATGCGAGTGCTTAGAAGAGGTTGGCTGCGGAAAAGGTGAAGGACGGACAAATGGGCTGCAAGTCGTTGCTGTGGGGCCGAACTCGAGATGCTGCTGACGATATTACGACAATGGATGTGGGTAATGTGATGCTTGATGAGGCTTTGGGTCCAGTGGGAATTGATACGAATGATCGAATGGGTACGTGTATATAAGCTGCCAAATTTGTACAAGCACCGCTCGATTTGGCGAGCAATACAGGGAAGACGACACAGCCTCAATTTCAGCAACCAAGTCTTCAAGATATGTGTTTTCAAGGAGCCGAAAGCAATTGTGGCCTCGTGACTTCCTGCGCCTTTTTTAAGTCATTGCAGGGTGCCTTTGGGGAGTGTGTCTGGGTCCATAGAGGCCACTCGGGCTACTTCGACTGAGATTGGCTTGGCGCGATGGATCTGCATCCTGACTGGTCTAGATGTTTATTAATTAGTCTGTCCCCTGCCTTTCACAAAGCCTAGCGCCAGAAAGCTCACAGAGGGATTCCTCCTCGACAAGCCATGCTTACAGGTGATACGCTCAGTACAGAGGAAGTCTCAGTTGGAGATAGCAACAACAATGTACCTGTTGCTACGGGATCCTTCAAAAGAGCTTGGAACCGCTTGTCTTCCGTGCTCGGTCCTCGACAGGAAGACGTGGGCGGAGACCAGATAGAGAGAGGAGAGCACAAGACCCAGGCCAAGGGCACAATACACGTTGAAGAAGGCAACCACGAGGAAGATGCGGAAGCTGGAGCCATACCACTTGATGGACCACCAGCCGAAGCGACGAAAGGCCATGAGCACTCTCCATTCAGCTCAAGCGCCTTTGATCGGCTGCCAAACCCTGTCCCGGTCGTTGACGTCTTCTTTGGCTCGTGGTGGCTCGTCTCAGCGTTGCGGACGGCTACGAGACCTGTGGTGATCTACTTCTCGGTCTTTTGGTTGTGGACGGCATTATTCGACGGCTTTGTTTCAACAATAGTGGTGGTGATCTACCTGGTCCGCTGGGGTCTCCTGAAAGCCGGACGTGATACCATCCCGCTCATTGGGGCTCCGATCCCAGGGAAGCGTCAGCTCTTCTGGGTGCTCTTTCGCTGGATACAGAAAATCTGGGTATCTCACCGTCTGGGCCTCTTGAAGCTACAAAGATCGCTCACGTCCGTTGTTAGGAGCATGTCGCAGCTAGAGCTCTACTGAGGAGTGACGGTCGATATACGGGATTATGCAAGATTTGGTGGTTCGTTTATCTCCTGATTACGCCTATGGCGGAGTTCAGACAAAATTATATGGCTGCATGGCGCCAACGTGAGGGGCTCTCGATTCACATCTTTGTCGACGATGAAAACATGTCGGTTCCAATTCCCGCGGATGGCACCGATGAAGCCATGCTGGCACGCATACGCTCGTTCTATCAGATGATGTTGGTTGGTCAAGGCTTTCCAGCGCTGGTATTCCCAAAGCAACTCCAGAGGGTCGACATCGTTGAGGTAAGCTGCGTCTCCCTTAGATCGCGTAAACCCATCTTGCTTAATGCTGGTTGCGATACATCTAGATGAGCAAGGACAGCTTGGTCTTGGGAAGCCGACTGGAGACATTACAGCTAGGTCGTTACAAAGGCCGGCTCGTCAACGTTTTCGAAAATCCCAAACTTGGGGCACACACCGTCGCAGTCGCAGAGACCATCCGGACAGTACCGGAGAACTCGGCGCTCGAATTCCAGCGGACATACGACGTTGGCGCCATCTCAGTGGTTGTGGCGGTCCCGCCGCTCGCGTCTCTCATCTTTGGTATCGTCTGGGTTCGGATTTACGCCCACAAAGGAAGCGATGCAGATTTTCAAGTGATAGTCGCCACCGCATTCACCGTCGCGTCTTACATCGTCACGGCAGGTAGGACTCGTGATATCTACATCTTGGTCCCAACGGTCTTGTATGCTAACGACTGCGATGTATAGGCGCTTTGACTCTTGCTCTCATCGCATTCTTGGACCAGAAAAGGGCCCAGAATGATGACATGATGGAGAAAATCGCTCGCAGGTCTGTTGAGACAAAGGCCGCTGCTTCGTCAAAGCTGGAACGACGGAGCTCTGTGCCATAACTGTAGTTGGCCATGTAAAAGGACGATATCTTACCGCGTCCACTGCTTTCTGCATTTTAGATTTCCATGCCCTCACGATCTCTCAAATTCTCTTTATTGGATAATGTATGAATTCAATGGTCTCATATCATGTAGAATAGTTATTCTATTGTCATGTTCTATGAAGTATGTAAGAAGGATAAAAATAGGCTACCTCTTTATGATATAAAGCCCACGCTAAGGCTATTTACCACTTATATCTTTGCCACTATAAGGAGTAATAATAACATCTATTTGAAACTTAGTAGTATAGCCATACTAGCCTCTTATTGGCTGATTCCAACACTCTTCCCTCAATCCACCACCCGTCATGAATCACGTCATGAATCACGAATCACGGCTGGAGTACGAGACACGAGTGGCCAATTGAAGATTCGGGCCAGTACAATATAGGGAGACTTTCGTATTGCATGGAGCAGGCTGTAGTTCACGACCCCAGAGCGCAAATCGAAATCGTGTGAGTGAGGCACTATCTGAAGAAAGTGCTCTGAAAAAAGGCTTGAAGCCATTGATATTGCCATTCGGTTTCTATCTTTCGCTCAGCTAAAAGGGTATCGTACAGCTGAAGGAACAGACTGCCGCCAAAGAAAGCAAGCAAAAGAAGCAGAAGAACCCTTTTATGACGCCGTGAAACCACCGACCAAATGCGTCTAAAACCATAACGCCATGCTAAATCGAGCTGCCTCTCCCCTTGTCCTCTTCTTGCGGCTCATGCTCATTGGCCTCATTCTCCCGGTCCTCTGCCTTCGCCTTCGTCCTTCCCTCCTTCTTCCCGTTACTGCATCTCTTGCTTTTCGTCCTGGCAATCTTCATCTCAGCGAATTTTAGGTCCGGTGCATCGCCGGCGCTCTTCGTCTCATCCTTCCTCCAATCCTTCACCTCCTTCAAGACCTCCCTGAACCCTTCTTCAAGTGCATTCATTCTAGCCAACATCAATTTGCCCATCCTCTGCTGATCCTCGTTTCCACCAGCGGCAGCTTGACCAGCTCTCATGGCACCGGTTGCATAAGCCATCTGCGTAGCAAAGCTGTTAGGCACGCCACCAATATAGCCGCCACCAATGGCTTTGTTGTCACCAATATCAGAGCCGAGGTCCATTGTGAAAGAATGGCGTCGTCCGCGTCCTTGACCGAAATTGAGCATGCCGGCGAGATCCGGTGCCGATTGGAAAGCGGCACGTGATGGCATGATCGGTCGTGGCCGAGAAGCGCCAGGCAGCTGACGCTTTGGTGTACGCCTTCCGGCTGATGCCACCGGAGTCACGACTCCGGTGTTTTTGACACTGTTTCTGGCGGTGATTGCTTTGCGGGTTGGGGATGAAGTTGACGAATCGTTCAGGGGCGGAGGTGGGTCATAGAGCACAGTATTGGTAGAGACATTTCGCATATGCCCCGCGCGAGTGGGGCGCTGGGCGTTGATCCGAACCGCGGCAACTTTTGGTGGAGAGGATTTTGCGTGGTTTGAGAAGTTTGATGAGAAGTGCGGTATCCTGGGCTTAGCAGTGGGCGTCTGTTGGAAATAGTCCTCGTGCTGCTGGCATGGATCTTGGTCTGTCGGTACCTTCCTATCTGAAGTCGCACTTGGTCGACCTAATGTGATGAGATCCTCGTCGTCATTTGTAACAAGTTCATCGTCACCGTCGGCATCCGTTTGCCTGGGTATATCATCCATACTCATGTTCAGTAGATCACTATCTTCCCGGCGACGTGGAGGGCGTTCTTGACGTCCAGCTCCAACAAATTCTTCGGGATCTGACATGATAGACATCGTCGTTTCGGTAAAGTCGCGTCTAAGGCCGGGCTGTCGTTTTCGCCCCAGCTGCAAAGACCTTCGGTGAGCAATCCGGCGAGCCTCCAATCTGTCAACTATCGAACGATCTTGTTCGACTGGTGGGCTTGCGGTCCCATCAGGGCCCATATTCTGCATCCAATTGTTGACTACATTGCTGGTTTTTCGACGCTCATGGCTCTTCTGCGTATTTCGAATCGTGTTGTCTCTGAAAGGGCGTCGGAAGACTTCCTCAAGAGCCCGGTCCTTTTGAAAGGTCGCCACTGAAGGTTCTCGCAGTCGATTCAGCTTGGGGCTGAATAAGTTCAGGCCTGCACCAGGAGCCTCGAAAGCTCGCACTTCTAGGCCCTGGCGACCTCGTTGCTCAACGAGCTCACTTGCGTCAAACATCGACCGTCGTAGAATTATGCGCTCATAAGCATAGATGAGGAATAGGACGGGGAAATGGGTGACCTTGATGACGGTACGATTGATCCGGACGAATTGGCGGAATGGCAACACGAACCGAAGTGGAGCCAAAAGCCAGGCGATTATATTGGTAGGGGCAACATACGAGAACAGAGCATCTGATTTGACCATCGATATAGTATTGACGGCAAACACGAACTGATGCTCCTCGTTTGCGTTCTGAACAATCGCCATGAACGAATTTGTCAAGACAGTGATGAGAATGGTCACGATCAAGAAGTGACAGATGAAGAGAAAGAGCGTCAATATGGTCTTACCAAGTACGTTATAGGTCCCCCAAGAGTCCCATGCAGCTGGAGTAAAGCCCATAAGCATTTGGAAAAGCGCGTAAGCCACAGAACCAGCATCGTAGTCGCCGGTTCCAAACGACAAAGTGAACGCTACGAAAAAGCCGCTGCAACTGATGACGATAAGTACGAAGACAGCCACAAGATCCATCGCCATCATGCGGAATGCAATTAAGAGCTGCGAGAAATATCGGTAATGGTCCAGCACGGAGAACAAGCGTGGGAATAGTAAGACCGCGTTAGCAGCCAGGAGGTCGTACGCGTTGTCGGCGGTGTGATGCTTACGAACATCCGGCATCAGGAGGCCATAGAGTCGCATGCAGTAATAGGCAACGAGGAGTAGCAATATGCCAAGATCGAATGCGTTCCAGAAGCTCATAATGTATAGACTGAAGCCTTGCTCATTGAACCCCACGACTTCATCAAGCATGAATCCAGCACTCCAGAACCAGAAGACAACTTCCAAGGCAGTAATTGTGAGCGACCGTTCAATGAGAACAGCCAAGTACAGGCCAAGCAAGACCGCGAATGAGCATGTTGAGAGGAATTGGCGGTACCGAGGAACTCGTAACCTTGAAAGCTTGAAGAGTGACGCGTCCCAAGGATCATACAAGCTGGCCGATCTACGCACTGAAAAGGTGACAGGGTCAAGATGATCTCTTTGCTTCGCTGGTTGTAAGCTATCGGGTGCTGCCTGCAAGATCGCACCTCTTCCTCCAATGGCACCATATCCTCGGTTTTGATTTGGTGTCACCTTCTCAGGAGGTCGATGGAGGTTGTCTGCTGCCGAATGAAAGACGATTGTTCCAGCCCAGATAGCTTCGAGTTGCTGCACCACTAATGGGTGAGCTAAGAATCGTTTGGACTGAGCGCGAATGGCTATCTCGAGTGTAGAAATGCGAGCTGCTCGTGGCTGGGCTTTTCCCCCGGGCGAAGAGTCCCAATTGGGTCCAGGATTAGAATTTCCATTGCTTGAGGGCTGGCCTTGAAGAGGGTAGAAGTCGTACGACAAGGCATCTGATCAGTAGTCAGTACGGAGGGAAGACAGGATTGTACGAAGCTAGCTACCAATCTAGTATAATTAGCTTGCCGATTGATGATCCTTGTAGAACATAAACATACCAATTCTCTTGTGCTGAACTCCTTGAGTAATTTGATAGCAAGCAGCTCACAAACCAGTGCTCTTGTCTTGCTTGCGCCGCTGTTGCCAGGGTACATTGAGACCTCCTTGTTGAACTGCAGGCAATTTGCCATGAGGGCATATAGTGTAGCTTTGGAGAAATGGGAGCTTCTGATCTGTTGCTGGATGGGCTTGATGAGGAACTGCGATACTTGTGGAGAGCGTAACTGGTCCCAAGAGAGTGTGGTCTCGCATCGCGGCACCACCAGGAGGCGAATGGTATGCGTGAGATTATAGACTGGTAGAGCGTCTGCATAGAGGTTTAGGAGAGTACACACACAGTCTTGAGAGGGGAGATTCAGCATACCTAAGTGAGCAGCAGAGAAGATAGGCAGCAATGGTGACAGCTCTCCAGCCTCATCTTCGTCTATTTCCTCCTCTTGGTCTTCATCCTCTCCGTCTTCCTCCTCCTGATCTTCTCCATCCATCCTATCTGGGAGGCCTGGGGATATGCCATGATTGAAGTAGGCAGCTGGTCGTCGCCGCTCCTCAAGCGAGCCTCTTCGTGCAGCTATGGGAGAGGCATGGAGGCCGGAGTTTGGAGTTGAGAAGTGCGATGGTCCCCTGCCTCGTTGCGTTTTGGTTAGGCGGGTAGAATTAAGACGCATGTTGATGCTTGTTAGTGAGGAAGGAGTTTTTGTGGCAGGCTCCGTGACATGCTCTAGGGAGATAGTCTATTGCCTACGAATGAGTGTTGTTGAAGCTCACTCATTCCCGCTACGCGTTGTACAACGTAAGGTAGTGATATTTTAATAGCGGTGAAGTAGACAGATGGCCAACAGATGGAAATGCACCTCTTTTTGGTTATTATGCCAACCGGCTTATCGGAATAGTATGTTAGCCTGTAGAGGCCTGTCTTCTGACCTTCGACTCAGCACGAGGATCATGAAAAAGAATTGGTGTGCCTCAAAGGGGGATCAATCCCGTTGTTTACATCATTTCCGTGTCATTGGTCTCAGCGTAACTTTTGGCGAGAGGCAAAGATCGTTCGCTTAGCTTAAATAATACCTTATCTTCGGTGACTACTCCGTATAAAATAGTGCCTTCCTTATCTTGCTCCGCTTATCGGAGGATTATCGAGTCAGGAGTGGTAAAGTCTAAAGGTACGTAACTCTTCATCGACATCTTGAATATCCCATCTTCCATCTTCCCCATCCCGCATCTATGCGCTGGCCTCGCAGCGAGTGAAATAATCCACATTACTACAAGTAAGTAGAATATTAAGCTGTGGCCTGCTGAAAACTTATATGCGAGCGAGACACGATCGCATACCAAGTATCAATCATCCAGATGACCAAAGACCCAATGACTTTCAGCACGTGCTAGTATTACCATTCGTGCAGGATTCGTTCAAACATCGGCCTTCCGCTACGTACAAGTACCTCAGGAGAAAGGAACTTCCGCCAATGTAAGATACTGAGTCACCTTCGTGTCTCGCGCCGGTTTGTTCTGACCCATCATTTTCCTTTTCCGCCCATGTCTATTGTAATTGGACTATATACCGCAGAGGTTTCGCATGCAGGATATTGACAGTTCTCCCATCTGCTGGTCACGCCATAGTTTGGGACCTCCATTGTATGTATCTTCAGTCAGCTCCGCACACCCGTAGTCCTGCATCCCGCACGGCAACCAGCCACTGCCGGAGTAATGGTATCGAACTCAATGATCTCGCATCTTGGTGTCTTCAAGCCTGAGTTAGCAAGACATCGCTTTAATTAACTTTCATACCGCAGGTCAAGCGATGCTATACACGCAAAACTAAGAATCCAAGGGAATGAGCGATGTTTTGCCACGGCTTCAATGTCAGGTTCTTGAGGTCATCAACCCATCTCTGTCTCAGTCTCAGCCTCTGGCTTGGGTTGAGAACCGATACTGTCTGCTCTATCTGCACCTTGATGTGTTCTGTGCACGACGACACCTCGTCAGACAAGTAGTCTGGAGGGTCCGGATCCACTAGTATGATCTTCATACTCCTAGCCGTGAATATCACATCACTAAAAACCACAACTCCGCGTTTGCCGCGGCTTCTATACTCCGGGTCATTGGTTGGCTTGGCACTGGGTTCACGTTCGGCATAAGAACACTCATAGAGCAGGTATTTCTTACTTTGGGGGATGCCTGGTGCGAGCTCCGCTGTGGAGCTGGGGAACAATAGGACATATAGGGGTGTTTCATCAGAGCTTTCCGTCAAGTATCAATCAGCAGAGTTATTCTCGAAATGGAGAAAACACTGTTCTTGATGAAACTCATTTGAGATTCCGATGAGTAGATACATGCAGATCGCCGAGCATCCCCGTAATCTTACGCAAGGTCACGTCACTGAAATTAGAAACTGCAGGTACGGCTATGAGAGCCGACCTAAAGCGCTCACACCATCTCAATAAACCCTATAGGTCCCACTACATATCCTGTCCACGCCCAATGGTTGTGGTGGTGTTCCGAGGATATGGAGGTGGGGTGGTGGTTGTGGTGGAGTTTTGAGGGTATGGAGGTAGGGCGGTGGATGCAGTTGCAGTTGCTGTTGCTGCTGACGTTGCGGAGGCAGAGGCAGCGGCTACGCTGCAGACGTAGTCCTTGACGGCCGTGCCAACAAAGGGGATGTAATTGATGAAGATGTTGTCTATAAGCGTCGCTTCGATCTCAGAGCACAGCGCTGCGAGGTTCGGTCCACCAGCATAGTTCCCAGCGACCTGCACGGCGAAGAGCGCAGTCGCAAGGTACGAAACACCAGCCTGATTCCCACTGATGACAGGAGCACTCAGACTAGGACTCGCGAAATCAATCGCGGCGAGGGCGCAAACCTCGCGCTGGACAGCGGACCCATTGATAGCGATACCGCTGATCTTATCCAGAGAAGCAGGATTGATCACGCTGCAGAGCTTACGTCGCTGTCGATTACCCTCATAGTCGTCGTGATTATATACCCTGTGTTTACAGAAGGTGTGTGTGCAGGAGATATATGTAGATGGTCAAATAACGAGGGTAACAGCGAGGTTTATATATGCGCAAGACCTCAAATGAAAGGTCTCACCTTGGACACAAATACAGTCCGAAAGAATTGTAAAATATATAGAGCAGGCATTAAGTAGTGCTGCATGAGCGTGGGAATTGGCCTAGGGTTTTATAAGCGACGACGTGGGATCCATGGATACCATATGGTATCCAGGCCGTCGACCGAGCAAATCCTACTTTTCCATACCTTTGGCACACGATGACCACTCAAATCGCTAAAACATGCTGGTATCCGATTCATGTACGCCTTGCAAAACATCATCAAACATCATCCCTCCTTCATCAAGCTCCTCAAACCAACGACCTCCCTCTTAAGCCTCCCATTCTCCTTCTTTAGCTTCGCAACCTCCTCTTGCGCTTCTTTAAGCTTGCTCCTCGTCTCCTCTACTCCCTCGCCCTTCTTCACCTTCCCCAATATCTTTCCCAACTCATCATTGAAGCGCTCATATAAGGCTTCATTCTCTGCGTTAGCTTCGCGGTATAACTCATCGAGTTTCCGGGCCTTCTTGTCGCTGATCGAGAGTGAGGACTCAATGTCGGAGGAGAGTGAGGATAGTGACGTGGTATGGGCCATTGTGAAAGTGGAAAGGGTGGTAGAGAGACTGGATAGCTGTGTTGATAGGGTTTGCAAAGAGGGCGGTGCTGATGGGGGCTGAGTTTGAGGTTTTGCTTTCGTGGGTGAGCGTTGAAGCTTGTATACAGAAGATATCTCTTCGCCGATCTTGGCAATCTCGGCTTGGAAAGAGGAGTCGGCAGAGGCGAGAGACTTATTCTCTTGGCTCAGACGTTCGCGAAGCTTTTGTGGGCTCTGCATGCGCAGCTTTTGAGGCGACTGAAAGGGTGTCTTGGGAAGGTTGGAATTACCATTGGGAGGCCAAGTACGTTCGCTGAGTCCGCCTTTGGGCGCGGGGATGCCGGATCGAGAGACCTGCCGTTTTTGAGGGCTGTAGCTCGTAATTACCACTTCCTCCGATTTGTTCTTGTCGGCTAGCTTAGCGCTTGGGGTCCGAGGTACTGATGGAGAGTTCGATTTCCTGGAGAAGGTCTCGCGGACTGGTGAGTTCTCTTTCCGTTGTGGTGATCCAAACCGACGTGGCAAACCGGACAATTGAGGAGACTGCTTTGTGATACCTTGACTCGGAGACTGCTTGATTGGGGACTGCGTCCTTGGTGGTGTCGCGATCTTACTGTTGCTCTCCCTGAGCGTCGCGGGCTTACGAGGTTGCAGTGGAGACCATGCGGCGATGACATCTGGGTCTCGAATGGACGTTATATCAGAGAGTGAGCTACGACGATGCCTTTTCTTCGGCAAAGGAGTTGTTTTGGCTGGCGTCCCTTCGCCAATGCTGCTCAGCGTAGAAGTATTTAGATGTGCGCTCCCAGGGCGAGGTTTGGGATCATCTTGGGTCATAGAGCCTGAGGTTGTAGGCCTGTCGCGAGATACTGGTCTCGATGGTGGAAGCATTCGATTGTCTGTATCTGTTGATCTAGATCTTCCTAGGGAGGCTTTGGAAAGACTTGTTGAATGGAAATGGCCCTCGCCAGGGCTTCTGGCATTCTTGCTGAGAGTACGCCATATTGATGCGACCTTTGATTCGGATTCGTTCTTGCTATTTTCACGGCTCAAGGTGCCGAGTCCAAACCTCCTCTTCAGAGACGATGCATTAGAGCTGAGAGATCCGGTATTAATTGATCGAGTCCTTGTCAAAGAACCTGTGGCTGATCTAGTGTTACCGTCTTGGTCAAGTTGCTTAGAAGGGTCTTGCGTACTGTCAGCAATTGCGAGTACACAGCGATGTATTCTACTTACCATCGAATAGACTGTCATAATCATCAACCAAACGGTCAAGAAGCGTGATGTAATCATGGGGATTGCCGTCAAGTACCAAAGCTTCAGCGAAGCTGGCCATTAGAGCACCACGATCTCCATCGTTTCCAGAGGCGTCAAGGAGACTGATAATGGTTAGCACATGAAAGAAGGCACTCTCAGAGTGCAGCTTACTCCGAAAGAAGCTTTACTGTGGCTGCGAAAGCTCTACTGTTCTGCGGAGACATGTCTTCTACGGATCGCTTAAATTGCTGTGAGAATACCGCAGGTCTTCCTGAATCTGAACCGAATCAACAGTCAGCGGCTGCATCAATGTCCTGTGACTTGAGCTTACCAAAGGTCGCTTGCAGACCCTGAAGGACATTTGCAGCAAGCAGGGGACCCATGCGCTCTCTCCATGCTCTTTGCAAGAATTTCTCGAAGGCTGCGAAGAGTACATCAACAGAGACTTCTGCGGCTGCCTGAAGCCTGCTGGGATCCTCAACTGCGCATGATTAGCAAGTCTAGTATATTGTTAGAGGAGACCTCTGGACTGACGAAGGATGTTATAAAGCTCATTGACAACGAGCTCATCGGCTGTCGCTCGGCTTCGGAGAACTTTACCCACAACATTGCCACTCCGTGAGCGAAGCGCCACAACATACGCAGTGAATGTATCTTCTAAAAGCGCTAGGGGGCTCTTTTCAGCTTCCGCTGCAGTCTCTACTAATGTAACCTTGTTGTGTGGATGATTGTCCGCCAGATCAGGGTGGGTCTTTGCAGGTGTCGGAGGTGGTATTGATGGAGTGTTTCTGATGGGAGGTATGTCGTGACGGTGTTTCGACGGAGTACTGGGCTGACTTGCTTGACCTGCGTTTAGAAAATTGGATATCATCTTGACAGGTGAGATGGGCCGAAATACTCGAGACCGAGTATCTTCTTGCGGCTTTCGGATCGGCATCGCAGCAAGGATTGTGCTGTTGTAGGATATCTGTGACTGAATCAAGAGAGGATTTTGAGGCTGGTTCTGGAGGCGAACGAGATTGCCCACTAAGAATTGTTAGCGAGATCAAACAAAGAGGGACATTGAACATACGTCTCCTGAGAAGAACTGACAGGAGATCCTCGGATTTACAAGTATCGGTAAAACAAGTGCCGTCAATACTTTCGGTGTCCAAGCGATAGCTACCGGAGCCCAGAGTCTTGATGGAAGCGGCGATCTCTGTTCCATGGCCTTGCGTAGTAATGGAATCGGTTTCTTTCGATGAGTCCACGTGAAGTCGGATCTGGCACTGTCCCTGCGTTAGATTGGTACTTTCTGACTGCTCTTCCAACAAAGCTACTAGAACACCCAAGCTCCCTGGGGATGGATTAATCGAGCGCAAAGCCCACTTTCCACTATCACGAGTGGCATCTGAAAACCGGCTCTCGATCCTCGCTTTTATCACCTCTTCGCCAAATCGTGCTGCTTTACCATCGTAAGGACCGAGCGCCAGGAAGACTTTGGTAAGACTTTGTGAGTGTCGAGATGTATTGAGATTTACTGTTGTACCACCAAACAGCGTCATCCGGATCAGATGACCACTCTCAGACTCCGAGAATCTCAGCTGAGAGAGATCATATGCTCCCAAAAATTTAAGATCTCTGTCAAGGCTGAGGCTAGAAGAGAAGAATGCGTTAGTAGGTGCTGTGGGACGATCTACCTCAGCAATGATGCCTCTCGCAGACAAAGGGCTGTTCCCGGCTTTTTGCAGAAGTACGATAGAGTCAACAAAGAGCAACATGATTCCTGCCGTACCTTCCCCGTTCGTTGCATATGGAGGGTTGAGCTCTAGAACATCCACGGCGGTAATAAGACGTCCACGGGCCGAGAAAGTTGCGGGCCAATCTGCGACAATGTTCCTCAAAATTTGTGCAGAACGTGCAACGTCTCCAGGTAATTGCGTATCTAAAGCACAGATATCTGTGATAACGTCTCGGGCTTTCAATAGACTAGACAACGCGGGGTGCGAAGCAGGAAGCAAGCTGACCATATTGTCGATGAGGAGACTGTATCGAGGAAGGCGCTGTACTGGTTCGATCAAAGCTGATCGTAATCGCTGCTCGCCAAAGTCATGAAGATGTTTCGACAATGCTGATGATTGGTCCGCTAAAGACTGACTGATGATGTTTGAAAAATCTGTGCTGGCTCGTAGATAGTCTTGATACGGGCCCATGAATCTAGGAAACCATCTGAGGAGAGCTTTCGCAAAATGGAGAGTACCAGTGGGGTCCCTCCTCCTGCCTTGCGTGATTGGGCTTCCAAGGTCGCTCTCACTGCTAGTGTTTCCTTCAATATCGTTAATCGCTTCATTTTCTGTTTCGTCAAGCACTGCTTGTATATCCTCGTAAAACCTCTCATTGGTCTCCAGGATGCGATTTAGGCTTTCAGGAAATAATCCATTCACAATTTCGGATCTGGCGATCTGACGAAAATCTGCAGCTATGAATTGGACCAAGTTCTGAATCTTGCCAGTATAGCTGCTCTCTGTGTCGACTAACTCACACATTTCTCTTCGCAGAGAGATTTTCTGATCCTTTGAGAGAACCCTGCTTCTGCTGTGTGCTGTTGGCCTCGAAGGAGCTCGTTGAAGCTTTGAGGTAGGTAGAAAGGCCGCTGAGCCGAGACATTCAATGATGGATGTGTATTGGCCATAATGGTAGAGCGGTAGTCCATCGTTGTCAAACAGCGGGGTGTTGTCTTCACCGTCGGAAGACTTAGCTCGTTGAATTGTTCCTGGCGGCAGGACTACATCCATATCGACCCATGACAGCACCGGCGCCGAAACAGCGGACATAACGCAGTTGGCAATTTCTGACATGTCTTCAATTTCTACCATATGAGCTGCTATGTCTGCTGCATGCATCTCATCAAACATCATCGGAGCTGCACGATTTGGTCGACGGGCCGCCGCTCGCTCTATCAATGAGGTCTTCATGGCTTTTGGTAGCCCAGCAAAGTAGCTGAGGACACTAACTGCCAAGCCCCGGCAAATTTCATCACCCTGCTGCTCTGCGGGAAGATGGTTTACGGCTGCGTACAAAGGTGATGTAGGAGCAACGGTAAGACGAGGAAATGTTTGGAGTCCCGCGAGAGAGTAGATGTGCGCCTGGATGCGTGAGCTGTTTTGGGTTGAATTGCCAGTCGTAGATGGGCCATAGAAGACCAAAATCGGGAGATTCTCCAGGAGAGCATCTTTTGCGTA